GTGCTCTCCCACTAATTATAGAACTCGAAAAGGTCCATGAAAAATGTGGGACATTTTCTTAGCGTACCCTTTTTTAACACGGTCGACGTGAAGCGATACCTGGGTTCAAACTATATTTTGTGGTCGGCTACTCCTTCGTTGCGGGCTAGTACCCGAGCTTGACTGGCCGCTCGTAAATTTGCATTCACTTGGGCTCTTGCTCGTTGATAGTGTTGTTGAATCTGGTATCTTCATCTTCGAGGTCCAGACCTTCCGACGTCGAGTATTTACTACCGGTGATGTAGCCTTGAGGGTAGTTTTAGCACCCCAACCACGGACCAGATAGAATGGTGTCTTTTCCGGACTCGGTCTTGCGCGGCGCTCATCGCAAACGCTAGGCGTTCTGCATACTCATCCCAGTGCTGCTGTCTAACATCGAAAATATGCATCTTGATGGACCTAGTCAGTGTCTGAACCATCCTTTTTCCGGTACCGTTTGCCTGAGGTCGATAGACCATCGTCTCTTGATAACGCTAATCTACCATGCGACTAAACGCCGAAAAGAAATCCAACACAGGCCGTGATTATCGATCGTGGCGGGTTGCGTCACTAGCACCAAATCGACGCATTATTCGCCCCCTCGGATACCTACTGAGCCGTACGTGAAGCACTAGACTTAGCCATCACATCTGGTGAACAAATCGATCCAAATTAGTAGCTCATTATTTCCTTTGTGCAACTTGTGTAGATAGGGAATATGGTTCATTGCTTTAATCTGGAAAAAAAACGTTGCTTCGACATTTCTCGGTTATTCTCTTGTTGGTAAGCCCTGCTTTTTCAGTCTCCAGTCCGCACAAGTACCTACATACCTCTGTACACTTCGAAAGAGACCCCTTCAATGGCAGTCCGCCTAATTCGGTGGTAGCAACGTCCGACTCCTTGCTGATCTCCTTCCAGAATGGTGTAGTAGTGATGCAGAATGCCAGCGTGGGGACTTTCGGGTATTATAAACAGGCTGTCGTCTCTCGGTAGTCTCTTAAGAGCCTCTGACCAGGGAAATGTACTAGTAGCCCCTCTTTGCTACTACCTCGTAGCCCCTGGCCATTTTACTGCAAGACGAGCAGATTCCATAGATAGATCGGCTCAATATCCCTTTCAAGTATGCCTTCAAATGTTGCACCCGGTCTTCTTGCTCTTTTGCCTCCCTAATTCAATCTGCCCGAGGTCGTTGTATCACGTCTTCTTTCATGATCTCCCCTGATATTCTGACGGGGAAAACTTGATCGGATCAGTGCAAACATCTTGACCGATGGACTCCTGTCCTTGGAAACTAGTAAGTTTAACAATCGATTGATCGCTTCCAGACCCGGACATTCTTTCACCGGTATCAATTTGATCCCATTCTGCTGGTGTAAGTCGTCTGGGTAACTGGTCCGCATTCTGGCTCCAATCACGTTTTACGTGTACGACTCCTTGGGTGGTAGCTTATTCAAAGATCTTGCTCGTAACGGGGACAAACCCGACACTCTACACTCGATCTACTCTCGCATTTGCCGTACCACCAAGATGTGATCCCTACAGATAACCAGTCGCTGTCGTTCTAGGGAATCTAACAGGTCGAAAGCCAGTAACATACTCTCATAATCGGCCTCATCAACTGTAGATGCAACGAGGTATTTTGAGGTAGCCTTGATTATAGTCCAAGTGGGTGGTTTCCAAAAAATAGCACTACAGGATCCAACTCCCTCTTCACACGGGCCAACCAATTAAAACTCATGACGTATAATTTTTTGTTGAGCTCCACCAAGGATGTTTGACAGGCCGACCACTTGTCTCGCCTGTTTTTTGGGGGCAATTGGCAGCAAAATTGATCTCACACTTTCGCAGGGAGTAATACTGGCTGCCAGCGCTCCAGTACTTGATCTTCGCCTTTCTTGCACTTACAAATCTCCATAGTTTTCTGAACAAAAGAGTGAACCAGTTCCCTAGACGTCCCTGTAACCCAGTAGACCTGATTAACTGCGCCAATGTAGATCTGCCTTGTTAGGACCTTGAGGGGTCGAGTATCCAACATCATGAAACAGGCTTTCATTATCCGCAAAAAGCCAGCACTCCTTTCTTCACATTACTGCAGTTCAATTCGTTGGCCTTAAGGGTCCGACTCGTAACTGTCACCGGCATAGGATGCCACCATGGCCTTTGTACCAATGACGTGGATATGGCCCATTCCCTCGCGTAAACGACAATCACCGCTTCCTGGACGTTTCTAAGTGTTGCGGATAGGTGCAGTGGCAATCTTATTCTTGAGAATAGCAAAAGCTACTTGTGCTCTGGACCACTTCTCCTTGTCTTCTGCCTTAGCCACCACACAGTCACCCGTCCTTAACCTACACCGCATCCGTGGAAATCTACCTTCCTTAGCTCATAGAAAATCGATGCGTACACTGCATAATCTTCAATGAATCTACCGTAGGTGTTCAAACTTACGGGAAACGACAGCATGGTCTTCAATGTCGTTGGCAGTGGTAGGTTAACCAAAGACTGAGGTCCTTTGAGTGGTTCTCTAATCCTTGGTCCAAGACCTAGTGATCGAGATTGTCTACCTTTCGGCATCCCCACGAGCTCTTGACCGCGCCGATCGAAAAATTCCAATGGTCACACAAATCTAACAGCCGCTCAACCTTTCTGCACAACGTATCCCACGAGTCCGACGGTATCAGAATGTCGTCTATAAAGGACCGCCGACCCAGTACCGAGAAGCCCGACTTTACATCCGGCTTCCCCATCGCAGACAAATCTTTGGTCTCCACTGTAACATCTCCTTAAGAATTACGTAATAACCCATACAAAGCATTATCCAAAAATCTCTAACACAGATAGACTTGCTGGCCCGATCTGAGAAGGTCAATGTGGCTTCGACTTTTGTGAGGTTTTTACCCACTTTCTGGGAGCTCCAAGAGACTGGCTCACGTTACCGTCTGGGTAAGCCTTTCCCAACGCAATCAATACATAAAAAGAGAGCGATGTTAGTGTGTTTGCAGCTTGCGCCGTCTTCTTTGACACTGGAAACGTTTCAGAAGTCTCTTGTAACCACGAGCGATTTATGAATATTGTCGAGCAGGGGTTCTACACGCGAAAACAGAGGTCGTGCAGAAGTTCCCACACGAGAATTCATTGGCCGATCAGGGTTTTTACACAAGAATACAGTGGCTGGGTAGGGGGTCTCTACACTACGCGACGAAAGCTACGTTAAACAATTCCGGCATGGCCGAACTGTGCTCCGCGCCTCGATAGAAGTGGCATGTCGTCCCGTGATTGCAGTTCATCAGCTCCGAGTTCTATCTCGGAGCAACGCGAGACACCATGCATTGATGCTTCAGTGTGCCCGCGTATTTAGTGTGATTGAATACGCGGATGGCGCCCCACAGCGGCATCGCGATCTCGAAGTTTTGAGCCCACCTTGCGACACTCCATCAATTACGCGCCTTCCAAGTCTTTTCCAAAAGCATTTCTTGCTTGACCCAAAAGACGGCTGCATCGAGAAAATGTGCCTAATCACCGACGAAACCGTCGATTACCAATGGTGAGCTTCTGTCGCGCCCACCAAGCGCTGAGCCTAAGTCAGCACAAGAATAAGCTTGAAACACAATCATGGAATGCTCTGCGCTGATTCGGCAATCCTGTCTGTCACATTTCCCGTGAATACGTGTATGTATTTCCAGATAACATTTGAACAAAACTCCTCGCTGATCGAGGTGTTAAGCACGAGATTAATCTTGTGTAGGGTTTAAAAAACTGCGTGACTTGCCAGAGGCCACTGTCGCGAGATCAAATCAGGAGGACCGACGCAAGTTAATTCATGTACGTAAAAGTATCGCTCCTCATTCGAGTCTGACCTTCTGTGTAAAGAAGGCCACTGGAGGATGGCGTATCGCTCACGCGTTCAACAAACTGAACGACGCCACGATTACAGCGCAGACATCGTTTTTTCGGGAGAACATGGTACTGAACTTCACGTATTGAAACGTCCTATTCCGTTTTATCAATATAACCGATGTATTTTACCAGATCCTTATGAGGCCGAGCGACATGCCCTCATAGCAGTGAGTACTCCAAGTGGTTTGATCTGGGAATGTCTAGCAATACCACAAGGACTAAGTAATGCTCCGGATACTTTCAATCGTAGGTATTGCGTCTACTCCGAGAATCGCGCCAAGCTTTTTCGATGACATATTTGTTCCTAGTCGCGCTGAGGGCGACCTCAGTGCTGTTGAAGTACATCTTCGACACTTAAAATAAGAATTTGAAGTTATAAGGGAGAATAAATATATGCAAACTTGAAGAAGTGGATCTTATGCGCTCCGGAAATTGCGGTGCTGGACTGCTATGAGAGCACGTATGGTTTTCTAGCTGATCCACAAACTATATCGTCGATCTTCTTGTGGCTCACTTCCACTGAGTTGCGTCAATGGCTCGGACTGGCGGTTTACTTGCATAGATATACGAAAAATGATGCTGGATCCATTCAACCGCTATCATTGCTGCTATAGAAAGACGTCACTTGGACGTGTCGTCAAGAGCAAATTTCCTTCAATACTGTAAAGAAGAGTTTGGCGTCGGCGCCAGTCCTGATACTTTCAGATGATTCGAAGCCGTTGCAGGTGTTTTGTGACACCAGCAACTCTGACATAGCTTGTGCCCTCAAGCAGCTCGATCTGGAAGGCTTTAAGCAAGAAGTGAGCCATCCTCGCGACAATTTATGCCCGCAGAACACATTTATCCTGTCCACGACAAGAACTGCTTGATATGCGTTACGCACTGATCAGTCACAGTTCATTTATTATGCAAACAGATTTTATCTTTGTGCACCGATCACGCGTCTCTGCAAACAGCGATGAAGATTCTACAGTTGTCTCACCGTTTGGGTAGAAATATTACTTCGTCGTTCACTATAAGCCAGGCAAGAACAATAATCCTTTCGACGCTCTGTATCGACGTCCGGACTGCGCCATAAACGCGACCTATTTTGGTGTGCTTGATTTGGCGGTGCATACTGCCGGGTCATCTGAACTTTCAGATCGGCCCATGTGGGAAAAACATCTTGCAATGATGCACCCACATGTGAATGCCCACTGTTTGGCTAATCCACCTAACTTGCCCGTGGCAAAGCCCACACGGTACGGTTCATAGATGGTGTCGGCTATAAACATAGCCAACTCAACCTGTCGGAACCACAGCATAAGGTTGTCACCTTCTTTGTTGTCGAGCTTATCGACTTCCATTTGTATCGGTTTTGGTCTGCGGACCACTTCTTGCGCCATAGTCGCCATGGGCGAAGGCGCAGAAGAAAGCATCTGTGCCTTTACATGCTCGACTAGAGCTTTATTGTATTCATCAAGCATACGAATAAGATTGTTAACCTCTTCTTCGCCCTGGGCGATGAGGTACTCCACGCCCTTAGGGCCAAGGATAGGGAGCAGCTTCTGCAACCCTTCCTGTTGTGCCTGCGACAGGTTACCCGCGGACATCTCATCGATGTCCATTCTCACACAGAGAAGTAGTCGCAAACCCAGGTGCTGAATCGACTACAAGTGCTACCAGGTGTAGCCGAGCTACTGTAGCCACGCTACTTATGCACTATGTGCAGATGCACTATGTGCAGAAGAAGTAGTCAAACTACTGTAGTAAAGATACTTATGCACTACGTGCAGAGGAAGACAAGCTCAGAGAGCTTCTACGTCTTAGGGTGCTTAGCCCTTCTTAGGCTAGCTCGTAATCTTGTGCCTATCGGTATTTATGATCGAGTCTCAGAGAGACAAGTATCAACGATACAGATTCCTTCTAAAGGAAATGAACGTTCAAGCAGCAATGCTTACAGAGCAGGTTTGAACTAATTTTATATTTATGTTTATCTTCTAACACTAAATATAGAAGCACCTACTTTATACATAGTGCTAGTCACTATTTACTGGCTCTTTAGCCTTCCATTATTACTATGCAAATATGCATAGTCACTATACTTTAAATAAGTATAGTGACCGAGTGGCTCTCTCCATCCCCTTCGTACGTTCACGGTCACATCACCTACTTTTGTACCCAAGGCACAGCCACACCACATTGATGTGGCAGGTGTGTATGTAAAATCACACCTTTGTGTAACCCCGTTACATCCTTATAACTCACTACTTGTCATATGCTGTGCCGCTTCTCAGCCAACCAGCGACAATCGCCTGACTTGGCAGAAGCGCAGCTGCTAACCGATAGATATAATCGCCAGTCTTGATTTTTTGCGACATTCGCACGCTGATATCAGTGCCAATTAGCGTCGTTGTAGATGCGAGAATTGCGTTGCGCTATCCAGTGTATTGTTTACCGCAACGATGGCTGCACTGATCTTCTTTGCCGGTTGGCCCTTGCATAAAACAATTTTAGACCAGACGCGGGAGTTTTTGCCGTCCTACTCTTTGAGCTTTATATGCTCGTGAAGTAATCTCAAGCCACCAGTTCCTACTTCAACGTATCCGAATGGCGTCAACACCGGCAAAAAAGACTAGGGACAAGTCAAACTGCTGTACGAGATGCGAATAAACGTCCTGAAGGCTTGTCATTGGCGTACGAAGGCAACAGCAGTGACAGTGAGGCACTACAGCTCTCAAGGATTTTTATTCGTCACGAACCCATTCGCAGCTGAAACAGGTGGTACAGGAGCTCAAGAATACGTCATACCGTCCGAATATCGCGGTCCTTAGATCTCGAGAGCATTATGCGTGAATGAAAAGGTGTCCAAGTTCCAGGGGATAAAACAAAACCTTGCATGTCGCTCGACCTGTAAAGACAGAAGGTGCATGAGTGAGCAGACATTTCTCAATTTCTCAATCTTGTTTTCTGTGCGAGGATCTGATTTCGGCTGGAATTACTTGCCAGATGTATGTACAAACTGGTCTATGACTCACCTGCAAAGCAGTCAAAGCAGCGAGCACAGCCAATTAAAGACATTGAAGAGATCGTGACTACAATGACGGAAAAGACGAAGGTATAGTATAGTCCATCGGACCCGTGTTCTTGGTTTCAGTTGCTGGACAAGCGGGAGGTGGCGGTGGTAGAAGTGGCGACTACGGCGTTGGGTTGCGAGATGGACTGGGTGGCTCTGAGATTTCCACCCGTGGTATGAGTATGGGCTATCGGGGTATCTGCTCTTTGAAGCTGAGATTGTTTTTGTGCCGTACAACTATCTCATTGACCCTTTGGCACGGCGAACGGTCGGTATTTCCATCGAAAACTCGATTCTGATCTTTGACGAGGCACACAATGCGGTACAAATGTGTTGGTGGTTTGTGTGGTTTTGCATCTTTTGATAAGATTATACTGGCTCCTAGGAATTGATTGCAAGCGAAGCCGCGTCATCTAGTCTTTCATCGAACGATATTGTGGTTGCGTTTCAGAGGTTGACACGTTTATGAAGGGGCAATTGAACCAAAATATACAGTTGGATGCGGGAAGCAGTCTAACAATCGAGGTATAGTGTAGTGAGTGCGTCGAATCGTTGACCCTGTACAATAACTGAAAAATCCTGTGCTTTTGCAGTCGATCCAAACGTTGCAAGCTCTATTTATGGAAATTGACAGGGGCCTCAATAATTTTCCGGTGTCTTTGAGTGGAGGCTTTACCAATGCACTCAAGCGGAAAATCAATTTGAAACGAACTGTAAGGGGTGTTGCATCTTCGTAAACTACGAATCTGTAGCCGGGAAAGTACATATTTGAATGTTTTGAGCAATTCAATGTAAATTTCGAGACGTGCCTGCTTGTCTTAAGCATGATTGAGGAGATGGTTGAAGAGCGCACGGTGGAGGCGATTCCCACAGAGCTGCATCACAACTTGATACGATGTTTTCGATTTTGGGCACAGTTTGTTGGAGAGCAAAGAACAACATCTGATGTAAGCTTGTGTGCATTTGCTCGAAGTCTTTGTGTGCTGCCTCTGATGCTTGTATTTGTATTTAGTCAGCGAGCTACTATCGAGTCCATTGTCAAGAAGTACGAGAAAGTAAAGGTATGTTTGCGATTCGTTGCGGCCTTGTAGATCGCAGCACCTTGATCAGTTGGTAATGTCTTTGGCGTTCATATCGGTTCGAAGTACGAGGTACAAAAGTTGCTATTTCATCTTTAAGTTGAACTGATTCAACATAGTTAACGAACATATGAATATGTTACCGAGTAACTTGTCAATGACAAATTTGGGTTCAGGAGCTAATACATGCACTTTTGTCGAAAGATTGTGGATCCTCTTCACCTTCTTCAGCGTTACACTCGAGGTATGCGTATGCGCGAACCACTCCTTGGTCGCCTGACCCCGTTTTTTATCAAACAGCTGCTGCTTAGGCATCTTCTACTCTTTTCCTTTTGTTCGCGCTAGCTGACTCTGACGGTCTTTGTCGTCCTGGTGGGTCTACAAGTCCTTTACAAGCTATCGCCCTTAGCTCTTTGTCTCCCATCGCCTGTGACAAATATGTCGTAGGTTTACTTTCCTTTAAACTCTGCTCCACCTCTTGGCGATGCTTCAAATCGCCATCCACAAGAGCCAAAGGGTCCCACAAAGTCTCCATAAGACTTTTCAGTCTCTCGGCCACTTTTGCATCAAGGAATGTGTACGTATCACAGCGTACCGAGCGATAACAGAACGTAAATCTGAGCTCTGCAGCTGCTTCCTTGCTATTACACTTCTTAGCTTTGCCCAATGTGTCCCCCAACTTAGCGCCACTGCCATCATCGCTTTTGTTGCCGTCTTTAAACTCGTTCGCGTAAATAAATCGATGATGCAAGTTGTCTTCTTCTTGCATGTTCATATAGATACGAATCACATCACGAGCACTCATCTTGCTCAACGGGTTGCCGGGATCGTTGACAGATTTTTCAGTGGTCTTTGTAGCTTTTTCTCCAAAAACAAATGAAGGATATAGTTTTGTCGTTGCCGACTTCGGGAATTTGCTATCGTGAGGAGGACAGTTCTTCACTTGAGTTAAGATCAGCGAAACCTTAACGTCCATCTCATCGTCCGATTTCATATCTGCCACTTCGTCTTCTTTTTCCAAAATATTGAAATCAACAAGTCGGCTTCTTTCTGGTTACGGGGAAATATTCCTGCAGCCCGACGCCCAAGTAAATACCACAGAGTTTCCGCCGTCGGCTCCAGCTGCAGCTGAACAAAATGCGTACATCCCATTTTCCACCCATTCCACTTCGATCGCCAAGTTTGAAAAGCGTTCATCGTATTGTCACTTGCTGTATTCATTCGCCGCATAAATACTGGCATCTCTTCTGCACCAAGCACTTTCAAGAAATCATGGACAGCTATAAATTGTCCAGCATAATAGTTATATCCTTTTACGCACTCGTCCATAGCAAGAAGCAGCACAATACGTGCCACAACCTCACCGATCGCACCGGTGTCAAGAGCTTCATTCAGAATTAATTTCTTTAGCTGGGGCAGGATAAATTGTGATAAGGCGTCGCTTTGCCCATACCATACTTCCCTTGCACCCAAGGACAGTATCGGATCCGATGCGTAGCTGCTCACGTAGCCTTCTTTCTCGTAATTTACATACGCAAGTATCGACATAAGGTCGGCGACAACTCGAGACGCAAATAAAGACGTTGAGTACGGACGTAAACCCACTTGACAAAGCAAGGAGGCGATGCCAAACATGTTCATCTTAACGTAATTGCCTATGGCGGGGGCGTTTCCGACAGCAGCTTGTTTGCTGCAAGATTGACCACGGAAACTTGGCTTTGTGAAACCTTCACGAAAGTGCTGTACCATAGTGGCCGACCCATTCGTAGCAACGCGTTCCAAGCATCCTGCTCGCTCCCGGTCACAGCGTCTTTGTAAGCGGTCATGTCAGCACCCATCTTTTTCTTGCTGTCCTTGTTTGTATTGACCGCCGCATTCTTCCTCTTCTTTTTCTCCACGTCCAACATTTCATCATCCGCCATCTCATCAGCAACCTCCATGGCTTCGTCCGCTATGTCCACTACCATTTTGTCAGTGTCACGTATCTTTTCGACTTGGTCAGCTTGCTCGCCGCCGCAATATTGTTGCCAAAATATATCCATCGTATGCGTCAGCACAAAGGGCGGAAATGACGCTAAGTTCTTTGCGTCGATACGCCGAGAAGACGGATGAGACGACAACGGTGGCCTAATATCAGATAGTTTTGAGTTTGTATCTACCAGCACTCCAAAAACACCCCCCTCCGTGGAGAAGTTGCTTTGGAGAGCATGTCGCAACATGCAAAAGTGGCTAATGCTGTTCTGTTTCTCAGCAAGTAGAGATCTTGCTTCGTCAATCACCACGATCACTATTTTGTCACTCGAACTGTTTACGGGTGTCAGCAGCTTTTCTTGTGGCATTTCTTTCTCAGTGTTCTCCAGCTTATTTATCACATCAGTTTCTGCAGCAGTACTTGTAAAAAGTTTCAACCATTCGTCTTGGACGGTCCCCCAATTGTCAAATGCATGCTTGAAAATCGCTTTTAGTCGAGTAGCAATGATTTCCTCGGTGCACGAAGAAGGAAACAGCCACTTTCGAAGTTTCTTCGTCGCCTCGGGATACCCAGTCGACTTATTTTTACGTGCACACACGTAAAAAACTTTTTGCTTTGAGTCTGGCGTCCGTGCCATGCGCGCAAGCTCAAAAAGCATCCGACTCTTGCCAAACCCGGAGCTTTGGACAACCGCAACATATGGCGCTTTGTATACCCCATGAGCAATACAATGAATCATCCAGCACCTCTCGACGTACTTTTTGAATTCAAAGCTGGCATTGCCAATGTACTCAGTGTTTGTGAAAGCCTCCCCAAATAGTTTCATTTCTTCTGGCGTCTTCTTTTGAACACGAGGCTTTTTCGGGACGTATTTTTTTAAAACATCATCCGTCGTCTCCTTTGCGACAGCAAACACGACTTTATTGTCTACATCATATATATGTCTATGATATGTGTCCTCAAAGCAGCAAGAAGCTCAGCCTTGACAAATTCATTCGTGTCTGCATCAACACATATCTCCATTTTTCTTGCAGTCATAAAATCTTTCTTATCCACCTCGTTTTTATTGCCACCCTTCATCTTCTCTGTCACGAGTTCATAAACGCGGGTGTTCACAAATTCGGCCATTTCTTCAAAACGAACCGTCTGGTCCTGCAAGAAACACAAGACACAACATTGTCAATAAAACGGAAGAACGATCAAGCAGCAGCGTAGGTTCAGGATGAGGGTGTGTATACCTGTATCAATGTCTTGTCTGCGCTCTCGACGTGTTCTATGTGAAGGTCGTCCATTGTGATCAAAGGGAAGAAGAAGTGTGAGGTATGCAGGTTGCGTGAAGGTTGTATCAAAGCAGGACCTTGCCATCCTTTCAATCACAGAGACTATTATCATCATTCACGAAAAGTTAAGCCTGGTTTTACACTAATACCACTTAATGTGTGGTACACCTAACAAACAATAAGCTTTATCAAGTATTAATTATTACCAGTGGTACTTGTCATGGTGATGGTCGAGATTGGTGACATTCCTGTCGACTTTCCATTCTTACCATACAATTCACAGATTATCTATAAGGAGAAGGGGATGTAGGCACTTACATTGAAACAGAATGCCAGTCTTGAAGCCCTACAGGCACTGGCAAGGTATTTTAGAAAACGCAGAATTAGTTTGATTTGATTAATTGTATCTACTGTAACAATTATGTTAATTAAATAGTATTATGATTATTATTGTAGACACTCTGTCTTCTCTGCGCGACATTAGCATGCAATTCCAACGTTGTGATCAGGAGTTGAATAACTCACTTAAACTTGGAAGTAGAGTACCCACCACGTCGTCTTTGCTGACTGGAGCACCGACCGTGTCCAGTTGTTTAGCAACCGTTTCAACCTCGTTGATTGAGCTCACCACGTCGTGCCTTTTTCCATCATCGTCGTCAAAATGCGCCGACGAGGAAAGAGCTTCTTCTCGAGGCTTCTTTACTTCAAGTGTCCTTCACCTTGGCCGGGCATTATGCGTACCACTTGCCAAGTAAACTAGCGGTAACTGTGAGCCTTCCAAGGCGAGGCAAACAATTGCGAGCACTACGCGTTTTTTGCTTGAACGTTGCTTGGTCCGAAGAAAAGTTGTAGTACTCTACGTTCACTCTCACACTTGTAACTTCGCATTAATTGCATTTTTTTCCAAGCACCATCTGCATCCTGAACATCATTATGAAAGTTGGTCCCATCGAACTTGCTTATTCGGGTTAAAGGCGTTAAGTATATTGCGAAGGTGAAGACAAAGTCGGAGGCTTGTGAAGAGTCTACAGGGATCAAGCTTATAATTGATTGCCACACCTCTACACCAAAACGGTTAAGAGCACCTGCCCATTGTCAATTGCTATTCCATTAACGATTTCATTAGAATGGACGGACGGTGGGGAAGACATAAAAATTGTACGCTAGCTGTAGTTAGTATACTTGAACCAGTCAATTTGATCCTGTCCAGACCACTTTTAAAAATGAAACCTAAGTACATCCATTAGCCTTGCCTGCCGCTAGGTTACGAGAGATGACAAAAGCGATACACTTAGAAATTGAGTTTCAATATCTGATAGCTTGTTTTGAATGGTAGCAGTTAAAACAAAATAGAGTTCTAGCTCTAAATACTATTATTTGAATTATCACGAAAACACATGAATTTGATTCAAAGTCGAACGAAAACAAAGAAAACGGTTAAGCTTCTGCTGGTGATTGCTATGTCTAAGTTTCTTTCTGAGTTGTTGGGAGTTTAGTTGCAACTAGTAGCTAGCAAACAATTGTCGTCCCACCTCTTTTTGTAGTATGCAGCAATATGACGACCATTTTCACGCATAACATTCCATTCTGCTTGTTGTTTATAAGAAAGCGTTGGAAAAAGATCTTCAGCCATCTCATGGTCGTTCTCAGTATTGTGCATCCACATCGTGTCAATTATATTGTCGTAGCGCAGACGTAGATGGCCACGTACAATAGACATCCTGTAACCTGGCAAGTTGCTATAGACCACACGCTCGCCAAACGCAACCTTGCGCTTAAGGGAACGTCCAACACCATCTTGGATGAATCCTTCTTTTGGAACACCCGTAATATCCGCCAGCGTATTGAGAATATCGTACTGTTCTGCCGCGTCTTCGATCATCGTTCCTGCAGCCTTTCCTAATCGCCCTTCTGCAATGATCACGCCTGGTACTCGCGTCACGGCTTCCTCTCTACTGCGTACAGACTCAACCTCAGGTGCAGTGCCATGGTCACCAATAAGGACAACAATACTGTCGTTAAGAATACCCTGGGCCTCCATGCGGTCTAAGAACTTGCCAAGCTGTACATCAGTGAAGTAGCGCGTTTCATAATAGCTCTGAATCTTTTTTGCGCGGTTCTCTCCGATGTAAAGGTCGGAAAAATCGGGTTTCTCAGACTTCACGTACCATGTAGGCAGCTCAGCAAACGGCCCGTGAGAAGTGATGGTATAATGCGTGATGAACAATGGCTTCTTAGGCTCACCTCTGGCCACTCGCTCTTTCTGTCTGTTTGTCTTGTTCACGAGCAAATCACCAAGAATATCAAAACTCAAGTCATCATGAACACCCCATCGGAAGCCTCGCTTTGCCAAGCCTTTCCAATCCTCACGGGAAATGTTATGGTGCATTTCGGCAAGTCTTACCATTGTCTTCCGTTCCCATACAGTATCAAAGCCATGCGTCGGAAGAAACTTATCCCAATTGTCGTAAGTAATTGAACTCCCAGTACTGAAAAAAGTCTCATACCCCTTAGCCGAAAAGAGCTGAGGCAGACCAGCTAGTTTTGTTTCGTTTCTACCTCCCGTAAGGCCCGTTGTCGACATGCTGTCATACGGAACCTGACCAAACTGAATGCTTTCCACTGAACGACTTGTAGGATAGCTTGACCAGAAATTGCGAAGAGCAACTCCGCGCTTCGCCCATCTGTCAAAGTTTGGTGTAATTGTTAGATTTGTGCCCTTAAACAGGTAGGACGGGTCGTCCTTTCCCACCATGTAGCGCGAATCCTGGAAACGGAAAGACTCAATTCCAACAAGAATAACGTTTGGCGGATTGTCGTTCGAGACATTAACGTCAAAAGCGAGATCTCCACGGAACCCTGTTGTACGACGGTAAAGTGAATCATTTCCAAAAAGCTCGTATGTCTCAGTTGGATGAATAAACTTTGACATCCATGGTTGTTTGCCATCCACATTCGTAAACATAGCACCTGCGGCAGAAGGCTGTAGTGCGTGATCCAATAGCTCATTCACTGTCGCGTTGAGCGCCACGAATGCCACCACTGGTGAGAATGCATAACGTACTGCCACAATAGCCGCGGGGATTACCACAAGACCGACCAAAACAACGGTGACTTGGATAGCATGATTCAAAATAAAATATCGGTATGGTCGTCTTGCGTTCACTGAAGACAGCTTGGGGATTGATCCGTGCTCGGCCACGTCCTGTCCTTCTTCAAGCGGTAGCTTGTTGTATTTTGCGCGCTTGAAAACCTTCCCAGGCGCATGTCTTTCTTGAGTCTTGGATCGGGTCGTTATCACGTGCGATGGGTTCCAACAAGCGAGATCTGCCCAGCTAGCAAATGTCCTGATGAGCGCAAAAATTATAGCAGCACTTAATAAAAGAGCTAACGCCGTGTAGGCTCGTAGGTATGCCTCAGTTGTTATGGGGGCACGTTTGATATTTTCTTTCTCCCTGATTAAAGTGGCCACAAGCTCCATAGAGAACCGCAAATTCCAATTGATGGCAAGAAGCATGTCCAAGGCAAACGGCGCTGTCGCAATGAAAAACAAAACCCACGAAACTGTAAACGTTGCTACGTTTTTAACAAACCGGGCGAGAGACTCGTGGTTTGGAAAATTCCACCGTTCAATGATTGCAAGCTTGCACGTATCAAACAGCCACAAGGCGCACACCAAATAGATCGTGCAGATGAAGTCCTCCATGAACCCAAGACTCAAAGCGGCAAATTTGAAACTTATCGTGTAAGATTGAGGACTGTCGTACATGGCGGCAAGTGCCTTCAAAGCGACGCATCGACTGACCGAAAAGCAGGTAAGCTGAAAAGTGGATACGAACAACCATCCAAACCAGGGGAGAGCCATGAAATCTGCAATCTCAACGCGTTTCGTCGACCGCCTCCTCGGTTGAGCGTTTGATGAGGGGACTGTATCGATGTCTTCATCGTTAATGTCGAAGGGCCCAGTAAGACGATATCGTATCGGCAGTGAGTCTTCGATGATCGCTTGTTGTAGACGATGGCTTTCCATTATCGCACTGTCGACTTTGCTACGTAAGATGTCAGATTTTTAAAGTGGCAAATAAGAATGTTAAAGAATGCGAACGATCCCGTGAGTCTTTATAGGCTTACGGAATAAGGATGCACATCTTCATTGCAATGCTCAACACCATATGTAGCCTGATTTTTCTTATGACGGCTCCATCCTAGACAGCTGTTCGCTCATTTTGAACAGCTACATACTGAATACATATGCAAGCTATTTTAGTTTGTATTCACGACAACGCCTTCGTCTACCGCTACGAAAGAATGTGGAGAAAGGGCAAGGTAATATCAGCCAAGTCAGTTGACTTGAGCCCCAATAAGAACACCTTGGAGTTGCTGGCTGCGGTGTTTACGCATTGTATCAGCATGTTGAAATTGTTGCTACGGTAGCCACGCTCAGGTGTAAATTTCAAACAAAGAACATGCTAAAATTATGAGCAGCTCATATTTAAACACGTGAAGTTGTCATTCTGAGATCACTTTAAACCATTCAAGATCTGATAATGACACTTCTTGATAGCAATTGTGGCTAAGAGGTTCTACACTTACAACCACCCTAATGTTAAAACGATCGAGATCGTATCACGTTTCTTCAGCCATACCAACTACTTTCCGTATACGCCTCCTGAAGAGACTTGGCTCATCCGTGAATGCTAAATGTTCTTAGGAGTAGATTATTTACCAAGTTGCCATGTGTGCCGCTTTCTCGAGGCTGCGTTTAACGCTGCCGTAGACTTCGGTCTCCAAGCTACAGCTTGTTTGATCAGTTGCAGGCAGTACGAATGGTTAATCCTTGAAGATCTGATCTACAATAGCAACACCACAACAGCGCCACTGACGCAAGGATTTGTTAGCGATTGGATTAGAAAGTAACACAACACGTGGAAGGACTTATCCTTCTTAGGCGTGTTGTTGTATTACTTTCGAATGAAGTAAAGTTCATGCCAATGCAGAGCGACTGAATCGGGATCAAATAGCAAGATAGATAACAAGCGTAAAAGATAACTTGCTGCCAATGACGTAAAGCAATAGCACCGATACTTACCATTCATGCTATCTAAAAGCATTAAATTTATGTTACACTGCGTGGCCAAGTACTGACGCCTTCACGATCGGGCCTCTTTGCATCCTCATCACTAGACAGATGGATACATGCATGTCTACTACTTATAAGTCTGAACTTAAAAAGATTGTTTTACTAGTCACTGGCAATCTGCTCTATCAACTTTCCATGCATTACTCACTGTTAGCTAAACTCAACGCTACGACAGGTATAAAAAAGGAATATCGCCTGTCCAAAGGTCAAGAATGCAGCGCTCAACGCGACAACAGCCTCAGCAACATATGTATGTATGTCCACATCCCTGACAAAATCGAGGCTCTTTGCAGTTATCAGCGAGTCCAAAATTTTTGTGTGTAGTTGCGTCTGCGACACAACTGGTACTTCGTCACAGGGTTTATGTATCTTATTACGCAGATTTGCTTGCCTAAGCTTTAAGATTGGAAGGTGGTACAACACATCGTACAACCATCATCCCATCTCAAGCTCAGGCAAACAAATTTTGCGTTACAATGGGCCGTAGAGACACGTGCATCTTTACAGGAGAATGTCGTCCACGTGCTTAAAGAGAATGGTCAGGCGACCATGCAATCATGCGATGTGCGAGCACACGGTGTCTGATCGCAAATTATGTGCTATCCAGAATTGTTCACGAAACCCTAAGCATCCTTAATACCTTGGACAATTTAATGTCTGCATCTATAACAGAGCAGTGTGGAAAGCCTCATCAATGCAGCAGCACTGAACTAGGCACTTATGACAATGCACCTTCCAAGTGGGACATGTGTAGAGGCTACAACAACGCATCTTTCGGAAAATTTGCATGAACTATCACCAAAATGTCAAATTGTGAACCGCAAGCACGTCGGTTGGAATTTTACGGCAGTGTTCTTGATTGTTTCGGCACCTAAAGAGTAAGACGGATAGGCTGAAGACTATCAGGTGATTATGCCAGAGGCAGTCCATCGCATGTGCCTAATAGCACTCCGGAAAATTTAATGCGATCGAACAGTACATCAAGACGATGAGCCTCCTTTTTCGGACAAAATCCAGTATATTGTTTGAAACTCGATGTGATACCGTAGGTCAACAATATCAAAGAACTTCAAAAGTCTGTTTGGCCTGTGCTTTGAAGCTCCGCTTCGCTTTTGCTCGTGCACGCATTAAGCTCATTAATCAATTTACCAAGCCTCAAAAACATCATTTGGTTCATTGGGACAGCCTCCAATACTACTTACTACCTCAAACACTTCAAAGCATGCAACTTTCAAGTATCATTGCGCACATAGCGCTCGCCACGGTAATTACCGCTCTAACTACTTTGCCTACTGACGCCGCCTCGAGCTTGATGACCGAGAGCATTCACACCAACAACGTTAAGGTAAACGGCGATACAGAGGCCATGCGCAATTTGGGTGGCGGCAGACGTCTCCGTTTGCCCAATGTTGGACCCGTCAGTCGTCGATGCTTACGGCACTCAAACAAAGACGACCGACTTGACGCTTCCATCATCGTACACTACACCGTTCCAGACGGAGCCGGAGACTGTGGAGCCACCTTGTCCGCCAAGCTCAGAATCCCAACCGCCACCTAGTCCACCGACCTTGGACACCGAATCGCCTATGAAACCTCCAGTGGGCGCGAGTTCTCCACCGCCAACGCATCCGAAGACTGTACAGCCGGAGACTGTGGAGCAACCTTCTCCACCAAGCTCAGAATCTCAACCGCCACCTTGTCCACCAAGCTCAGAATCCCAACCGCCACCTAGTCCACCGACCTTGGACACCCAATCGCCTATGAAACCTCCAGTGGGCGCGAGTTCTCCACCGCCAACGCATCCGAAGACTGTACAGCCGGAGACTGTGGAGCAACCTTCTCCACCAAGCTCAGAATCTCAACCGCCACCTTGTCCACCAAGCTCAGAACCCCAACCGCCACCTAGTCCACCGACCTTGGACACCGAATCGCCTATGAAACCTCCAGTGGGCGCGAGTTCTCCACCGCCAACGCATCCGAAGACTGAGGAGCCGGAGACTGAGGAGCCGGAACTGAGGAGCCGGAGACTGTGGAGTCACCTTCTCCACCAAGCTCAGAATCTCAACCGCCACCTTGTCCACCAAGCTCAGAACCCCAACCGCCACCTAGTCCACCGACCTTGGACACCCAATCGCCTATGAAACCTCCAGTGGGCGCGAGTTCTCCACCGCCAACGCATCCGAAGACTGTACAGCCGGAGACTGTGGAGCAACCTTCTCCACCAAGCTCAGAATCTCAACCGCCACCTTGTCCACCAAGCTCAGAACCCCAACCGCCACCTAGTCCACCGACCTTGGACACCGAATCGCCTATGAAACCTCCAGTGGGCGCGAGTTCTCCACCGCCAACGCATCCGAAGACTGAGGAGCCGGAGACTGAGGAGCCGGAGACTGAGGAGCCGGAGACTGTGGAGTCACCTTCTCCACCAAGCTCAGAATCTCAACCGCCACCTTGTCCACCAAGCTCAGAACCCCAACCGCCACCTAGTCCACCGACCTTGGACACCCAATCGCCTATGAAACCTCCAGTGGGCGCGAGTTCTCCACCGCCAACGCATCCGAAGACTGTACAGCCGGAGACTGTGGAGCAACCTTCTCCACCAAGCTCAGAATCTCAACCGCCACCTTGTCCACCAAGCTCAGAACCCCAACCGCCACCTAGTCCACCGACCTTGGACACCGAATCGCCTATGAAACCTCCAGTGGGCGCGAGTTCTCCACCGCCAACGCATCCGAAGACTGAGGAGCCGGAGACTGAGGAGCCGGAGACTGAGGAGCCGGAGACTGTGGAGTCACCTTCTCCACCAAGCTCAGAATCTCAACCGCCACCTTGTCCACCAAGCTCAGAACCCCAACCGCCACCTAGTCCACCGACCTTGGACACCCAATTGCCTATGAAACCTCCAGTGGGCGCGAGTTCTCCACCGCCAACGCATCCGAAGACTGTACAGCCGGAGACTGTGGAGCAACCTTCTCCACCAAGCCAGAATCTCAACCGCCACCTTGTCCACCAAGCTCAGAACCCCAACCGCCACCTAGTCCACCGACCTTGGACACCGAATCGCCTATGAAACCTCCAGTGGGCGCGAGTTCTCCACCGCCAACGCATCCGAAGACTGAGGAGCCGGAGACTGAGGAGCCGGAGACTGAGGAGCCGGAGACTGTGGAGTCACCTTCTCCACCAAGCTCAGAATCTCAACCGCCACCTTGTCCACCAAGCTCAGAACCCCAACCGCCACCTAGTCCACCGACCTTGGACACCCAATTGCCTATGAAACCTCCAGTGGGCGCGAGTTCTCCACCGCCAACGCACCCGAAGACTGTACAGCCGGAGACTGTGGAGCAACCTTCTCCACCAAGCTCAGAATCTCAACCGCCACCTTCTCCACCAAGCTCAGAACCCCAACCGCCACCTAGTCCACCGACCTCGGACACCCAATCGCTATTGTACCCGGACTTAAAGAATTCGATGGCCCCGGGGCCCCCCCTAACCGCTGCTCCATTGTCGCCGCCACCGCTTGAATTCGTGTACACTTGATGTGCCCTGGGTGAAGACTTTGTCCGCCTATGGATTTTGTGAAGAAGCAATGACACCGTCATAGCTTTAGGGGGGTGCATACGCGTGTTTTTTCGTAAAACGCAGGAGATCTTATACACAATTAACAACACAAAATAAAAAGCTCAAGATTTCCAATACATGCTTTGTCACAGATAAAAAATCATTGAATCAAGTTTTTATAATCAATCACCACAAGCTCGTTTAAGACACCTTACGTTTATACAAATGTATTGACACTTACATCTGGTTAGCGCTTCAAATACGGACTGGAACGCAATATGCGCACGTAAAAAAAAATTCTGTTGAATTGCTTTATCATTCTAAAAACCGAAACATTTTATTAATTAATTATAGGTTGTTCTTGTGCATGATGTAAATATTACGTTTTACGGTTCATTATTACACATTTCATATATATCCACACAGTGGCGTACACTGTCCGGTCAGGCAACCGGAGCGGGTTGTACAGAGCTTTCTAATGGACCTTCACCCGGCAAAGTCGGGCGTGGGGTGAATGCGCTATCCTGGTATGAACACGCACGGCGCAGTGTGCAGGTCCTTCGGCGGGTCGCGCGGCGGTCGAACCAACGCGTCCGGCTGTACGCCCACAAGCTGAAGGCACGGAACGATGCAGTCTGGCGACGTGGAGGAAACGAATCAAGCGGAAAGATGGGACTGACTTATTAACCACATGATCCGGTTCGGCACAGTTCGAATGGACGTCGGAGGCGTTGCCGAGGCAATACGAACGGGTATCGAGCTGGGAACGTCATCATACCGTTACCGATATCCGAGCATCCATGGCCGGCCATTTAAACCGGGCGCGAGCATTGCTGGCATATTTGCCAGTTAGCTGCAGCCCTATCTCGGAACCAGCCACCGTAATGATTCAGCGCCGATAATGTTGAATTTTCGACGAACGGAGGTGGCATGGGCCAAGAGGAGATTTTACATGTGCAGAACTCCGTCCCCCGCGAGTGGGCAAATATTATTTATCTGTAGATGCTTTGCAGCTGGTCAGGCACACATTCTCATGGGCGGGCAACCTCTGGATCTAAGGCTCACCCTCGGCGAGTTGCGGCCGCGTCATTACAACTAAGTTGCCGATTCAGCCATAAACGCTTTTCGACGCCAGGCGAGCAGAGCGGACGAAATGCGCCTTCACGTTTCCGTCGTCTTCACCACGTCATCGCCACTCAAGTTGCGCCGCTGGGCGATTGTGTCCTTCTGGCCTCGCCGTACCTGTATGCTGGTGCTTCTTTCAACGCATCCGGTGTTCTCACGCTTCGGCAGACTCCGCCGTATACGCAAGCATTCCAGTGGCGGGTTACTGCCCCTAGGCGTGATTGAAGGGAGGGCACCAGCATTTTTGGGTCGCCCACGACAGCGCCCTGCCGCCTGACGCAGATGAACAACATTAGGATTCACTAGAAAAGGAGGGCATTCCTTTGGTGGAGATAGAGACCAAAACAAACGCGGTGCAGCAATCAAAGGGACACCAAACTCGTCTTCGAAGCACATTCAAGCATCCACGGGTTACCTTGGGCCGCGACTAGGACACTATCGAACGCCAGTCAGTTTAACCGACTGGCATAGCTCATTGCAATTGGACTTTGGCAAACTTTAACTGCTGTCACTCACCGTTTTGCAACCAAGGTGGCAGTAAATAGCTGGCAGCACGACCTCATCGACCAGGTAACCCAGACCCTGTGGACTCATATGCACGGCTTCCCGGATTATCAAGTTTAGACTTCACGCCGGATTGCTTCCCACCAACTGAACATTTTACACGGATCAGCCCCACGGAATCCGTTCCCCACCGACCTGTGCGCCGGCAAAGAAAAACGTATGAGCACCTTTTTAGAAGCTGTTCGTTTGCCCAAGCGACTTGGAGCAACCATCAGCCATTGGAAAGGCGCTACGTTTCGGCCTAGACGCTTTTAATGTTAAAAACGCACATGCGCATGTGCGGCTCGAACCAAGCCACCCACCTCGTCCTACATCCGACGGATGGCACCCTGACGAATCAGTGTCTTTGCTGCCGATTGACCTCAATGTTGGACGCTCTTCTCCACGTCCGCAACCCTAGCGTTTGGATCAAGGGTGCTAATCGTGTCTTCCGCGGCAAACTGATGACAACACAGAAAAGGTAGGAGTCTACTGGACTGAAGCAGTCCGTTCACTTTCGAAGCCGTTGCCAGACGCAACCAACGCAAGGCGGAAACTGTTACCCGAGGAGCCATATTACATGCGCGCGTTGAGATCCTCAATTACTTACCAAAGAGTCCACGGAGGCTCATGAGGAAGGAGTACTCTGACATCGCGTTACGTAGTTCGGCGCCGGTGTTTTTATCTTGCTACGGAATTCTGTAGTAAAATCGAGATTTTAGATTCTAAATCTCTCTTTATTTTCTCTATTTTAAAAAAACATTTTATAATTCTAAAACGAAAAACAAAGATTAAACTGGCGGTCGTTTTTTGTCTACCACACCACAAAACACAATAATACAATGGCTGGTGAAGAACGTACGTTGTTGTTACTGACTCGTTTGAGGGTTGGTACTATACTACCTATAGCGGCAATGCTGCTCAATGTGTTTCTATGTCTATTTGCTATTGTATCCTATAATTCAATGCAATATATTTGTCATTGTATTTTTGCTTCAATTGATTAGATTCTAACACTTGTGACGCTTTTTTTACTATACACAAACGCATTGGGTTAAATTTTGTTTTACTTCTTAGTGACAACAGTTGCAAGTCAAGAGGTAGCGACAATGTCTAATGTTGTTCAAAAGGGGGAGGAAGAAGAAGAACACCCGTTACAAACTGGATGGTCATTATGGTGATTAATGCAATTTTGTTTTTGTCAAGAGCTTGTGAGTCAATGATACTGACTATTCTCACGTCTGTTTGTTTGCGGCTGCTGCTGTTTGATGTAGGTATGATAAGAAAATGCCCAAGAAGATTGACGTTGGGTGCGTGATTACAACTGACAGTATTATATGTAGAATACTCAATACTGACTGACTAATGCATTATATATGATAGAACGTACCAGTCAAATTTGCAAAAGATTGCCATTTTCAGCACGGTGGAGGATTTTTGGCGGTGAGTTGTGCTGTTATGATATTGAAAGAGGATAGAGAAAGTGAAGGCATGGTGTGTTGTGTGTTTGTTTGTTTGTTTGTTGTTGTTGCTGCTGCTGCTGCAGCCACTATATTCACGTGAAGCGTCCATCGCAGCTGAACCGAGATGTGAATTTATACTTGTTCCGTGACCAATCCAACTGCGCTCCGATGTGGGAAGCATTCCCGCAGGGAGGTTGCTGGATTTTAAAGATCAAGAAAAAAGCCAATGTGCTTGGAAAGATGTGGCAAGATTTGGTTTTTGCTGCCATTGGTGAGGCCTTTGAGCAGCTGGATGTCGTGGGCATTGCCGTGGCCATCCGCTCGAAAGAAGATATGCTGTCCGTTTGGAATGCCGACAATTCAGATGATAGCACGCGCTTTGCTATCGGGTGTGTACTTAACTTGTCAAATTGATACATTTGGGAGTGTGCTAACCAATGTGTTTTATCGTGTGCTCGTTACAGAGAAAAGCTGAAGGAAATCCTCATGCTAGACTCTAATACGTTGGTGGAGTACAAGTTTCACGCAAACTCTATCCGGGACATGTCGACCTTTCGCAACGCGAAGCCGTACGTATTTGCTGCTGCGACGCCAGTTTCAACCAATTAAGCCCGAATTGTAACCAAAAGCTGCTGACCACGCTCACGATTAACAGTGGCTTGACTGCAAACAAGACGTTGTGTGCGTTACGATGCAATAGAGGGTGGATAATTTACACGGGCAACAATTGCGCTGCTTTTTTGCGTTCTTGCTTTATACAACGTTTCTTTTTTGTGTAATACCTTGGCTTTTGCTTATTAAAAAAATGTTACTTACTGCCTACAAAGACACTTAATGTCTATTGATTTGTGAGCAGAAGATTCTGATGAATCGTGAGGAATTTCAAAATCACGCCGTTCGTCCAACCGAAACCAAACTGAGGGAAGTACTCGCCGCCAGCACCCAACCCGCCAACTTCGAACGCGTTGTACTTTTCAAACATCAAGCCTGACTGTTTCCAAGCCGTGAGACTAGCCCGTATCCATGTTTGTGACAACTCGCAAGCCAAATTGTGCGATTCCGTAGTGTTGACGGTTAGCAAGCCTTCTACGACAATATCCTGTTCCGGCGGCCATGCATTAGGCGAGTCCCATTGTTGACCTGAAAAAGTGGTGGTCGTTTGCACACCACCGACCTGAAGCAGTCCCGAATTCTTGAGTGAAGTCACGACGGTTTTCAATCGGTCAATGTCGGTAGCATTAAATGCCCTCGCCCACAGCGGTGTGTAGTCGGATACGGAAACAATGGTTGAATGAGCGTCCGTCTCCAGATCGTAATCCTTCCAGCTCTGATGCTTATCGCTCCACAGAATAACATTGATGGCTTCCAGTCGTCGAGCAGCAGCACGTTCATAAAACTGTGCCTGCTCGTTATTGCCAAGGCGTTCATTAAACTCCATCAAGTTACGTTCTACGCGATACATGATCGAATTCAGATCGACAGGAACGACGGAAGAAGTCGACATCGATTTCATGTCCAATGGATCTCGTAGCCAGCGGCTACTGAAGTCCCACCCGCTCTCAGCAGCAGCAATCACATTATTATAGTACTTGTCTTTGTATCGCTCTGTGGCCGCAGCATTCCCATCGTCCATATGGACGGTGCGGTCAAAAATCTCGGAAGCAACTAAAACATCCTCCCGATACGATTCTGGCCGTGGATGATTGGCATTAGACGTGTAGCGATTCAAAACATACGTGGTTTCATTCATTGTCCCGGCCCTCGGTTCCCGTCTTGTTAACTCGACTGCATGCCCGCAAGGTCCATGCTGCATCCAGAAGCCATATTCGCGCTCCAGGATAGGCAATGCAGCACGCAGATACTCATCATCGTACTCAGTATCGGTTCCGTTGACTGGAAGACTAGCAACTAATTTTACCATATCCGAAAGCATGGGCGGTTGGGACCGCGTTAAATAGTATATTCTCCCTCCGTTTGGCACAAACCCAAATTCGGACACGTACTCCAAAAGGTGATTCACGACGCCCCGTGCCGTGACGGACATATCACTCACCAACAGTCCTTGTACGATCCAGTACGAATCCCAATAGTAACTTTCGCGGAAGCGTCCGCCGGGCACAATCAGCACGTGAGCAGGCTGATTTAAAGTTGGTTCATCTAACTTCCGAGAACGAAGAAGTGAGCCTTTCACATGCGGGTTGCGAATTCGCCCAAGACTTTGCCATATCTGGTGCAAACCAAACGCCCAGTCTCGAAGTTCTTCATCTTGTATGTCAGCTATCATGGGCGGGTAAGACTGTCCCTGGTAGTCAAAAGGCGTGATCGGCAGCAGATCCGTCCCTGGTAAGTCAAAGTGGTCGTCAATAAACTGCCGCAATTTTTCCTCGTGCGTATGATGGACATTGGGTCGGTACTCGGTCATTGCCAGCTCACGACGCTGGAAATCTATTAATATATTAAACGCACTGCTGTTTTTTTTGATCGGCATGTCGACAAAGTACTTGCTGTCCGAGTAAACGTTGGCCATTTGAACAGCATGCAACAAAGGTCCACGACAGTAGATATCCATGGCTCGCTCTAACTCAACATCAACTCCTACTGAAACTTCATTGTCAGTCGAGATTTTTCTCAGCTCAAGTGGTTGACTTTTCATGTGACGAAGAAAAGAGCGTAGACGATTTCCGCCGGTCATCAGCTTGCCGCCTGAACGGTGCAGTGAAAACGTCGGCGCTTTGTGCTGGCCATGGCCAATTGATCTGATCGAAAGCACCTTTAAGCCCATAGTAACAAGGATTATTACCACCAAAATTTCCAGGATCCGAAGCAAAAATTTACGGCACAGCAAGCAAGTACCCATCGGTGCAATGTCATCAACATCTTGACGCTTTAACTGGTCGTGTACTTGACCACCATCCCGAGTCTCTGGAATTAAGGGCAGTTTCTCTTCTTCGTAAGCGACGTCACGATTGTCCCACCACTTGATTAAATCTGCAAGCAATGCAGCACGCTTTAGTGCTTCGAACTTATGACCAGTATCCTCTTCCGTAGAATTGTAGCTTGAAGCGCAACTTGGGGACATGAACGACTACAGCACGAAGATCTTGGTGCTCACGGAGATGAAAGTTAGGGAATGACAACGATAGAGGTCGTCGAAAAGATTGAGGACCAATGTTTTATTCTCGCGGCGTTTCCCAGAGCTGCACATATAGGTAGTTTTGAACCTGTACGCAATTAGTTGCGAGCAAAGATGACGATTGTCCGTATCCATATCGAACGTGAAAGGGGTCACGCAAATTCTGGAGTATCGTCGAGAGGTAGTGGACAATAATTGAAATCTCGGTTGAGTTTTGTCTGGCTGACAGGAATTGACCAAGTCTATCGTTGCCAACCACTCAATTTGATCGATTATTGGCCGTCAGTGCGCCTGTACCTACTTCAATGCGCTCCGAAGACCAACCAACTAACTACGAATAATACAACCATCATACAGACCAAGCAGTAATAAAAGAAATCAAGTGATATAAAGGTGAAGACTCGCTATTGAATCTTCACGCACCTTATAGGCAATTTGATGTTGTTGAGCTACACTAATGCAAGACCATTGTGTGCGAGTTGCGTGGTGTGGCATTCTCTCCCTCTCCCCCTCTCATTGCAGTGTACTATTCCACGCGGTTTGTAATGCAAAAGAAGAACGGCAGAGCTCCAATATGCAAAGAAACAGCTAAACAAAAGCTACTGGATAGCGAGTAGGAGACGAGGGAGGGACAGCACGACATGACCAAATTCTACACTAGCATTTCCATCGGTTGCCGCAGTTATGGCACATGACAAACACCGTCATCGGTTCATCAGCACTGCGTGTCTGCTTCTGTGTGTTACTAGTTTTGGACGACTTGCAACGTCCACAAGTAAACAGCCCCTTGGTACCTTCTGTACCCGTCTGCTTTTGAATCTTTTCGTGATTAGCTTCTGCCCAGTCCAGACGTGCTTCCTGGAATGCATCATCTCGCAGCTTCTCAATCTGTGCTCGTTTCTCCTCCGTTGCTAGTTCTTCGGCTGTCATCTTGACCAACTGATCACCACTCACACTGTCATCCAGCAAATTTTGTCGTAATTCACTATTCTTCTTCAGATTGAACGATAATTGGCGGTACTTGGCCATGTACTCCTTCTTTTGCTCTCCTGGTGCTCCCATATGGTACGCTTGAGCCATTGCTACTTCAATAGCAGCCGCCACTTGGCCTGGATCACCACCTTCTGAAATTTCTAAAATCTCTTTCAGTTTTGTACGCACAGTAGCTCGTACCTTGTCCAACCCAGCAGGAATGAAAGATGACGAGCTTAGTTTCACCGCTTCAGGCTTAGGCGCCGTCTTCACTCCATTTGAGCCCGAAATTCTAGCCTTAAGAGATGCCTGTACAGTACTGCTGGATGGTTTACGTTCTGGTTCAGGTGTAGCTCGAGGAGATAACGCCATATTTTTCCATGACTTGACGAGCAATCGTGCTAAATTTGCAATTTTCTCATTCTCGTGCTTCCGCAATTTACCAACTGTATGTCCTATTTTAGTTTCCTTTAGGATCGTATAGGTCACGGCGGATTTTTCCAAGGTACGTAAGATATCCAGTACATCACCCTCATCTGTTACATCACCTCGCGTAAACTTGAGTAGACGACGATGTAATTGCTTTGCATCTTCCATAATGAATTTTGTAGCTTAGGTAAAGAGAGAAGAGAAGAGAAGAGAGGGGCGTTACGTGAGAAGGTGGGGGTTCGACACTTTTTTTGGCTCTTAAACGCTTACGATTTCCACGTCGCGTCCTAAAATTTAATGGCTTATTTCAGGCTGTGAAATCAACGTCTCGTAAAAATAGTGTGGTATCCACGAATCGATGTGCTTACATCAAATTAGCTGCAAGAAGGGTTTTATTTCGTCCATGACCGCAAGCAAGATGACGACGATGCATCAGGAAAAGTCAGTAAAGACACTAGATCGATGGTTAACACCTGTTATTGATACAATCAGACATAAGAAACCCATCGAAAGCTTAATGATACGGTCGTTACTTCAACGTGGAGTAATAATAAAAAGAGGAAAGTGATGGAAAACAATGGAAACAGGGCGGATCCATCCAGGAATTTGTTCAGCGTTATATTCACATGAAGGACGAGTGTCACGTTTGCAAGAGCGCCAAGACAGAAGAGAGTACATGATGTGAATTACGCTGTGCAACATGCTCCATGACATTTCATAAAAAGTGTTATTGTGTTTTGAAGGATGAAGGATTTGACAATATTGGAACCGCCGTCGATGTCAGTTCATTTATGATGCAACGGCGTGGAAAGACATAGTAGTCTAGTAGGCGTGAAGATATTACGTTTGCAACGTGCAAACCATGGATGAACAATACAAACTTTACAAACTTCATACCGACTGCAATTTTGCTGCCGTGTTTTTGTTCTTGCAGCGTTTGCGACAGACAACTTGGACTGAAGCTTCCAAACATCGTCATGACACTTGAAGTGGGGGAAAAGGTTCTTTGCTTTGTTGATGACCTGGAACAGTTTGGATGATGTCGTGTTATTCTTTATTGGTATTCATACTATGCAGAATCTTGCCAACACGCTGCTGGAGCCAAAGTGCGACGGGCTGTGCGCAGAATTACACACTTGCTTACTGACGAATATTAATGCTGCCATGTCAAGGTACGTTGTGGCGACTAGCCCATCAGTGTCAGCAGTCATTTACGGTCGTGTACTTTGCTGTTTGCTACGTTTAGAAAGTATCCTTGGTACATTGGCCTGTTTTGATTTCTGCGCGAAGCAGAATATTCGCCAATTACAGCCGAGAGCACAGGTTTGTGGGCTAGCAGTGGTGAGGCTGAAAAATGTGAAGCGTTTTATTTCAACCTGCCGTTGGCAGAGAGGCTGGCAATCCTGAAGTTTCTGTGTGAAACGCAATTTGACCGCAATGACGCTCTTGTCAAGTAGATTGACGCCGAGGAAGCCGAGTCGATGGTAGTAGACTAGACACTCAATGTTGTACTTTTGCTAGGTAGCTAATACTTACGTCCAGTGTTATACAGAGAAATGAACCCATCGGAGTTGATGCCGCAGGTCGTTTTCTTACTTTATTTTAGAGGATGCTGCGACTGTACCCGATGGAGTAGTGTGGATATGTCGATGTGTAAAAGTTGACGGTACCGACTGGGAAACGGTCTGTAACGATCTCCACACAGTAAAGTTGCTAGTGAGGCAGTTGTCGCTATCGGTCGAGTCGTCAGATTTGCAGCTTTGGCAGGCATTATCTTGTGGAGTACTCAAGAAACTTACTCGTCAAAAGGAGAAGCGGGTACGAAACGAGCGTTGGAAACACGAGCTTGCTACCAGTGGCGTATTGAATTATTCCAGTACTTTGAAGGTATTACGGCCTTCCTTGCGCAAACGGAAGCAGATGAATCACGCGAACATTGATGAGGAAGAAATTGTGGCGGATTCAGACAACAGCACTGACAATGCCGAGGACGCATTTGAAGACAAACCTGACGACGCGTCGACAGTGAAATAGACGGAATCAACAAAGACGTTTTTGACCATTCAGCAATCGACATACAACAATAAGACGCACATCAAGAAACAAAAACCAAATCTCGAGTTACGCGACGTTAGAAACGACTACGGCATTCCAAAATAGAAGCACAGCTCATTGCTATGGCAATGGTTTCCATTGATAGTAATGGTTGCAATTACAGTAACACAAAGAGTGACTGTGGTGAGAAAAAAAAATTGCGTCCGTCATGCACATTTTTGTCCGCCATACGCCATGCGACATGTTGTTGCCGCAATGTCAGACTTGTCCCTTTTACTATATTTCAACCAATTAGAGCAACTTTGAGGCTTTTAGAAAGTGAGTTTAGTGCCTTCTATAAAAAGCAGCTTTTGTTACGAAAGACGCGACGGCTTATGATTAACTATATATTTATTATCTGCTGAGTCTTCTTGTTCTCTACATTACGCTTCCTCTCTTCCTTCTTGGTAGCTTGAATGGACAATACAATACGTTATATGAATTTTTTATTGAAGCATTTTGTCGTCATTGTTTTCTGATTCTAACTGTATTTTTTTCTATTGTATCTCTGATATTCTATGAATTCTATGCTATCACCAGTTCATAACAATCAGTCAGTATGCAACTTACGGCACTGGAGCCTACACTTTTGTCAAGTGATAATGGCCCCCTTAAGTCTGCTTTTGGAGAAGTTGTGCATCGTGGTTGGCTTAATCTCAAGACCCGCAGCATGGTGAATGTGCGACCGCGACATATGCGGTACTGTATTTTAACACGTGACACATTATTGTTCAGTACATTCAAGTTTCAGCCTAGTACAGGGGATCTACAGTCTGGATTAGTGAAGTCTCTTCGTAGCTATAAAGTGCTAGGGGTGGCACCATGGGACGGTCGACGTTTTGCCTTTCTCATGAGTGTTAAGCAGGTGGATGACCATGCAGATAAAGTGCTGGAGATTGACGGCCTTAGCGCCACTGCTGCTAGTGACTGGATTCATAATCTAAGAGTTTTAACGAGTCATGGAGAGGAGGAATGGCCTCCAAACACGTCAATGGCGTCCTTAGGAGGATCTCCATCTGACTCTTTATCCGATGCGGTTAATGTCGCTGCAAGTGACAAGAAAGATGCCAATTTGTGGGTCAAAGGAGCGTCAGTTCATCGAGGATTGCTCAATTCTTCTGGCGAGAATAATTGTTTCTTGAATGTCGTGATTCAAAGCTTCTGGCACTTGACATCCATGCGACACTTTTTACTGCATGTAGAAGTGAAGGATGGGTCTCGTACAGTGGAGACAAATGTGTTACGTGCACTGAAATCTATAATGACAGAATATGATGACACGTCAAGTGGAGTATTACACTCGCGTGCTATTCGTAAAGGATTAAGTGTACTATACTCGGCAGATAAAAATTTTCAGGAAGGCGCAATGTACGATGCAGAGGAGACGCTTCTTGCACTACTCAACTTGATGCATCAGCAAACGGAAGCGACGGAGGTTGAGGAGACGCATAAAACAACGATGATGGTAAAGTCATTGGTCCGGCTTGTGAGCTCCGATACATACGAGGAGAAGCCGCAGGCAGTATTTGACGACAACAGCATCCCGCACCTGGTCTTTTCACACCAAATCTATGATCGATATTTCTGCGGAAGTTGCAATCATAGTTCGTTATGGGACCTTTACTCTAACCTCGTGTACTCGACGTACGCTAGTGACTTGTACGCTTGCAAGTACGAATCGATGGAGCACATGTTTCGTCGATTGACAATCCAGGAAGCAGACGTTGCGTCTAAGTGTGAGCAAAAGGGATGCAGTGGCAAGCTTTTTAAGGAGCGAGTTATTCATCGTTTTCCTATGGTGTTTGCAGTGTCGATTCTTTGGGCAACTCAAAATGCAACGAAGGAGCAAGTGCAAGGGGTGCTGAATAACATTGAAAATCGCTTGGATTTGGCCAAGTGCTTCGATGCCGCTGGACCGGTCATTCGGTTCAAAAGCGGAGGTTTGCGTACAACATATCGCTTGCGTGGTTTTGTTTGCTATTATGGACGCCATTACGTGGCTGTGTTCTACAGCACTGCTCACAAAATGTGGTTACTTTTCGACGACTCACGAGTTCTTGAGATGGGATCTTGGAGCAATGTCGTCTTAGAGTGTCTGAAGGGACGGTTTCAACCAGTTTTGTTATTTTACGAATTGCCGGATCAACGAAGGGATTCGTCCGTTGGCCTTTTACTGGATGATGGATCATATAACGTGGATAGACAAAAGAGTCTTTCGATCGGGTCTCAGCTGGGCGAAATGATGCCATCATCTATTCAGGAAGAATCATCAAATTATGAGAGGCCATTTTTGCGTCACAAAGACGCTGTAGAGCTTCACAGTGTGGATGAAGAAGCAACCCTTTCCAGTGGGCGAGATGCGCATATAGTAACAGAGTTGGAAGCAAATCGAGACTTTGAGCTGGAAGAGCTGAGCCTGCGTAGCTCCGTTACTCAAAATATCACGCCGGTATCGATGGCCATTGCCATGTGCCCTCGTTCAATTTCTATGAATGCACCTGTTGGCGAGGACGAGTACGACGTGCGCTTTGGTGACTCTCTTCTACTTGGCATGTACTTGGAGAAGGTGGACAATGAGCTGTGCGTGACCAGTTTTCCGCGTGGAGCTAAAGGTGGCATGTTTGGCGCCGAAAAGTGCGGCCAGATTAGTCTTTTTGACACCGTTCTGCAGGCTAATGGACATCCGCTTCAACATTACCAGGTAGATCGCGCTTTGAAGATGATCAAGGCTCAGACACGTCCGCTTGTAATCCGGTTCCGCAAGTCTAAGCGTGTACAACCGCTTATTGACATGGGGTTTTCACGCAAGCTTGCAGTTGAGGCATTGCAAAAGAAAAATGGTGACGTCCAAGCCGCTGCGAATTATTGCTTTGAAACAATAAGTTAGTCTTTGATTGATTGATGGTGAAAAAATAACACGCATCATGCTAATGCACATACATTTGTATCGTGTGCTTTGTGATAGAATGAACAGTAAACGAAGTATTTGTTAGTGAAAACACGAGTGGATACGTGGCATTTCATTGTGCACATCTTTAAACTTCTTTTAACCACACTGTGGTAGCTAGATACGAGATTTACTTTAGCTTGCATCGAGAAGATAAAGAGCATGGCAGCTCCAGTGGCAGTGAGCTTGATTTACATGCAACGTAACAGTCGTAAGTTGAAGTTGCCTTTATGTGCGCTACACCAAATTATATTGGATTCAAACCGCGTCTTTACGCTCCCTGTAAAATCGCATCAATTCCTACGGCTCAGAAACGTTTGTATAGCCCCTTCGTCTTATTCCCCATACTACTAAAACTGATCGAATGAAGAGCATCGGCTCTCGTGTTGCACAGAAGGCGTTTTCGCATGCGCGTGGCTTCCGTTCTAGCGCTGCAATAGCCAGTGCAATGGTAGAAGAGCCTGCAATGGTACGCGTATACGGTGGTCTTAACGATGAAGACCGCATCTTTACAAACGTGTACGGAGAAGACACTTGGCGTGTAGACGGCGCATTACGTCGTGGAGATTGGCACCGCACAAAGGATTTATTATGTATGGGACCAGAATGGATTGTACAAGAAATTAAAGACTCGGGTCTACGTGGACGTGGAGGTGCTGGTTTCCCAAGTGGTCTCAAGTGGTCGTTCATGCCAAAGCAGACTGATGGCCGTCCATCTTTCCTTGTGGTGAATGCTGATGAGAGTGAACCAGGTACTTGTAAGGATCGAGAAATTATGCGTAAGGATCCACACAAGCTAGTCGAGGGATGTTTGATTGCTGGCTTTGCCATGCGCGCCCGTGCTGCCTACATTTACATCCGTGGAGAGTTTTTCAACGAGGCTTTGATCCTCCAGGAAGCTATTCATGAAGCATATCAGCGTGGATTCCTTGGCAAAAATGCTTGCGGATCTGGATATGACTTTGATGTGTATCAGCACCGTGGTGCTGGTGCTTACATTTGTGGAGAAGAGACTGGACTGCTAGAGAGTCTCGAAGGCCGCCAGGGAAAGCCTCGGCTGAAACCACCTTTTCCTGCTAACACGGGCTTGTATGGATGTCCTACCACAGTGACGAATGTGGAGACGGTGGCTGTGTCTCCAACGATCTTGCGTCGCGGAGGATCGTGGTTTGCTAGCCTTGGACGCAAGAACAACCACGGTACCAAGCTTTTCTGTATTTCTGGACATGTAAACAATCCGTGTACAGTAGAGGAGGAAATGAGCATTCCTCTTCGTGAATTGATTGATCGCCATTGCGGTGGCGTTCGTGGAGGTTGGAACAACTTGCAGGCGTGTATTCCTGGTGGGTCTTCTGTCCCTGTGTTGGATGAGGAGCTATGCCAGGATATTATGATGGACTACGATGATTTGAAGCAGCGCGGTGGCTCTGGTCTCGGCACGGCTGCCGTCACTATATTCGACAAAAGTGTTGATATGGTGGGTGCTATTCGCCGGTACTCGCACTTTTACACTCATGAGAGTTGCGGTCAGTGTACGCCATGCCGTGAAGGTACGGGCTGGATGGAAAAGATGCTGACTCGCATGGAGACTGGTGATGCCGAACTTGAGGAGATTCCTATGCTAGAGGAAATCTCGCGCCAGATTGAGGGCCACACTATTTGCGCTTTAGGTGACGCTGCCGCCTGGCCTGTACAAGGTCTGATCCGTAAGTTTAAGCACAAGATTGTGGAGCGCATCGAGGACCCGTCCAGTTTTAAGCCGGAGGACCATTTTCAAAAGTCGTGGCCTGGTGCTCCTCTTGAGAACCAATCATGGGTGGCCAAGTTCTCTGATGGCTCGGCTTACAAATCCGCGTAAGCTGCGAATAACCTGGTTGTGGCCCGAGTGCGGACTGGCAGGGATGATATATTGTACAGAAAGGAGTGACTTGACACGAAAAACTACAAACACTTGCAGGAGAGAACGAACAATCAAAGCGAATGGTCAGAATTTGTTCATTCGGAAACTGATGCAGAGACCAGAGGCTAAATACAATCCAGCTGCTTAATACAAGCATTTTAGTTGTGTTACATGTATTTTTACTACTAGTTTGCTTGGCAATCCTTACCATGGTATCGGTAATCTTTCATTCGTGACATTGTGACACAAGCATATTAGACTCGAGTCTACTTAAGCCATTTGGGCTTTTGCCTCTCATCGTATTGAATCGTTGGAGCGAAGAACTCGATGAACTGCTGATCAAGTAGTCGCATGCGTGGACCAGCAAAGCGGCAATACTCATCAATAATCGATGTAAGTGACCAGTTTTCCATCTTGCGCATGCATCCAATCACACAACCTGTACGGTGCTACAACATTAATAACAAGCAAAAAGCAGAACACCATTTCAATTAGCCTGATTCTCTTTTTCTGCACTCTAATGACTGCATACGCACCGTTCCTTTCGTGCAGTGCACCAATATCGGATGATTTCTCACATCTTCACACAATACACAAAAAGAAAAAAATGTCAACTAATGGATGTGTTCTTTATACTACGTAGTAGTAGTAATTGACTAGATACCAAGTAAATGACGTAGTGCATCAGCCATTGCATCTGGATTAATGCTAATAAATGGTTCCTATCATCAAAAACATCATGTGGTCGTTTGATTCAACATGTAGCTGCTGTATATACAGCAAGTTGAAGCAATCTTATTCATCTCTCTTTCTCTTTCTTTACCTTATTACCGTCAATTGGGCATTGAAACACTTGAATGTTATTTTCCTTAAAAAACACGATATTCTCAGGTTGATGGCCTTGATGACACAAATATCTACGTCCATACAATCTCATGGTGGTGTAAGGAAATAAGGAAGAAAGAAGTTCGTACAACTTGTAAGAAACGTACAATACAGACTTAAGACCAAGCTGTTGGAGAAACATATGATTTTTTCGATTTGGAAAACCTGAACGATAGACACCTGAAGCTACCATAGAAAAATTAAGCGGTGGAATCAGTGTCTTTTCATACGTTGACATCTTTTTTCTCGAAACTCGTTTGATTCTAAAATGCACCGATTCACGTTTTTCTGATTGGACAAGATTAACTCCACTCGCTTGTTTTGTGTGATTCGACAAAAATAGAATCACACCTTAAGGTTCATCTGTTTAGCCATTTTAGTAGTAGTTGGTTCCAACATCATTTCAACTTGACTTTGACATTGTCTTGAGCTTACGAGCAGCTAGTACGTAATTAAATCCAAAATGTATCCTTCGTTGTTGCTTATCATCACTCTCAGAAAATTCTCTCGAGCCAAATTCCTTTTCAAGACGTTCATCTATGCGATCAAGTGCTTGGATCATATTGTTCGCTAATTCACTGTCGTTAAACATTGGTATATGACGTCTTCCCACCTCGAGCTGACGGATGATAGCAGACCGGCCATATACATTGACGAAACGAACGCTGTTAATGACTTCCATTCCCACCTTTTCAAGCTGGCGCTGCGACCAGTCAATCGGATACTCCCGATAGCAACGACGTCCTGCTAGCAGTAAACAAGCGTCACGTGTACGTGCCACTTCCTGGATAAGTTTTCCAGCCTTAACTTCTTGTTCACTGGCACATGCTGGAGCATGAGACTCACTCCAAGGCTGCAAACCAACCAAGTAGATCCTTCCTTCTGGTGCAAGCATTTTCTCCAGTCGAGCACAGATCTGATCTTGGTAGTACGGTGCAAAACCTTCAAGAGCTCCAATAAGATAGTCTACGGTACATATCAATGCAATGGAAACAAATGAGAGCTAGATACAGTAAATATCGTACAAAACAGCTCAGTTTACCAGCAATAATGATATCAAAAGGCTTCTCATTGCTTAAAAATGTAGCATCTTGCCAGTTTCCAACATGAAGTTTGAGCGGAGTAGCGTGTGGTGTCTTACTAGAGTCAAATTTAATCCTAAGGTCACTTGCCAGAGATTGTTCCACCGTCACAGCAACGACTTCTTTGATAAGAGAGGACGCTTCACCACAAAGAAGCCAAGAAAGAGAGTGATAACCTGTACCAGAGTCAAGTACACGTCCCCATGTAGATTCAGAGACTTTACAGCGCTCGCGTTCACGCTCCTCAATCCAACTAAAGAGTGAATCCGTCTTAGCAGTTAATGTCATGTGAATGGAAGGAGATGTGTGGCGTACACGATACTCGACACCACCAAAAAATGACAACACTCGACTGTATATCCGAGCAGTTATAGAGCAAAAGTATTTAATTAGACTGTCGTGGTTCTAAATACCTGGTTTTATTCTGTAAAAGTAGTTTAGCAAAAAATAGAACGACTATTAGGATCAATCAAAATAGAATGACTCGAATTATCATATACAGATGGTATAATGATATTTCTAAATATTACTATTAGTTTAGTACACAATCAAGTCTATGTCAAAATATTTACTTCTATTAATGTAATAATCAAAATAATATTTATTCTTTCGTTATTCAGATATTAAAAATGACATCAAAGAGTGAGGCAGTTTCAATTACAAAAACCGGTATGTCATTTTCGGTGGACACTACATATTTTCCAGCTCGGTAATAAATTAGCCAGCCGTCACTATTTGTAGGCTTTGCATTTGACAAATTCTCCATTGTTCAGACCTTACAAAGAAAATGAATATAGTTTTGGTAATCTTTATTATCGTGATGGCAGTGGAGAAGATGGTGCAAGCAGTGTTACCACGTAATGATGATTGCGTCATACGTGCTTGGATACATATCGTGGCAACCCACCGATATAACTTGCCATGACTAGTCGAAATAGTGAAGTTTAGGCTATGCTAAGTCTCACCTTCGAATTAATTACTCAAGTTGCTTACGTTTTCATCGCCAAAAAGCGTACTACGTACAAACGTAACATGGTCATTCCCGTTGTTCCTCGACTTTTATATAGTGCCGTGTGCTTGTTCCGTTGCCGCATAGACTTTACTTTACTACTACGCTGGCGGCATTCCTGTTATTACCTAATCACTAAAACATGGTCAGCCCGAAGAACCTTTCGATATGCTTGGAATGTCTAGCTGAAGTTGCATGCCTTCGCTGGCGCACCTTCAGCTAGACATTCCAAGCATATCGGAAGGTTCTTCGGGCTGACCATGGTTCTCAAGCTGTTTCTGTATACCATTAACCAAGGCAGAAGAAAACGGGTCGTACTTTACGTGTACAAGACCACGTGCGGCCAAACTTTGACGTCAACGACAAACAAACAACTGGATTTTTATTGAGACAGGTTCAGGTATTTCACCTTACAAGCATATATATGGATCTGCCCACAAAACAGCCGTGACATAGATTGACTGAGCAATTTTTTAAGCAATTGGAAGTTCAACCGAGAAGCTTACTGCTACGATGCAAATGCTCGACTGAGTATCGACAATTATACGCATGCAATCAAGCGATATGATTATCTTACGATTATGCGTTTGTAACAGCCGCACAACCGACTTATTGACATCTGCTGTATGTCGTGCCGTCACAGAGGGTAAACGGCTCGCCAATTGCCGCGTCTGCACTGTTCTGACACCAAATTCAACACGAGTTTTGCTCAATTCTGTGCAAGCTCGGTATAATTCAAACGAGTGGCACTCATGGCTGCTGTCATGGTATGCGGTGCTACTTGCTTGGCTACAATAAAGATATGAACTCGTACTTGTAAGCACTGAAAGTGCTATGTGTAGTTCATAACTGAGTCAGAAACGATGAAGGATTGCAAAGGCTTGCAGCATTGTAATGTGTGCAAAATACGATCAAACACATGAGGTTGTAACCTAATGGTGACTCGAGTACAGAATCCATTTATGTTTTCAGGAGATTTGTAGCTCTTACGATGGGTCTTTGCAAGGGGAGACTGCGTGCTTACATTATAATCGTGTTTTTTTGCTGCGCCTTGCACTGGATTTTACGACTCTATGACATGCTGCAGTAAAGAAATGGAAGTAATGAGTTCATCCGATTCGAAGTAAAAACCACTGTCTTGCAAGTTTCAAGTCGACAACAGCATACGATTAAACAATTCTTGAACTGTGATGAGCTACTTGCTTAAGGTCTCATCGTCGTTTGCTGTAAACTGAGGCATCTACAGCGTGTCATTCCGCGACTTGCCAATCCAGACACAAGCCAAGACAAACCCAACTGTTTTCAACGATGAAGATTTCCCACGTTATTGCTCTAGCAGCAGCCGTTGCTGCTTCGGTGGCTGTTCCTACCGCTGCAGAGTTGGGCTTGACAACCCAAGTGAAGAGCACCTCTTTGTTATACAAATTACAAGTCGGCCGTCGACTTGGAACTAGTCTCCGTGGATCTGCCGAGCAGGTGGACCAGTATTCTCCATCATACAGTGCGGAACAAAACGACAGCAGTCATGGAAGCCTTGACCAGCAGGGAACGAAGGACATCGCGGACAGTAAGAGTGCCAGCAAAGACAGCGGTAAATTAAAAAGCAAAGACAATGAATCGGACTGCAAAGAAAAGGAGAAGGGGAAGAAGGAGAAGGAGGAGGAGGAGGAGGAGGAGAAGAAGAAGAAGGAGGAGGAGGGGAGAAGAAGAAGGAGGAGGAGGAGGAGGAGAAGAAGAAGAAGGAGGAGGAGGAGGAGAAGAAGAAGAAGGAGGAGGAGGAGAAGAAGAAGAAGGAGGGAGGAGGAGAAGAAGAAGGAGGAGGAGGAGAAGAAGGAGAAGAAGGAGAAGGAAAGGAGAAGAAGGAAGAAGGAGGAGGAGAAGAAGAAGAAGGAGAAGGAGAAGAAGGAGGAGAAGGAGAAGAAGGAGGAGGAGAAGGAGAAGAAGGAAAATGGAGCAAGAAGGAGAAGGAGGAGGAGAAGAAGAAGAAGGAGGAGAAGAAGGAGAAGGAGGAGGAAAGGAGCTTACAAGAAGGAAGAGCAGAAGGAGGAGGAGAAGAGGAGTACAAGAAGGAAGAGGAGAAGGAGGAGGAGGGAAAAAAAAAATGGAGGTACAAGAAGGAAGAGCAGAAGGAGAAGGAGGAGGGAAGAAGCAAAATGGAGCTTACAAGAAGGAAGAGAGAAGGAGGAGGATGAGAAGAAGCAAAATGGAGCTTACAAGAAGGAAGAGCAGAATGAGGAGGAGCAAACCGGAGCTTACTAGGAAGAGTATTAGCCGTAGGGCAGCTGCGGCATAGCCAAGTAGAGAGGACGAGGACAAAACAGAGGAGAAGCTGATGGACGACAAGGGCAGAGCGAGGAGAAGCAGAAGACGACAAGAAGAATGGCAAGGAGGCAAAGATGGTTGAAGACGACAAGAAAGAGTATGGTGAGAAAAAGGAAGGAAGCGATACAGCTACCAAGATATCGACAACAAACGATAGCACATAGCTAATTGAGCAGTAGGGGGCCTGCTTGTAGTCAAAATGCAGTCTTTCGTTTAGTTTTGGTACAGGAGCGTTTGTAGGTGTGTAAAACAAATCGATTTTTTAAACGCTACCGATGAGTAAATTCTTGGTTGAAAGTGACGTCTTTCACAACTTGGTTATTACCCTTTAGCGCCAACAGGCCCTACGACTATCTGTCCGGTGGCAATATCGTCCTACAAAATCCTAGGCCCAAAGACTTAGAGCGTGCACAACCAATTTTAGGGTATACAGTGTCTTTACTGGGGATGCGACTGAAAGAAGGGAAAAGGCATTGAAACAACCAGAGTTGTCACTTAGATGATGCAAAAGAAAGAGCAATGCTAATTAATGTCCTTATCTCCTAGCAGCTCACCCCAAGTCTGTATGGAGAAAATAAATAATTAAATGAAGCTTTCACAGCTGCTCGAAGCAATGAGATAATCCGTTATAGACATACTGGTTCATCATTCTTGAAGACTGCCTTTCAACAATATGGTATTGTTACGGAATAGGTGCGTAAATAGCTTTTGGTTTCTCCATACGTTTGAAAGGTTTCGTCAAACGTTTGAATGACTTTCAAGTGATTATTTACATGATGAAGAAAAGATAGTACATGTACAGCCTTGGTAAATGTATTGAATGACATGCAAGTTGCTATCTGCTCTAGGATACAACGTACAAAATGTAATCACTACTGAATGTATTCTAGCAATCTTTCGATCGGTAATTGTCTCGTCAGTTGAAAACCTTGTTTCAGGCTTAGCTCACTTGCTTTTGGGATACCTACTTCTACGATGTTCATCCATCTTAACGTCCTTTGCTTCTCCTCCTTTTGCTCCTTCATTTCTCTTCATCTTGTTTTTCTTTTCCTTGACTTCATACTTGCTCTTTTGATCTTGCTGACTATCCTGACTGAATATTCTGACTTGGTGTTTCGGAACTTTCTGTCACTTGCTGGCGGCCACGGCCCCGCTGACATAAAGCTGTCGATCGAGCTGCAGCTTCTTAGTGAGGTTGTGGCCACAAAACGGCTTGATGAAGCGTTGGTGGGTTAGGATTCAGAGGATAACCACGGCAGAAACATGATGATGTTCGAAAAGCTTCATGGAACTGTAGTTGTTATCTGGTTTTGGAAGCTGTTTCAATGAAAATAGTAGGATCGACCAGTGTGTTGTTGACTATACATACTTAATAAAAACGTCTTATTTTCAGCTTGAACGAGGACGCAGCAGCGATGTGTTACCGAGTTGCGTTTTTTGAGCAGCACACATATCCTACTACAGTTTTACCTGCTTGCTGAGACGTATGCGCGGCTTCACACCGGCTTCGATGTTTTTACATGTCAATAGTATTTTTTGGTTCAAGAGAGATTCAAAACAGTATTCCAGATATGTGTCCCAAAGTCAGTGAGCCTGCAAACTTGCTAGTAGAAGCAGCTTTCAATGGGCTTGATTGATTTCAAATGAACGAAAGCTGATGTGATTGTTATATTCAAGTCGAAGCACATTACACAACTAGTAATTATGATAGCGAAACCTTTCGTAGTCATGTATAGCAAGCAACTCGGTATCAATTTTCCTGTTCAGTCGCGCACATGTTGAAATTTCCATTCACACCATACACAACACAAATGTCTATCATGGTGTTACCTTGTATGCCCTGAAATACGACAGCTAGTAACGACATTCTTCCCCGTGACAGAGGTCTTGAAACCATCTTCAGCAACGACACTTGAGCTGGAAAATCAACCTATCAGACAGACTTCGGCATGTATAACAAAACGTTTCATTAAAAACCAGCTCATTAACTTGGTTTTAAGAATAATATCAATCGATGAGATTGTATCGGTATCAACGTCTAGCAGATCCGTATTCACTAAACTTGTCTTTCTTTCTCATCACACAATGACAACGTTAAATAATATGCTGGGTAATAAACAGGCTTCAAACAGAGCATAAAATGGTTGATACAAGAGGAGTCAGAATTGGTCAATTCATCGACAGCGAGAGCGCTTCAAGAGCTTGGAATGTGCAGCTGTTAATAATAACGAGTCTAAAAAATGTAACTACAGGTTCCAGCCACGGCTATAATCCTTTTGCTCTTCCATAGCTTATGAGGTTAGTATTGGATAGTGGTAGTGAGTGAATAGACACGAGCTCGTTGCGTTACCAGATTTGTCTTACGCTGAACATCGCCTCTGGTGAACGATTTACCGCTCGCTCATTTAAGTAGACGAGCTCAGCCCAGATCCTTTTTGTCTTATAACGGTTGCATTGAGGTGCGAGAGCACGTACAGAAAGACGAGCTTGCGAGTGGTGGGCATCGAGCACTGTGCTGGGCATCAAATCCCACGCTTGCGCCAGGATAGGAACGTAGAGAAACAATGAGTATCTTCGTAGAACCTTTACACAGAGCGACCGGCGCGATTCAACGAGAAGAAAAAAGTTGACTGTCGACCCTGCGACATTGCGATCCTACGGTCATACGACAATGATACCTGCGACCTCGCGATGATCGATCGCAATTCATATTAGTATCGCTTCTCATTGCAGGATCTTCCATAAAAACCTCTAACATTATTATACCTAGGATATTTCAATGTCTGCACAGCACTTTGAAAAAAACTCATCAATGCACCTGCGATGTGAAAGGATAGATGTTGGTGCTACAACGAGACGACAATAGACAGAAAACCCATGACGACTGTCTACCAACGTGCAACGTTGATACAATAAGACTGATTCATATCAAAACTCTGGATGCAGATTGGATGGTTGCATTACAACACCAAAGCACAAGCTTTTACCGTTGATTTTGAGAAAAAAAAACAAAGAATTCCATGCACAGGAAGTACATATATAACTATACTGCACGGAAAAAACACGGCTTTGTTTTTCAAGAGGTTCATGCAGAAGGGATCTTGTCTTTAGTATAGGGTCGTGAGTATTGTCAAAACATGCAAATCTGTAATTCACACCCGTTTCGGCTTTTTTTTACAGTCGTGCTCTTGATTGTTTGTTGCCATTGAAACCTAAGAGTTTATCCCAAAAAAAGTAGCGCATTTGCCCTGCCTTCGTCACGGTGCGACAAACAATTTACGAGGATTCAACATCACATTAAGGCGACAGGCCTCCTTTTTTCTGGACAAAGCCAGTGTATTGTTCGTTCAAAATTTGATGTGACACCGTAGGCTCAAGAAAAAAGAGAGAAAGCTTTCCCCTCTCTCTCCTAATGTTGAGCACATCAAATTTGGTCTTTGCTTTCAAGTTCTGCTTCGCTTTTGCCCATGCAAACATTGAGCTCATTAATTAATTTACCAAACCTTGCAAACAACGTTTGCTCCATTGGAAACAGCCTCCAATACTACTAACCACCTCAAACGTTTTGCAAACATGCATCTTTCACGTACGATTGCGCACATTGCGCTTGCCACGGCAATTATCGCTTCGACTGCGTCGCCCACTGACGCTGCCTGGGGCTTGATGACTGAGCCAACGCCGTCAAAAACAACAAAGTTAACGAGGCCCTGCACGTAAAACGCAATTTGGGCGCCGGCAGAGGTCTCCGTGTTGCAGAAACGAAAATGGAAACACAATTGAACGATTACGGCGGTGGTGACAAATATAAGCTGAAGGAGGAGTGGAAGAAGGATGAAGTGTTGAAGAAGGATGAAGAGTTGAGAAGAAGGAGGAGGAGTTGAAGAAGGAGGAGGAGTTGAAGAAGGAGGAGGAAGATGCCACTGATCAGATCACTGACAACGAGGGAGCGTACGGATCGACGAACAAGGACGAGAAGGAGGGGGGGGGGGGGGGGGGGGGGGGGGGGGGGGGGGGGGGGGGGGGGGGGGGGGGGGGGGGGGGGGGGGGGGGGGGGGGGGGGGGGGGGGGGGGGGGGGGGGGGGGGGGGGGGGGGGGGGGGGGGGGGGGGGGGGGGGGGGGGGGGGGGGGGGGGGGGGGGGGGGGGGGGGGGGGGGGGGGGGGGGGGGGGGGGGGGGGGGGGGGGGGGGGGGGGGGGGGGGGGGGGGGGGGGGGGGGGGGGGGGGGGGGGGGGGGGGGGGGGGGGGGGGGGGGGGGGGGGGGGGGGGGGGGGGGGGGGGGGGGGGGGGGGGGGGGGGGGGGGGGGGGGGGGGGGGGGGGGGGGGGGGGGGGGGGGGGGGGGGGGGGGGGGGGGGGGGGGGGGGGGGGGGGGGGGGGGGGGGGGGGGGGGGGGGGGGGGGGGGGGGGGGGGGGGGGGGGGGGGGGGGGGGGGGGGGGGGGGGGGGGGGGGGGGGGGGGGGGGGGGGGGGGGGGGGGGGGGGGGGGGGGGGGGGGGGGGGGGGGGGGGGGGGGGGGGGGGGGGGGGGGGGGGGGGGGGGGGGGGGGGGGGGGGGGGGGGGGGGGGGGGGGGGGGGGGGGGGGGGGGGGGGGGGGGGAAGGGGGGAGGAGGGGGGACAAAATAAGGATAAGAAGACGGACGGTGTGGTGGAAACTAAGGTTGACGGGGAGAAGGAGAAGAAGACGGACGCGGGGAGGAGAAGAAGATGATGGAAGGAGGGATGGTGGAGCATAACATTGTCAATAACTCCTACGGTTGTACCAGCTAAACACGATACTCTGGTTACGAGTGTGCCGCCGAACAATGTGAATTCGCAACCGATCCCAACGACGCCTGCTGGAACGCTCGGTACGACAAACACACATGCTTCAGCTTGCCCTGTCTAAGTTGCCACAATGCTACCATAACTGCGTTTCAAATCGCTTTACTTTGGCCGCGAAGGCGATCATGTGTTTTCCAATGACAGGCTGTGCTTTTACTTTCACGCTTCAATAAATGTCAATTTTGTTTGAGAATGCCATTGCACCATGAATCTTTTACTCTATGTTGCAGGTGAACTTCCGCTCTATAGTTTGCTTTGGCTCCTCAGAGCATTTACCTGATCGTCCCTCAATTCGTTTCTTCGTTGTAACAGCTGCGACTTGTGTCGACACAACTATCACTACACATATCAGCTTTGCTTTACACTCATGGAAGGACTACAAAGGGTTCTAGTCATAGTCTTGCACCTTTGCGTTTATATGCCAATGGTAGGAACTTGATTCTCTTTGTGCGAGAACCACCAATGTCTTGGAAGGTCATACATTTTAATAAACCGAAGTAAGGTCTGAATTGTGAATCGGTTACGATTCACCAATAGATAGCTTCAGTCTCTCGTCTCAAGCGCTTGACTTGCACTGACTAAGGTAGATTAGCAAAGACAAAACGCTCTTGCATGCGCTTTTTACTGAAACAGAAGTAATAAATTCTGCTGCTAGAGGTTTGAGCGGCTATCAACAAGACAAAGCTATAAGACTGAGCTAGATATGTAGCCATGTTTACCTCACGAGCTTTTTAGTATTTTTTGGAAGCTTAAGTAATTAAGTGGTTTTATCATGTGTCGATCATCAAAATAGAACCTTCAAAACTGAATAAAACTCAATCTTTCATAAAAAAAAACATGATAATAAAGCTTAAGACCGAGAACGCAACGTTGCGCAAGGCGCTGCGTGAGTTACAGGAGCGTAATGAGTGTCTATATGCATTAACAGCCAAGATGATTCATGATCTGACAGACGAAAATGATTTACTCGCTCAAGCTAACCGTTTACTGCTTGAGAAACAGGCACAGAGCTTTCTAGTTCCGTCCACAGACACGCCAAGTCTCCTCCAGGTACCGGACGAGCTGCTGCTGCCCGGTCCAGAGCTAGAAATGCACTCGATTGTGACGATCGATAATGTACATTCATTTGGTAACTTATTGAGTGTTAGTACACACGCTACGAGGCCTGAGATTGTCATCACGGGATGTGCAGACAAGTGCATCAGTGTGCACGACTGGAAGATGGGAAGGAAACTTTGTGAGACAGAAACCAGTAACCTAGTTTTGGCACTAGCTTTCAATCCAAATAGGAAATATGCAGATTACTTTGTGGCTGCTGGGATGGATGCCAAGCATGCGCTGTATAGATTGGTACAAGAAGGAGACGAATGGCAGATCCAGACGCTGGGGCAATTCCATGATCATAGTCGACATGGAGTGTTCAAGTTGGCGTGGAGTGCTTCGGGGGAACTGTTTGCTACTGGATCCAGTGACTAATCGCTGAATATTTACCAGTGCTTGGGCTTGGTGGAAGGACGAGGACAAGGAGAGGATGAACAGTGTGAGAAGATCAAGTCCTTTTACTTTAATGGGACGGTCGAGGCTATTGTGTTTGCCCCAGGTTCACTATTTGAGACAAGAGATGAGGGTGCACACGAACTGCTTGTTATTGCTGCACGAGACGACTGCTACGTGCATTATGTCGACTGCTCCACGTTTGAGAAAGAGAGGTAAGAAATGCGACGACGAGAGCAAGAGATGCTCATTCACTTATGTTAGAGATGAATTTGTCATTGTGTGCATTCTTCTCTTTTGTAGAGTTAACATGAACCCGGACGGTATTGAACACGTCTCTTATACGATTATGGACCTGAGCATATCGTCCAGTGGCAAATATCTGCTTGCAGCAACGGACGCAAGCCGACATTTTATCTTTTCTGTACGGGGTGGAAGGAAGCAAATGGTATATGCTGTGTGTCTGGAGTGATTTTCAACGTGGTTGCACGCTTTGCGAATGCAGGTCAAACAAAATGTGGTACTGCGAAACCTCTACGGACACAAAGCGGGTTTATACAGCCAGCCATGAGTAACATGGTATCCGTCGGAAAAGTACGTGATCTCCAACAATGAAGACAGTGGAGCCGTCTTTGTGTGGTCCATTGCTTCGGAACGCATTGTAAAGACGCTTGACGCCCACGAAGGCTTGGTTCTAGACCTTATATGCCCTGTGACTGTATCTTTGAGCGCTTCACCAATGATGATAACCGTATCGTACGACAAGCGAATGAAAGTGTGGGAAATGCCGCTCGCGAAAGTATGTAAGTGAGCATTTTGAAAGTTGGTTTTCTTTACGATGTGTGAAATTGAGCCAATAGTTTTTTGAAATCTTCAAGATGGCGACTGCCGTAGCTTCTCAGTAATCCAGTCTTGGCCTTAGCAGCGCTGATCATACTTTTTATATCCATGCAGTTTGTCTCTGGAAATCCACATCCATACTTTGCTTTGAGGGGAGACTCAACACGCTGCCAATGCGTATTTGATGTCTCGATTATCGAGAGATTGTGATTGTATGAAGCACGGCAATAGCTTTTAGATTGAACCGCAATTTTGTAAAATAGGTGAAAGTGACCGCAACACCTCAATGCAAGTTTTCATTTAGCCTCTTGTGTTCACGCAGCGTGACACATGAAGTCCCCGGTGAAGCTAATAAGCCACGCTTCGCTTGTAGTGACACATAATGTTTAAAAGGTCTTTGTCATAATTAATGTTCTCCATTTGGCTGCCGGTAGCATACCGGTACAAGTAGTAATGATGACCCATTATTAGGTCACCGTACATTTGAATGGCATTTATGCAAGGCGCACCTAAAATAGCATTTTAGTAAGTATACCAATTTATGAGCAACAGGAGCTTAGCTTTCAGCTATTTAACCGGTTATATCATTGGGACCGGTCTGACCTTACGATTTGTAGGCAAAACTTACTTTCGCTTAGCAACTCATCTTGTTTCACTGAACTGGATAATTGTATGCTATCATTCAGGAGCCAACGAGCCAACCATTTTGCCAACCGAGTTTTATAGTCTCAACTTCTCCACTCGCATTCGCTGATTACCAAGTCAATATGGTAAGACCGAGTACCTTTCTGTTGTTTTCAACATTGATGCAGCAGTAGCAGGGAGCAGACGCAAAGTCAGGGGATGATATTCTCACACCACACAGGACGTTGATTATGGATACAGTCAATCGCTATTCATCCATGAGCAATCAGGACGTGTCTCTTTATCACTCTCCTTCTGCTACTGCTTTCTCCTCCTCTTGCTTTGTATTGAGAATATGAAAAATGACAGGCCGTGTGTTATGTGTGCTTGTGCCTGCGTAGCCGTCCCGTTTTTCCAAGAACCGCAAGAAACGTGGCCACGTGAGCGCCGGCCACGGTCGTATCGGCAAGCACCGCAAGCACCCGGGTGGTCGCGGTAATGCTGGTGGCCAGCACCATCACCGTATCCTAATGGACAAGTTTCACCCGGGTTACTTTGGTAAAGTTGGTATGCGCCATTTCCACCTTCTCCAGAACCGCAAGCACTGTCCTACGGTGAACGTAGAGCGTCTGTGGACGTTGGTGTCGGATAAGACAAAGGAGCAGGCCGAGAAGGCCAAAGACGGCAAGGCTCCCGTTATTGATGTAACCAAAGCTGGCTACTTCAAGGTGCTTGGCAAGGGCCGACTTCCTGAAGTCCCATTGATCATCAAGGCCAAGTTCTTTTCAGCTGAGGCGGAGAAGAAGATTAAGGCTGCTGGTGGTGCTTGCCTCCTGACTGCTTAAGTGTTTTTTGATAGTTTGCTTGTATTGCGGTGATGCGAAGCATAATGGAAAATACACACATGGAGACACAGCTGCTCTCTCATTAACGCGATCGCTTTAGTGGTGATTTGTTTAGGCCTTCTTTTATTTGACTACTTGGTGTGCTTTGAGTGCCTTCCAGATGAAGCTGATGACGGCGTCAACTGGTGTATCTTCGTACAAGAAGCGTTCTAACTCTGCCTGCAAATGCTCAATATACTCGCTGGAGATAAACAATACGTGCTTGCCGTCGTGCACGCACGTGACTCGGCATATGAAGCTGTCAACACGTGTGGATACGATCAACAGCTCTCGAACGTCCATGGGCGCACCCACGTCCAGCAAACTTTCGCGAACGTCCGACACCCGCGCTCCTGCTCTATACACGACGTCGCAGCAGCGTTGATCACGCAATAGCTCCTTCTCGCAAGCCTGTAATGCAGTCTCCATGTCGTCGTTTCGATCCGCCATCGTCGACTTCGAGTCCTCAGCAACAATCAATTTGAGCTGAAGATACCAACGTCTTAGTGCAGTCATTCCTTTCATTGTCAACTGCTGCCGTATGAATCCTAGTTGCATCAAAAGACCTCTAAAATCAAGATGAAGCATTGCGTCCAGCACTTATGGTCAGTGTCTTCTCTTACCTGGTCGAGACGTGAGTGCCTCAATGTCGGCCAATGTCGTCGCTTCTATTGCAACTCTATCGATTTCCTCACGTTCAATAATAAGATTCAGGTTCTTGCGGCGATGAGTACAACGTTCCTGACACTGCAACCGGCGTCGGCGTTGAAGGATCTTGCGCTCTTGTCGCTTCATCACCTCCATGTTGACTAAGAAGCAATACTATCTCCGTTGTAACGTTTATTATCCAATCATATCGCAGAAAAATTAATTCTTAGCGATTCAAAGTAGAAATGAGTCAATCGTACCATGACAAGCTGTAAACTAGTATTATCAAAAAGTAATAATATATACGATACTACTATACTAATTATACAATAGTTCTTAATGTGGTGCAGTCTTTAGCAGACACGTGTGACAAACCCTAAACAGCAACCAAACAAAAATGCAGCGAGAGTGATGGTCCTGCAAGTTGAACTTGTCCATTCCGCACCCGCGCACTCAGTTTCCATGTCGTCAATTCCAAGTCCACAACCTCAAGAACAAAGAATGAAAGCCATGTCCGGGAAAGGCGGTGAGACGAGCGTCGGCAACACGAGTCCACATCTTACACACTTAGAGAGTCTGCTGCAGCAGCTGACGCAGTGTGAAGAGCGCAAGAGACAACATGGCGTTGAGAACGCAGCCGCCAACACAAGACACAAACTATTGAGCTCTCAACTGATACAGAGTATACTTCTATCTTTTGTGGTGAATAGAGAGCACAATGATACTTACTCTCCTTGAATCGTTTAGCTCAGAAAGAGCTGGTTGCTGCTCAAGCGAGCAAGGCCAAGATGTGTGAGGAAATCGGGGCGTTACAGCTGACCAAGAAGCACCAAGATAAGCAACTAGACAAGTATAAAGTCGACTTACAGACTGCGCGCGAGGCGAAAGTGGTGATGACAAAGAAGATGGAACAACTCGAGGCATTGACATGGACAATCAAGCAGCAGTACATTCGGTACGTTCAGCTTTTGAATGCAAAAATCCCGAGTACTTTTTGCGAATGCTTAAGCTTGAGTAACTATATTATGGATTTGTAGATCGCTTGCTTCTCGTATTAAGACAAGTGCTCTAGTGCTTCAGCAGCTGAACGTGGTAAGCCAGACCTCGTTTAGTGCTCAAGTTGCTGAAAAATGTATAGAGTGGGAGCAGCCTACGTCAAACAAACGCAAGCGCATTCTGGAAGTGAATGAACAACATCAATCGAGTGAAGACAGAGACAAGGTATTCTCGTGTTCCTAGCTCTGTGTAGCATGTTGAACTCACGCAATATATCAGCCCGAGCACACAGGAAGCCTTGCGGAAAACACGTCGCGCTTCAAAGACACTCAGCAGTCAGAACCCGTTGCAGTTGATGATCCTGCGACTATAGAACCATTAAACGATGATACTGCAATGGTGGAGTGCCCCGAGCCTTTGGCAAGCGCGAGTCACAATGACCGTAACTGTAATAACCAACGCGAAGACCGTCCTAAACGTGAACACGAAGTTGGTGAATTGCGTGCTCAAGTTACAAAATTTGAATTGGATTATTCAGTACTGAGTGGTAAGCTAAATGAGAGCCTTCAGCAATGGGCGGATATCATCTCGCTCATACCGTGTACTATCATCATGTGCAGACAAGTATAATGCGCTTGCTCGCGATTATGACGAGATTTTAGCCGAGAATACGATGTCAGCTCAAGAAATCAAGGCAAGTAAATCGAAAATCGAGGAGCTGACGCAGATGTTGGAGATTTTGCGGTCAAAGCCGCACGAGCTCACGGCCAATACATGTTCTTTGAGTGAGAAAGATAAGGATGCTCAAGATGGACGCTTGAAGATCCTAGAGGTATGGCTTGATGGCTTGCATGACTGTAGAAACAGCACTGACCATTGCTATCTGCAGGAAAACTTGGCACAAATGAATGGATATGCTGATCAGCTAGAGATGGTTATTGCGCAATGTCCATCGTGTACCATCAAGCTGCGAGACGAGAGCACGCAGGATTCTGTTGCTAACAGAACTGAATAGGACACCGGAGAGACCAGCAAAAACGAGCATACATTTTTCCAACAAGTATCCGTTCTTAGCCCGTCGCATTTAACCCAAAGGAGCTTGGTTGTGAGCTAGGTTGTAGAATTTAGTGCCTTCCTGATTCAGCTCCTCAAAAGTGCCAGTTTCGGCGATAACGCCCTCCTCCAGCAGAATGATGCGGCTGGCATGCTTCACCGTGTTTAATCGGTGTGCAATAACAAAAACCGCCCGCTTTGCCGCTGCTGACTCTAGCGCACGCCGGATCAAGTCCTCGCTGCGACCATCTAATGAGCTCGTAGCCTCGTCAAAAAGCAGGATTTTTGTGTGCTTGTATAGCGCGCGGGCAATAGCAATGCGCTGCTTCTGGCCGCCGGATAGCTCAACACCCTTTTCACCAACGAATGTGTCGTACTGATTTGGTAGCTCCATAATGAATTCGTGCGCGTGCGCATCCTTGGCAGCAGCAACAAGCTGCTCTTTGTTGCATACCTCAGCACCATACATGATGTTTTCAGCAATAGTAGACGCAAAAAGTGACGGTTCCTGCGTGATTAAAGGAGTAGACAGCAGCAATTCGTTAATGTCTGATTGAAAAGCATAGATGCATCCCACATACATCACAACAAACCTGATTGACAACCCCAATCATCTTGCGCAGCCACGAAGCCTTTAACGTGGCAATGTCTACACCATCCAGAGTTACCGTACCGCTTGTGGGCTTGATGATCTTTAACATGAGCGATACAATCGTAGTTTTTCCCGCTCCGCTCTTACCAACAATAGCCACCACTTCACCAGGGGTGATCTCCATGTTCAACCGGTTCAACACCAAAATATTCGGACGCGACGGATATGCGAAGGACACGTTCTTGAAGCTCACACGGCCCTTAACACTGGCTAATGTATTCTCTCCATGAGTAGCAGGCGGAATCGACAGCAAGCTGAATAGAGCCTCCGACGACATCCGCGTTTTCTTCATCTCGCTCAGACACGACGATATACCCGAAAACCCAAGACCCATGAATCCACTATACAGAGCAAATGACGTGAGAGTTCCAATGGTAAGTTCACCCGACCCTACCAGGGACCCACCAAAGTACAGTACCGAAAATAACGAGCAATTGATTGAAATTGAAAGCCCACCCATGAACATACCACGGGCACGCTTGGCACGCTTGGCATTTGCTAAGATGCCCTTGTTAATCTTTTCAAAATGGTGCAATTCATCCTGCTCTGCCGAAAACAACTTGACTGTGATAATATGATTCAGTCTTTCCTCCACTACCCCTGTCATATCCGCGACTGAATCTTGATGCGTTCTGGCTAGACGACTCGAAAATCTACTGAAAAACATCGTGCCCGTGCCTACCAACGGCAAGATCGTCAACGACACTAGTGTCAACTTTGGAGAAATCATCAAAAGCATGCAAGATGCGCCAATTGCGGAGTTTAACGACCTGTAGCTATTGGAGAGCACGTCCACGACGGCATCAGCTGTTTGCTGACAGTCGCTACTGAATCTCGTCACTAGTTCTCCCACCTTGCGATTATTATAAAAGTCTATCTCCTGCGATAACAAGACCTTGTACAATCTGCGTCGTAGTTTCGCTGCAATGCGCTCAGCTACCATACCAAGTGAGTACGTACGCATGAAGGAGCCCACGGATCCCGTAATGAACGTAGCAAGCACGATGACCACAAAACCCTTACGACTTAAACCACCAGGTGCTGGTTTACCTGATGCAACATCAATAGCTTTTCCCATAATACGTGGAAATACCAAGTTCATAGCCGACGCAATAGTCATGCCCGTCATACCTACAGTAAGTGGTAATTTCTCCTCCTTCATAAGACTCAAGATCCAGTAAAGATTGGACATTTCTCTACTCTTTTTCACCTTCTTTTGACTTGAGATCGATCCTTTCTTATCTTTAGCAATTGATCCAATGGTTGCATCAACACCACCATCATATCGTGCACTTAGTTTCTGCAGTAAGAACGACTTGGGCGAGACCATATACAGACGACGTTTTTTTTGTTCAACGATAAGAGGATCAAGTACTACTGGCGTTGTCGTCAGAACCTATAATATATCATACTGATACTATCAATATGTGATCAGATAGGTGATGAACCTCACAACCACAGAGATTCATAACATTCATTCAGCAGCTTGGCTCTAGTCTAGTCGAATCTCATGCACCGTCGTGTATTCTTCCGTCCATTCTCCCGTGTTACTCTCTTAGATCGCCACCATGGATCTTCTACTATCCACACCTTCTCTACATCGTCATCATCTATACAGGAAGCTGTACTACTAGAGAGACGTAAGTCGAATCGTATTGCTACAACATTACGTCAAGGCAGCACTATTTCAATCTCTGGACGATGTCGAATCTCACGTGCTCAAGTACTTGACGATATAGAAGCGTTAGTACACGAAGCAAAGCGTCATCGTAGTAATTTTCAACCTAGTATGGAATATCTTCGTCGTGCTGGTGCTTTACTGCAGGTTTGCAAGTCGAGAGAGCACTATACTGGTGCAATTCCACTCTGTAATATTGTACAACGATCTACGATAACTCCTGGTAAGACTGAGATGGAATGTGTTAGGATTTATCAAAAAGCAGGACGCAATAAGGAGGCGATAGCTCTAGCGGAGAAGATAATGAAACAGGACGTGTTCTTGCTGAATCATGCTCTTGCCAGTGCTATTCAAGCTTGTGCAGTCTTAGGAGAAGTGGAAAAAGGAAGTCAGTTCTTTCATGCAGCGGTACAACGAGGCTCGATTCCAAATTTGGCTGTATATTCAGCGTTACTTGCTGTGGCAGGGGTATCAGGTGATCCCCAACGAGTACAAAAAGTGCTGGATCAGATGGAAGAAGCAAGCGTCAAGATGAACAACATGACGTTTCATAATTTGATGAGTTTCTATGCACGTGGAGGAAAAACGGCAGAAGTGCTGGCACTGTATGATAAAATGCAGAAGAAGGGGATTGCAGCAGATGAACATACGTATGCAATTCTCATGGATGCGCACGTTGAAAGTGGAGATTTTCACGGCGCTAAAGCACTCATGGAAGAGTTAAAGAAGACGACGTTGCAACCAAATCTTGTGCACTACAACGTCTTACTGAAGGGATGTGGCAAGGAGAGTGATTTAGCTTCCGCTTTCCAGCTCTACGAGGAGATGAAAGATCGCAAGATTCGACCGGACCTTGTGACATTTATTACCATGATGCACGCTGTGTATCATGGTGAGCTGGGTTCAATCGACCAAAAAAAAGTGAAGGCGGCCCTTGTGGGGTTTGGCCTCATGGGTGTTGCGTTCGTTCCGCTTATCAACTATGAGGAGTACATGCTAACCACGCTGTTCTGTACAAGTCTCGTGGGCTCTATGGGTCTAGCTGCGTACATGAATCCAGATGGCGTCATCCGTGCGCTTTACCCTAACACCGACGAGCCTCGTAACGACACCGTTATTGAGGCATTTTTTCGGCGACTACGCGAAGAGGATCACTGTGGTCGATCAATGTATTTGTGGCGCGAAATGCTGAAGTTTAGTGTGCCTGCGGACCCACGCGTGTATGATATATTGGCGCGCACTTGCGTCCGCAAGCGTCATCCAGAATTGGCTTATGAAGCTGTGTTTGAAGAAAAGTTGCCGCTAGTTGACAAGGAAGGTGTATTTGTTATCTCGCTTCCCACGACGCTGAATCTGTTGCACTCCTTATTGGCTCAGAAGCGTCTGAATATGGCGGATACTCTGTATGATGCCGCCCGCAACCACAACGTATTTGACAAGATATTTTCTGAAAAGGGCACCTCCTACGTATATGATTTGCGCTCGTTTTTGAACGAGCGAGTACGCAGTTACATAATCATCAAGTTGATGGATGAGCTGCGCGCAAAGGTGGACTCGTCAGAGGGCAAATTTGTTGCTCCGAACGTTCAATTTTTGGTTCAGCACGGGTACGAGCTGCTTGACCGTCTTGACGCAGATAATGCAAGCCTCCGCACACTGTTTTCGATGGATGACATGGCATGCATTGCAATGGAAGACAGAACAATCGCACATTACTACTTCCGGCTGGCTATTCCCACAGAGCGACTGCAGAGATATTTCGAGACTACGCCTGCAGATGCAGGCAAAGAGCGACGGCTTTAACCAAGTATAGAGATATGAGGACCCTTTCCAGGTTTGAGTTACATGATGATTCTGCAAGAGGGAAATTCAGCTGACAAAATAGACTATGAGGCCAAACGATCTTGACTCGTCTGCGCTACTGACCGTGAATGGTATTTATGCAACATGATCATGCTAAGCTCATGAGGTCGTTCTGCAGTGGCTCAAACTTATATGTCGAGTGTTGTCAAAGGTAGAAGGTTTTCAATGACAAGTCGAGGATTCAGGTGAGAGTGGCGAGTTTGTTAAAATTGTCTCTCTGTATCAATGACACATCATGTTGTAGTGCATTCATCGATAGGTGATGATGTATAGCCACAACGTAGGGAATTTAAGCCTTCGAACGAGGCAGAACTACACAAAGATGGGACACCGTGCAATTGCGCGTAAGCTTTACCACTTGGTTACATTTGTGCTCGATCAATAGACTCTTTTCTCTCGCTGGAAGAGACGACAATAACGTGCAGGACCTTGTTCATGTAGACAAAAGCGAGATCCATATCAAGATGTGGAATAAAAATTCGTAACGCTAAACATCATCTTTTGTCATGATAAGTAAGAAGGTCCAACAAAACCAAGTGTGACCATCATAACGACATGTGCATAAGCACAAGAGTTTGTACAAAGAGTATGCTCAAAATTAAACAATCGTTACCATGAGATAGGAAATGACAGCCCCAAATCATCACTTCGACGTAAAAAAAGACCCAGGCTTATTTATATCGTAAGCGTCGAGTTGCTAGCGTTGTCAAAACGCAGACTCAGCTGCTTCTTCTTGAGAAATTCAATGACGTTCATCAGCTGCGGATCGCGAGAATCGCCCGCGCCCGTACGCTCCAAATGACGAATGACGTCACGGAACGCCTTTAACTGTTCTTTGCCAGTAATAGATTGAATACCCGGATGGTGGTCTTCCTCGCCAGACAAGTGGTCACTGCCTGAGTGATTCACAGGAACGGTTTCTGGCATGCGAAACTCCTCGTCGTTCTCCTTCGGATCTTCAATCATGTCTTCGTTAAGACGCTTGTGAATATCATTCTCCCAGCGCGAGTTTACTAACACCTTTGTGTTAACAATACCGCTCAGCTGCAGGCAATAAAGCAGGCCCCACAGCTCTTCTTCCACATTCTTGTCATCTGCTCCATCCATGTTCGAGTCGAATGTGAAAGGCGCTGTAATGCCTAGCGGCTTCCAAGCATTCACAATCATCTCCTTTGAGATCTGCTGCCACGCATCCACAATCCAGCTCATAGCCTGAATCTGTGTCACGTGGTAAACATTCGACAGACCGTCCTCCAGGTGATCAATAGCCAAAGTGAGGTGTTTGAGACGGTACTTACCCTTGAAAGCGGACAGGATACCGCCACGCATAGGCTGCACCTTCATGCCCAAGTGAGGCGCAAACATGACGACACGCACGTTTGAAAGTGCAACGCAACCCAGTACATGAGACGGTGCATTGTCCATTAACAGCACCACGTTGCGGTGGGCACTAGCCATGCGCGCGTTAAAATCACGCAGCCACTGCTGAAAGATGAACACCGTCATGCGAGCCTTACTGCTGCAAACATAGTGGTAGCCAAGCTGCGAGATGGAGGCCATTTTAATGTTCTTGGGGGGCACGACGTTACCAATAATGTACGGCTCCATGAGATCCGAGGCGTCCGCGTTGACTGCTAGTAGCACAGTCAGTCTTGCCTCGTCCGCTAACATTGACTGCGCTTCATCACCTTGTACGAGTTTATTGGGTGATGCACGAAAGAACAAGCCTGTCTCATCCACAGTATAGACATCACTTGGCACATAATCATGCAACATTTCCTGAATCTGGTCAATGGACAAGTCCATGGACACAGGTGGTAACATATAATTTGGGTCCACTGACAATCCATTGGGCAGCATCCCGCTATTTGCGTCCAAAATACCACCATACGCAGCACCATCCTTGTTTGTCGTACTATGACTAACCGCCGTGATCTTGTCATTCTGGAGATTGTTCGTCCGTTTCATTAGACCATGACGAGCCTTGAACGAGGCCAACCATCCATTCGAAAAGCCTAATTTACCTTCCAATCCCATTTGTCTCACAAGTTCACGTCCTTTGGTTTTAATCATATCACCTGTAATATTGCCCTTATTCTGACGTTCCATGACCCAATTTGCTAATACTTGATCAAAATGGGCATGACGTGTTGGACGTATGGTCTTTCGTTGTGAACCAAGTACACCTAATACATTATCCTTAAACATGTGTTCATGTTTAAGGATATTACTCATGGTCGGTTGAGTTGGGGCACGTTGGAGATTAAACTCAAGTTTTGCCCAGCGACAAAGGTCCTTTTGCGTAATTTTAGGTGTATTCCGATGTTTTTCACAAATTCGACGCTTTTGTTCAACCGTTAGATTGCCATTTCCATCTGCACGACGTCGACGTGACTTGAATTTTACAAGATTAGCACTAGCACTAGTAGGAATAGAGTGAATAGAGTTAGTAGTCATAGTAGTAGAGGTAGAGGTGGAGGTAGAGGAGGAGGAGGAGGAAAGAGGTGTGAGATTCACTAGAATTGAAGATGAAGCTTGTAATTCCTCCGATTGAAAAGGTGTGGAAACATGAGCCACGAGTTTCCGGTCTTGTACGTGTTGTCCTATTGTAACATTGAGACTTGACGTCTGAGCTTCAAGTGAACTTGACAACATTGTAGCTACATCAGGTCCTGCTGCGTTTGACATGTAAGAAGAAGTATTAGGACTTGAAGGCATGAGGACGAATAAGGTCCACTCGAGTAATAAGTTCTCGAGAATCTTGTGTTTTAAGGGGGGAATTAGACTAGTAAGACCGTAGCAAGAGAAAACGAGGATGAGGTTTTTTAGATGAACTATATGCAGTTATAAAGAGATTGGATACTTAGACAAAGACATGAAAGAAGTGGTAGACTTTTAGACGAATTGAAGAGTTACGGAGTTTTGATTGATTATACAGTGGTTACGACTTACTACTTACTACTACTACTACTGCTGCTATTGATACTCAAATTGTTTTACGACTGCCAAGAGACAAACGTTTACGTCATTATTGGGCGCATAGTAGTAAGCGTTAGTATTTAACAAGTACATGATGGAACTATGCACGTCACTTGTTTACATGTAACAATTGTTATGACCGACGTTGACAAGTATAGTGCCTTGTGGGGACAAACTTGTAAGTAACCAGTGCTCCTAACAAAGAGACCATGCCACTGAGCATCAAAAGACGTGATACGCCAAATCGCGCTTCAATAATGCTAAACGATGCGGCCCCGACTGCAGCTCCCAACTTCCCAACAGCTGCAGCAACACCATTGAGCTCAACACGCGCGTCTTCCGCAAAAAGCTCCGCTGGAAGACAAAAGGTACCGACATTTGGTCCAAAATTCGAGAAGAAAAATGTAAGTGCGTACATTCCAAGCAAAAGTCCTTTGTAATTGTGATGCAGTAGTTGATCATAGAATAGTCCAAGAGCTAGGAACAGCAGAGCCATGACGACAAAACCCATAATCTGAATCGTCTTGAAGCTCATCTTGCCGACAATGAATACGGTAAGCAAGTTGCCAGGTAACGCAATGGCTGCCACAACTAAAGAGCAGAGAGCAACATCTGCAAAGTGGTGTTTATCCAAACCATAGGTATCTTGCATAATTATAGGCGTAAAAATTACATTTCCGTAAAAGGTGACGTCGAAAAGGAACCAGCTTGCACTTGCACCGAAGAGTTTACGCTGTAGCAACGAACTTGCTTGCACTTTGCTCCACAACTTGGATCTAGAAGGCGTCTCCGTATCCATCGTTTTTGGCTCAATCGGTAGAGTCGTTGATAACGGTGTCAGCTCTTTTTTGACTTGAAATGCGCGTCGCAGTACAAACAACCCAGGAAACGCACCGATCAGCAGTAGTACTCGCCATCCAATGGATCGTTGTGTATTCAGAGCGAGCATGATATATGCCATGAGAGGTGCCAGTAGCTGCCCGATACCCTGAAAACCAAACACCGCCGCCACAACTTTGCTCTTTTTCAATTCATCATCACTGTCTGTAGATTCTACAGCAGAAGCTGCTGACAACGGGTAGACCCCTCCTACACCTACGCCCAGCACGAATCGACACGCAGCCAAGATATGGTAAACAGATTTGTTGCCCCATGGTAAAATTGCACTCGCTACAGCCCCTAAAATGGACAGCAGTAGTGTAAAGATCATCCCTTTTCTTCGTCCCATGACTGACCCTACATAGCCGAACGCAAGCTGTCCCACAATAGCACCTACCAATGAGCACGAATCGACTGTAGATCTCAACTCAGGACTTGAATCGGGATACGATCGTTGTAACATCATTAACGCATAATTGATTACTGCCAGATTATACTGCAACAACATTAACAACACACAATAAATCAGTATTTGAAGAAATACAATAGGCAAAATCCAGCTAGATAGATAGATAGATAGATGTGCAACATACAGCAGTACTGAGATTGGCAATCGCTGATACCATTACTTGGTCACTCACTACCAGCACATTGTCCCCATCTTGTAGTACTTTATCACTTGTTATCATACTTCCATATCCTTTATTTCTTTGTAGTGTCGGTTGATCTTTTACTACAAGAGGTTCCATGATGTCCAACGTGTCACTCACTTCACTAGCTAATGACGTTTGTTCTTGTGGTAAGACTTGATTCATAAAAGACTCCGCTTGTATGCGTCGAGTACCTTTCTTCATATCTTGAAACTTGAAGCGTCTTTATTGTGGAGTCACGTTATGAGATAGCAAGTGGTTAGTTTGGACTCTGATTGGTGGATTACGCATCTTCCATTTCCACTAACTCTCACTCGCTCACTATACTTTACTCTTTGCACTGAAATGCAAACTATTAAGCGTATCAGAAATTTTACGTAATTTATTATAGACCTTTTTTTAATATAATCATCGAAATAGTCCCATTTTTTCTTTTCCTAAAAAGGACGAGATCCATCAATCAAGAAGTTCTTGTTTATGCAACAACTAACGTCACGACTTGATAAAACTTAGATGAGGCTACAGACTTTCGACGTATCTGGCGAGAAGACGAAATGGAAAATTCTTTATTGATCAGCGCATCAATGTCCAATTGCATTATCGCCGGTAGAGAAGAATAAGCGCCAAGATTTGGCGGTGGACGTGTAGATGCAATATCGTTTTGATGCATACTGCCGTATACAGACAGAACAGGACGTTGACTTGATTTTTGTCATGATATGTATGTCAGGGATCTGATGATCAAAATGATAAGGAATGATCATTGCAGCTGTGAGTGCTTGAAGGGTGCGCAGATTTGTCGTATGTTTGTGTAAGTAAGTAATGCAGCCGACAGTTTCGTTGGAGACTGATGCACGCAGTAATGTCACTTATGCTGCTAAGCACAACAGAGCTGAGCGCGTGTGTTGTAACGTGACCGTTTCACAAGCAATACATAGTTTATAAATAGTCAAGTGTATTGCAACAGCCATTAAACAACTGTTTATCCCCACGACCATTTGTCCCAATATATAATAGGCTACCGCACACTGCAGTCCTGTCTTTATCAACTAATTGCTCGCACACAGTAGTCCTGTCTTTATCCTCGAATTGCTCGCACACAGTAGTCCTGTCTTTATCCTCTGATTGCTCGCACACAGTAGTCCTGTCTTTATCCTCTAATTGCTCGCACAGTAGTCCTGTCTTTATCCTCTAATTGCTCGCACAGTAGTCCTGTCTTTATCCTCTGATTGCTCGCACACAGTAGTCCTGTCTTTTTCCTCTGATTGCTCGCACACTACCTTGTCGCAACTCCGCACTGGTGTAAATAAAGAATGACACGCAAATGTTTGTATCTAACTTGTATATGCATTATAACGAACGCCACGCGCAAAATGCAGTCAAATCGCAGTACATACGAACGTCTTCATCTACTTGTGCTTCTCGTATTATTCCCAGTCGTCTACTACGTGCTTGCTTATCTTGTGACTGAAGCACACCCGACCTCTCGACCCCATCAAACCGTTATATTTGTCACTCAAAATCCAAGCAACGAATAGGAATAGGGTTCATACGTTGGATTGCGGCGTAATCAGGTACTGGTGAATACGCGCGCACTCGGCGGTAATTTATTCCTCTTGACAATCCATCATCATTCTTCAATTTGCGCACGAAAGGCCACATCCATCAGGTGACCTTTTTGCAATACAACTTCCAAGTTCCACCCGTCTACTTACAAAACATTCATTCATAATGGTGACTGTATTGGACGAGAGGACACCTGGTCATGAGTCTGGTGCAGCACTTATGGCCTATGGATCAGAAGTACTACATGATTACGTTGCCACACAATTTGAAACTGCATTGGGTCGTGCCATGCCACGGATGGAAGTACGATACACGAATGTATCCATTGCTGCTGATGTGCTTGTCATTGAAGAAGACGAGAGCAAGACGGAATTACCGACAATATGGAACACGCTTCGAAAGAATGTTGCCAAGTTATCGGCTGGAAAGCACGTTGTGCGCAAAGAGATTTTACATAATGTCTCTGGTGTACTCAAGCCAGGTACGATTACGCTAGTATTGGGTCAGCCTGGTTCAGGCAAGTCATCGCTGATGAAGGTTCTCAGTGGTCGCTTTCCAATTGAGAAAAATGTGACGATAGAAGGTGACGTGACGTACAATGGCATCGCTCAGGCCGATCTTGTGCGACGACTGCCGCAGTTTGTAGCTTATGTGACACAACGTGATAAGCATTTCCCCACACTTACTGTTAGGGAAACATTGGAGTACGCACACCGTTTTTGTGGTGGTAAAGTGCTGAAGCGGGCAGAGAAGAGATTATCAAAGGGCACTCCTGAAGAGAACAAGGCCGCACTGGATGCAGCGCAAGCACTATATGCGCATTATCCGGACGTGGTGATCCAGCAGCTTGGTTTGGAAAACTGCCAGGATACTATTGTAGGTAATGGCATGATTCGTGGTGTGTCGGGGGGCGAGCGCAAACGAGTAACGACTGGTGAGATGGAGTTTGGCATGAAATACGTGACGCTTATGGACGAGATTAGTACGGGTCTCGACAGTGCTTCAACCTATGACATTATCAAGACGCAACGCAGTATGGCCAAGAAATTGCGTAAGACGGTCGTGATTGCGCTACTGCAGCCTTCTCCAGAGGTATTTGAGCTGTTTGATGATGTGATTATCCTGAACGAAGGCGAGGTCATGTACCATGGTCCGCGCGATCAGGTGTTGGACTACTTTGAGAGCCTGGGTTTCAAGTGTTTTACCGAGCGCGACGTGGCCGATTACCTGCTGGACTTGGGAACGGACAAGCAATACAAGTATGAGTCGACGCTGCCTTTGGGGATGGACCACTATCCGCGACGGGCGAGCGAGTTTGCGGAGCTTTACCGTTGCTCAAGCATCTACCACGAAATGCTAAGCGACACTGGAAGCTCCGCACGATTTGCAGCTACTACAGAATATTAGCCAGGACATTGACCCGATGCCGGAGTTTCATCAGTCGTTTTGGGACAACACACTGACGCTTATGGAGCGCCAAAACAAGGTGACCATGCGCAACACGGCTTTCATAAAGGGCCGTGGTATCATGGTTATTATCATGGGCCTAGTCAACGCTTCGACGTTTTGGAATGTGGAACCGGCAAATGTTCAAGTGCTGATGGGTGTGCTTTTCCAAGCGGTACTGTTTCTGTCGCTGGGTCAGGCCTCTCAGATACCGACGTTCATGGCTGCTCGCGACATCTTTTATAAACAACGTGGCAACAACTTCTACCGGACAGTATCGTACGTGCTTTCGTGCTCGGTTTCCCAGATCCCGCTGGCGGTCGCCGAGACTGTTGTGTTCGGTCCGTTGGTATATTGGTTGTGTGGCTTCGTGTCATCGGCAAGCGCATTCATCATCTACCTGATTATGTTGGCTCTGACGGACCTAGCGTTTGCAGCGTGGTTCTTTTTTATTGCGTCTATCTCGCCGGACCTGCACGTATCGAAACCAATTGCTATGATCTCGGTTCTATTTTTCGTGTTGTTTGCAGGCTTCATCGTGGTGAAAAGCCAAATGCCTGATTGGCTGGTGTGGATCTACTGGATCGACCCGATTGCATGGTGTCTACGTGTTTTGGCTGTAAATCAGTACCGCTCATCGATGTTTGAAGTTTGCGTGTATGATAGCGTGGACTACTGCTCAGATTTTGGCATGTACATGGGCGAGTACTACTTATCATTGTACGCTGTGCCATCTGCAAAGTCATGGATCATCTATGGCATCATCTTTATGGTCGTGGCGTACGTGGTGTTCATGTTCCTATGCTGCCTAGTGCTGGAGTATAAGCGATACGAAAGTCCCCAGCACACGATGTTGACCAAGAAGATTGTAAGCGAGGACGAGGCTGGCAATTACGCACTTGAAGCGACTCCAAAGAAAGGCAAGTTTCACAACGATGGCCAGGCTTTTGCGGTTGAAGTGGAGGGGGAGCGTGAAAAGAATTTCACGCCAGTGACGTTAGCGTTTCAGGACTTGTGGTACTCGGTGCCGAACCCGAAGAACCCGCATGAAACGCTGTATCTTTTGAAAGGTGTTAGCGGCTTTGCGATGTCTGGTTCAGTGACGGCTTTGATGGGCTCGTCAGGTGCTGGTAAGACGACGCTGATGGACGTGATTGCCGGCCGCAAGACGGGTGGCACAATCAAGGGCAAGATTCTGCTGAACGGCTACGAGGCGAACGATCTGGCGATCCGTCGTTGCACGGGTTACTGTGAGCAGATGGACGTGCATTCAGAGGCGTCAACGTTTCGCGAGGCTTTCACTTTCAGCGCGTTCCTCCGCCAAGACAGCAGCACACCTGACCGAAAAAAGTACGACTCGGTGGACGAGGTGTTGGATTTGCTGGATATGCACGACATTGCGGACCAAATCATCCGCGGCAGCTCGGTGGAGCAGATGAAGCGTCTGACCATTGGTGTGGAACTTGCTGCTCAGCCTAGCGTGATTTTCTTGGATGAGCCAACAAGCGGCCTGGGCGCTGGTTCGGCGAAGCTGATAATGGATGGTGTTCGCAAGGTGGCGGACAGCGGCCGCACGATCGTATGCACGATTCACCAGCCTTCGTCGGAGGTGTTTGACCTGTTTGACAACCTGCTTCTGCTGAAGCGCGGAGGAGAGACTGTGTTTGTTGGTGACCTTGGTGAGAAGAGTTGCAAGTTGGTGGAGTACTTAGAGGCGATTCCTGGCACGCCTCCTCTTCCGAAAGGCTACAACCCGGCCACGTGGATGCTGGAAGTAATTGGTGCTGGTGTGGGCCACGATACGGGCTTGACGGACTATGCAGATTATTTTAAGAAGAGCGAAAAGAAGCGTATTTTGGATGCATGTTTGGCACAGGAAGGTGTGACGATCCCGTCGCCAGACTACCCGGAGATGTTGTTTACGAGGAAACGTGCAGCGAGTTCGTGGACACAGGCTCGCTTCTTATTGGGCCGCTTTATGACTATGTACTGGCGTACGCCTTCGTACAATCTGACCCGTTTCGTTGTGACGTTTTTGCTGGCACTGGTATTTGGTCTTCTGTTCTTGAACGGCGATTACCTGACATACCAGGGCATCAATGGGGGTGTGGGCATGGTGTTTATGACGACACTGTTCAACGGCCTCGTTTCGTTCAACAGTGTGTTGCCTATTTCGTGCGAAGAGCGCGAGTCATTTTACCGTGAACGTGCTGCTCAGACGTATAATGCGCTGTGGTATTTCGTAGGCTCGACGTTGGTGGAGATTCCATACGTGTTCACGAGTGGCTTCATCTTCACGTTCGTGTGGTTTTTCATGGTGGGCTTCACTGGCTTCGGCACGGCGCTACTGTACTGGATCAATGTGTCGTTGATGATTCTGCTGCAGACGTACATGGGCCAGTTTCTAGCGTATGCGCTCCCGAGCGTGGAGGTGGCTGCCATCATTGGCGTGTTGATGAATTCGATTTTCTATTTGTTCATGGGCTTTAATCCTCCTGCAAACGCTATTCCAAGCGGCTACAAGTGGTTGTTCACTATCACACCGCTACGGTACCCGCTGGCAATCCTGGGGTCATTGGTCTTTGGTCAGTGCGATGTAGACCCTACGTGGAATGAGGTCACGAAGGCTTACGAGAACGTTAATTCTCAACTCGGTTGCCAGCCGGTAACGGATCTGCCACTGTCGATCGCGCACACTACAGTGAAAGAGTATGTGGGGTCTGTGTTTGGCATGTCCTATTCGGATATGTGGGCATCCTTTGGGTACGTCATTCTCTCAATCGTAGTGTTTCGTTTATTTGCCCTGCTATCGCTGCGTTTCCTGAATCACCAGAAGAGGTGAGCTTGCTACTAGTGGAAAGTATCAAGCGGCCATTCATTGACACGGACGAATTTTCCATTGAGAACCATTTGAAAACAAGTACATACACAGATGAACTTATGTTTTGAACATGTTTTGATGATCTTGAAGAGTCGTTTGTGTGTTTTGATATTATTGGATTGTTACTTGAGCTTGTTGCATTATGATTGGTACAATACAGATTCTATCTCTTATATGATTGGCTCGTAATGTTTCTGAAAGACCACCCACTCACTCCCTACCATCCATTTTATTGTGACTACTACTACTGCTAGATATTAATTACCAGGAGTACGAAGAGTAAGAGTAAAGATAGTAGAACAACGTCAAGGAAGTGAATGCTACAGAATAAAGTGGTAGAAAAAGATAGAAATGAGGAGACGATGACACATGATCCGATCTCGTGTACTTTGGCTGACAGTTTTGATCAGAGTGCAGTGTTCTTTGGCAAGAAAACCTCATACACTCCGACTGTAGTTGGCGTGCAGCAGACGAATGTGAAGAAGAAGGAGACGGAAGAGCGGGAGAAGAAGAAGAAGGAGACGGAAGAGAAACAGGAGCAAGAGAAGAAGAAGAAGGAAAGGAAGAGAAAAGGAGAAGAGAAAAGCAGCAGAAGAAGAAGAAAAAGAAGACGACAGAAGAGAAGGAACAGAATGAGAAGGAAAACACATTCGAGGACGAGAAAGATCGTCGTACAGTGTTTGTAGGCAACGTATCACTTGATGCAACACAAAAGGATATTAAAAACCACTTTGCAGTGTGTGGTAAAGTGGAAAACGTGCGGTTCCGACATTTGCCGATTGCTGGTTGTGCCATTGACCAGGCTGGTAATCAAAAGCTGATGATGAAGGTCTGTGCAAACAAGAAGATTCTGACGACAGCCAAGGATAATTGCAACGCCTACGTGACGTTTGTAGAGGAGAAGAGTGTGGATGCTGCATTAAAGCTCAACGGAACGGTATGTGCGGTTTATAATGTGAGTGAGATAAAGCTGTGTAAGTTGTACTCACTGTTGTTCTTGCTGCAAACAATATTTATAGACACTTGTGCACAAGAAGATCCGCGTAAACAGATCCCAGCTTGTAATTGATGCACGCCGTAGTATCTTCCTTGGCAATGTTCCTTTCAAATGTACTGATGACCAAATGGTGCAGTTCTTTGCAAAGCGTCTTTGGACTGAAGAAGAGCCGGAACCGATTGAGAACGTTCGTCTCATTCGCGACCGCGAGTCCGGTCTTGGCAAGGGATTTGGGTACGTGTTGTTCAAGACTCAGGCTCTGGTTGCAAAGGCATTGGCACTTCGTGAACTTAAGATGGAGAATCGTGAGCTTCGCGTGCAAGTGTGTGGCAAGCGCTTTAAGAACTTACGTGGGGACGAATCTGCCAAGGAAAAGTTTGAGGGGCTTCGTTCGTCTGCTGGCGCTCTGGCACGCATTCAACTGAAGCGTAAAACTGGAGCGATAGATCTTGACCGGGATCTGATGGCCAAGAAGATAAAACGAACGGCTGCTGCAGCTGGACTGGGCAAGAAGTTTAAGCCCAAACACGTAGCACGAAAGGCAGCTAAAGCCGTCGCAGACGCTGACGCTGCCATGAGCGGAAAGACTTCGAAGAAGCGGAAGCACGACCACGTTGACAGCAAAAAGGTGACGAAGACCAAGGTCAAAAAGGCCAAACATGCCGCGCGCAAGGCTGCGTAAACGACTGGCAACGATAGATGCTGAAGAACAGATTACAATTCAAGCAAAACTTACGCTTGTTAAACAATTCACAATAGAGGGAGCGGTCAAGGACCTAATTGGTTTGTGCTTGTAACGGAGTGTATCCAGACCGATGCTTCCAACGTGTCATGACCGTCATCACAAGTGCGCAAGCAGCAACTCCCGCAAGAACGCCAAACAACAGCAATCCCCAGCTGCTATTGTTTCCCGACACAGTTTGCGAAGTATTGACGGTAGCAAGTTTCTCCAAAGGAAAATCGCTCAGTGCCATGTACATTAGGCTCATAACTCCAGTATGCGGCTGCGTGTTGTTATACAGTGCCACAATTCGAACAATGTCGGTTGTCCGCATGCGTCGAGGTGGATCAAAAGTACAAGTACTCATCGAGATGACGTAACCGTCTTCATTACCAGCTTCAATTCCTGAACCGTATTCTGGTACAGATGCACACAACAAGTCTCCAGAAGCATCGTCATACAGCTGGATACCGAGACCACCACGATGTTGATGGCCTACTGCATACACAAGCTCCACCTCTCGCTCCGGCTCGGGCGCGTGTTCACGATACGTAAACAATGGGATACTGCCATTGTCGAGTCGCTGTCGAGTCGACAATGTGTGAACGCATCCAGGGTGCGTAGTCGGGTCACATATTGGCACGTCATACTCCACATTTCCCATGTGCTCTAGACTTCCGGATGCATCACAACATGCCGCAAGATACAACGGACGATTTTCTGGCACAATTTCCGCGTATTCCAACGAGTAACGCAAGTAGTAAGTGGCATTCGTAGCTGTGGGTACATTACAATGGGCTTTCATGCATTAAAGTAGGTTTATCTATGTATTTGTGACAAACTGAGTCGTATCATGAAATAAGTCTGATGTTTGAATTTGTGACTGATCGAATTAGTCTTTTGTGCACATATTTACTATTTCTAAACGAAAAATCAAGCTGATTAGTGTTTTGGGTGTCAGGTTAGAAATGATAAACTGAATCAGCTTGATTCCTAATTTGCCTCAGATTAAGATTGGCAGATACAAATATTTCTCCCTAATAAGTATTGTAACTTTCGTGATCCAATATGAATTTCATGTCCATTGAAAGTCTTGCGACACTTTTGTGTGTCACGTTGGGACTATTCTACTGGTTCTACTATGATCGCATTCACTCTTCCAATTCTACCACCCATGGCAACAATCATTCTGATCGACGTACCTCACCCTCTAAACGTGGGATTGCAGCATTTGTGGAATATGAAATATTGTCCAATGAGATCGTTTTATTTGTCGCCCACAAGAAAAACCTTGCCACATTTCAGTCACTATTTGACGCTCTAAAAGTCAAATTTCATATTGTGGATTTGGCTCGCATTGCTGGTGGAAAACAAATTTTAGACTTTTTGCATGAAAAGTATCAAAATATAGAGAAAGAGGTTCAAAATGAGTTTCTATTTGTAAATCGAAATTTCATGGGAGGCTTGAAACAGTTACGTCAATTACTATTGGATGGAAAGAAATTGACATTTGGAACGCAATGTGATTGGAGCAATATTCGTATCGATAATCAAAGCCAGACAGGGTTTCTCATACTTGATACACAGCATGGATTTCAAAATATTCGAAATATAACGTCGAAATTTAGACTCATGGAAACCACCCCATTGGATACAATTACTGACTTGCAAGATTTTAATCCAATCACAATGCTTCAATGCTCTTTACCACTTGCCATACAAGCAAGAAATCAACCTCGTCGTAGTAAATTATTAGTCTGTCATGATATGAAAGGTGGATATCAAGAAGATCGATATAAACAGGGTTGTGAGGATTTTCATGCCTATCGATTCTATCAGTGGGATATTATCGATACGTTTGTCTATTTTGCACATGCTCTTGTATGCCCTCCTCCCATTGGTTATATTACAGCTGGTCATTGTCATGGTACCCGTGTTTTAGGTACATTTCTAACTGAAGGTGAAAAAGGAACCAAATTTTGTCTTGAATTATTTCAAAATGCTCAGACAGCGACGGTAAATTATGTGTTGTACACCACTTATTTATACCTAAAATGTGTAACCATATTATTTGACTGACACTATTTTTTGTGTATATATAAATATATACAGGTATTTGCCCAAAAATTAGCTACTATCGCCTCCTACGGTGGATTTGATGGTTGGCTTATTAATTTGGAAAATGACGTCCCGTCTCAGCTTGTGGCATTTATTCACATCTTTTTGCATACTCTTCGCAAGGAAATGCAGCTTCAAAATCCATTTGCACAGGTTGTATGGTATGCAAGTCTCTCAACGTGTGGCAAATGTAAATCGTTTGTTCGCTTGGACGATTCAAGCGCAGAGTTTTTTGAAAATGTTGACGCATTTTACGTGAATTATGGCTGGAATTCTGATGATGCTAAATTTTCAGCTGCTTTTGATTTGGATCGTCGGTATCAAGTGTATATGGGCATTGATGTGTTTGGTAGACATGGTACAATCGGTGGAGGTAAAATGAATTGTCAAGAACCTCTTCGTTTGGCATGGAATGCTAGAGTATCTGCTGCTCTCTTTGCACCAGGATGGACGCATGAATGCTATCAGTATGAAGCTAAACAGGACTTTATTATTGTAGAAAATCGCTTTTGGCAAGCTATTAGAAAAAGCTGGAAAGTGAAAAGCCCGTGTTACGATGCACTAGGTGGACGCAATTGCTTGTATTCGGCGTTTAACATTGGCCGTGGTATCGGCATCTGGACAGAAGGGAAGCGTGTGGGCACTTCCACGTGGTCGAATATGACAGAGATGGACATACAGCCAGATCAGGCACTGCATGTTGGCAACGTTGTGACCACTACTTCAGGGTCCATGGAGGCCGTCATCTCTCATAACACATCTTTCCAAGGAGGAGCATGCGTGCAGTTTCAGGTAAAGTGATTCTGTTTTTACAAGTGTTTTCCCAAGTGTAATTATCATTCTGATGCTGTATTCTGTTAACTATAGGGTCATCTGGTTGGGCGAGAAAAATTATACTTTAAGCTCTATGACGTAGACATTGAGTTTTCGTCACGCCGGATCATGGAGATTTCGTATACAACTGCTGTACGCGAGGGATCGGTGTGCCTTCTGATGCTAACAGTATGTCCGGGTCTCAATCGCGCTACACACTACGTAATTATGCGCTCGAAGAAAGACTTTGGTCCTGACGCTGGAGATACCCGTCTTGACCATAAGAAAGCTTTGTCATCGGTTGCCAAAGCTACTTCGGAGAAACACTTTTATCTGCCAGTGTCTACTGAATATTTCGACTTAGAGGGCGTTGATTCTGAAGCTGTGGGTGGAATCAGTATTGACGGGTGGTGCAAAAAGACGTACCGCTTGGGTGGTCAACTCTGGGACCAAAAGCATATTGTGGAAATTGGTGTGCTGTGTACGAATAAATTTGGAAAAGCATCTGATGAGTATGAAAAGTACTTGGCTTTCATTGGCGAGGTGTGTGTGGTTGGCAACAACAGTGAAGCTGCTGTGAATGCGGCACAGTGCGGTGTTCATAGCCAACCAAAATGTTGCGAAAATGCGAGGATCACGTCCTTCCGACGCAATGATACCGATTCGGTGGCTTTTGAAGTGCAATGGGACTTTGCTCTGGATGGAGTTCCTGTGCGCTACGTGTTGGTGTTTGCTCGTGTCCAAGACAATAGGCGGGATTTTGTAGGCAAAAGCTTTGACAATGCACTGCAGGTGGACAAGTGTTTGTGGCATCAAAGTCCGCTTTCGTCAAGCCGCCTCATAATCGAACTGCAGAGTGTTTCTTGGACAGGACAGAGCAGTACTAGCATTTGTTTTCTGCATTTGGAAGAATGAGAATGGATTGGATAAGACGCGGTGACCCCATCCTTATCCCGCTGCTAGCGTTGGCTTGGGATGGATGAATGCAAGACCAACAGGACGAATAGTCTGAATGCAGAATAGAAGTCTTTTATATCTTGTCCTATCCGACAACATTGTGCGTCCTAATACAAGTCCTGGAGAATTTGCAGTGCTGACGGTGCACAGCTGATGGGCCGATAGACAAATGAATGTGCAATAGGAGCTATACTCAATTTGCTCTAGTAGTGAAGCTGAACGTTACAAATCGCAACACGACTGGCCCGGTGCGCAAGGTTCGGGCGTCATGTGACAAGGCTCGCGCAACCCGTGTACGTGATCTAGGATGTCAACCCTTGACTGTCATAGTCATCAGAATGATTGCGTTGATGTCAAGGTTTTATGTCTGCATTTTGCATTGGTGGGTCAATGGAGGACGTGTTCAATATAGCCTTCCTGCCAGCGCCTGTACACTTCTTGACATGATTGCCGTGAGCTCACCTGGTTCGTTGTGGCGGGGATATGTAGTCAAGAATGGCTTCTCTTCGCCAGCCATCATCTCATAGCGAAGACATGACAGTACAAGTCATGTTGTTGAGACTACAAACAATAAGGTGGCACTTCTAAATGAGAAATGAATTCCACAAGTATCATTGACGCAGGCCTCGGAAGGACAGGGCCATTCAAGAGACGACTCAACCAGAAAAAGATGGGATAGCAGTACACACCCAAAACGTGACCGAAGCTGTTGAGGCAAGTTGCAAGCCAAGCAGCGTGAAACAAGTGAAGTCTGGACGAAGGTCGAGTCGAGGTGACAAAAGCTTGAGCAGCAGATACTAATGGTCTTCTGAACGACGTTAGAATGGCGACCTGTTGCTCTCTGATCAAGAGTGTTTCATTAGCTTGGCGAGCAAGTACGCAGCCTTGCGCGCGGCATGTTTGGCCTTTTTGACCTTGGTCTTCGTCACCTTTTTGCTGTCAACGTGGTCGTGCTTCCGCTTCTTCGAAGTCTTTCCGCTCATGGCAGCGTCAGCGTCTGCGACGGCTTTAGCTGCCTTTCGTGCTACGTGTTTGGGCTTAAACTTCTTGCCCAGTCCAGCTGCAGCAGCCGTTCGTTTTATCTTCTTGGCCATCAGATCCCGGTCAAGATCTATCGCACCAGTTTTACGCTTCAGTTGAATGCGTGCCAGAGCGCCAGCAGACGAACGAAGCCCCTCAAACTTTTCCTGGGCAGATTCGTCCCCACGTAAGTTCTTAAAGCGCTTGCCACACACTTGCACGCGAAGCTCACGATTCTCCATCTTAAGTTCACGAAGTGCCAATGCCTTTGCAACCAGAGCCTGAGTCTTGAGCAACACGTACCCAAATCCCTTGCCAAGACCGGACTCGCGGTCGCGAATGAGACGAACGTTCTCAATCGGTTCCGGCTCTTCTTCAGTCCAAAGACGCTTTGCAAAGAACTGCACCATTTGGTCATCAGTACATTTGAAAGGAACATTGCCAAGGAAGATACTACGGCGTGCATCAATTACAAGCTGGGATCTGTTTACGCGGATCTTCTTGTGCACAAGTGTCTATAAATATTGTTTGCAGCAAGAACAACAGTGAGTACAACTTACACAGCTTTATCTCACTCACATTATAAACCGCACATACCGTTCCGTTGAGCTTTAATGCAGCATCCACACTCTTCTCCTCTACAAACGTCACGTAGGCGTTGCAATTATCCTTGGCTGTCGTCAGAATCTTCTTGTTTGCACAGACCTTCATCATCAGCTTTTGATTACCAGCCTGGTCAATGGCACAACCAGCAATCGGCAAATGTCGGAACCGCACGTTTTCCACTTTACCACACACTGCAAAGTGGTTTTTAATATCCTTTTGTGTTGCATCAAGTGATACGTTGCCTACAAACACTGTACGACGATCTTTCTCGTCCTCGAATGTGTTTTCCTTCTCATTCTGTTCCTTCTCTTCTGTCGTCTTCTTTTTCTTCTTCTTCTGCTTCTTCTTCTTCTTCTCTTGCTCCTGTTTCTCTTCCGTCTCCTTCTTCTTCTTCTCCCGCTCTTCCGTCTCCTTCTTCTTCACATTCGTCTTCTGCACGTCAACTACAGTCGGAGTGTATGAGGTTTTCTTGCCAAAGAACACTGCACTCTGATCAAAACTGTCAGCCAAAGTACACGAGATCTGGATCATGTGTCATTGTCTCCTCATTTCTATCTTTTTCTACCACTTTATTCTGTAGCATTCACTACCTTGACGTTGTTCTACTATCTTTACTCTTACTCTTCGTACTCCTGGTAATTAATATATAGCAGTAGTAGTAGTCACAATAAAATGGATGGTAGGGAGTGAGTGGGTGGTCTTTCAGAAACATTACGAGCCAATCATGTAAGAGATAGAATCTGTATTGTACCAATCATAATGCAACAAGCTCAAGTAACAAATAACAGAATCACATTGACCCTACTGATATTGAAAAATTAGAGCAAAACCACTCTAGTAACGTTTTGAACAAAACTCAAGAGACTACAAGTCATATCTCCATCAAATCGGTTGTAATGAACTCCTTGATTGCTTTCTTTTGTCCAGACATATCACGACCTAAATCAGCACTCAATTGACGTATAATCTATCATCCAACATGTTCACATAGACAACGTTAATGCTACCTCAGTAAATAAAGTTAGTGCATAAACTCGTACCTTTTTCACGGTCAGTTCTTCAGCGTTGCCGTTCGCAATGATGCCTCGGACCTTATTGCAGACGTCAGCATCCAATATCTCTCCCTTGCACTTGGTTTCTTCATTATTGGCACCATTCACCTCATTCGCAGGCTTATCGGCACCAGACTGTAACTTATCCTTCTCGGCAGAGCAAATCATCTCATTTTCTCTCTCATCGTCGTCGTTGTCACTTTCTACAATGCGCGACTTCTTCGGTTGACGGGCAAATGTCTTCTTTTTCATAATTGTCCTCTTCGATTGTTCAATGTCGCTAGAAGACTCAGCCTCCATCGACTCATCGTCGTTTTCGTCTTGATTTTCCTCTTCAACAACACCTTTCCTCTTAATAGTCCTCCGTTTCTTCTTCGGTAACTCACTCTCGCTCTTCTTCGTGGTTTTTGCCCGCTTGTTCGCTTTCTGTTTCGCTTTTTTGGCAGCGATCATGGCTTTCTTTTCACCGAGCTGCAACAGAATTATCAGAAAAGGCACGTTAGTGCACACAGTACATTCCTCGCTTTGCGTTATCATGATCGAGTACATACCTGCGTCTCTTGAGGGTTGTAGAGCCAATCAACCAAACGTTCCAAGAGACCTTCCTTGTTTAATGGCTTCCCCTTTTCATCAAAAGACTTCTTGGAACGATCTATCTGAATGCCCAAACAAACAAAAATGTTACTACAAGCTCTGCAACAAGCAGTAATTACACCAATTTGAAAAGACACAGAACTTCATACCGCCAAAAAATCCATCACTTGGTGAACAAAGATCAACTTCCACTTGCACATCTTGGCAACCAGCTGCTCACGAGACTTCAACAATCAAACGAAAAGTGAGTGCAGAGTACGTAATCAGCACTTCACGAAACAATAGTGTGCAAGATCTAGATGCAATACCTTCTCGTCCTGCTCGACGATGCCTGAGAAGTCTAGAATATGCTCCTTAATCACTTTCACCTGACACAATAACAAACCGTCAGTTCTCTCTCTCACCGTTTTTGCGGATAGTTTGAATTACAGCACGGACATTCTTCTGCTTGAAACGACGTCCGAACATGATACTGTACAGCTGCTTGATCATTTCTAAATGCTTCTTGCCAAGGGCTTCGACCTGAATACACGACACAGCAGCCCCCCCTCAAAATTAGTAGCAAAACTCGACATCACGTCATCACGTTGACTCGCCTTACATTACTCCTGACAAACTCCATATCGCGCACTTTGGATCCTTTACCTACAGGAGGCAAAAACTCGTCTGCCTCGTCGCTTTTGACTTGCGTGAACGTAAACATCTGTGTAGTCTTACGCACTCGTCCACCAAGACTCGTCGTAGAGACATCATTGGACAAAGAAACAGGCGTCTGGATATCTTCTTCCATCTGGTCACTGCTTTTAACTTCTTCTTCTTCTTCGACTGCCAGAGCCATCTTGAGCTTCTGCTGATCATCCGTCATCGATGCTACTTCCTTCCTGCACCAATTTTATTTGTGTGTCACCTTCGGATATAACCTTTCTTTTTTAATACACTTTGTATTTCTTACATCACAAACCTTTTGGAGTTTATATTGACATACGGTTTCTAGCATATGACAATACTTACTTAATATTGCTACATCCAAACTAAATATTCCTTTCAAATCTGCTAATGATTAAATCCTGCACATCTGAACAAAGCCTCAGTGGACGAGAAGATATTATGAAGACTTCGACCGCTTGTTTGTTGGGATGGTCCGATGCCAAGAAGTAAAACGAACGGCTGTGGCTGGACTGGGCAACAAGTTTAAGCCCAAACACGTAGCACGAAAGGCAGCTAAAGCCGTCGCAGACGCTGACGCTGCCATGAGCGGAAAGACTTCGAAGAAGCGAAAGCACGACCACGTTGACAGCAAAAAGGTGACGAAGACCAAGGTCAAAAAGGCCAAACATGCCGCGCGCAAGGCTGCGTAAACGACTGGCAACGATAGATGCTGAAGAACAGATTACAATTCAAGCAAAACTTACGCTTGTTAAACAATTCACAATAGAGGAGAGACGGTCAAGGACCTAATTGGTTTGTGCTTGTAACGGAGTGTATCCAGACCGATGCTTCCAACGTGTCATGACCGTCATCACAAGTGCGCAAGCAGCAACTCCCGCAAGAACGCCAAACAACAGCAATCCCCAGCTGCTATTGTTTCCCGACACAGTTTGCGAAGTATTGACGATAGCAAGTTTCTCCAAAGGAAAATCGCTCAGTGCCATGTACATTAGGCTCATAACTCCAGTATGCGGCTGCGTGTTGTTATACAGTGCCACAATTCGAACAATGTCGGTTGTCCGCATGCGTCGAGGTGGATCAAAAGTACAAGTACTCATCGAGATGACGTAACCGTCTTCATTACCAGCTTCAATTCCTGAACCGTATTCTGGTACAGATGCACACAACAAGTCTCCAGAAGCATCGTCATACAGCTGGATACCGAGACCACCACGATGTTGATGGCCTACTGCATACACAAGCTCCACCTCTCGCTCCGGCTCGGGCGCGTGTTCACGATACGTAAACAATGGGATACTGCCATTGTCGAGTCGCTGTCGAGTCGACAATGTGTGAACGCATCCAGGGTGCGTAGTCGGGTCACATATTGGCACGTCATACTCCACATTTCCCATGTGCTCTAGACTTCCGGTTGCATCACAACATGCCGCAAGATACAACGGACGATTTTCTGGCACAATTTCCGCGTATTCCAACGAGTAACGCAAGTAGTAAGTGGCATTCGTAGCCGTAGTCACCTCCAGATCGCCACGTTCCAAGCAAAACTCAGCATTTTTACAGCAGTGCAGTCCTCCAATATATGTTTCAGCTGAACACGCTGTGTTCTCTTCGTACAGCAGCTGCGCATTGCAGCTCGTAGATTGGAATTGCTTCCCGTTTACTGAAGTAGCAGTCAACGTATCTTCCGATGTACAAGGACACTCGAGACAGCGATGCGCACGTTGTGGTGCCATCTTCCGAGTGTTGATTATGTGTACATTTGCAATCCATTCATCCTCTCCCTCTACAGTCATAAATGCATAGGGAAAGTAAAATTCCTGTGGAGTACCTCGACATTCTGTACCAGCACCAAATGCCACACTGCGGCTAAAGTTCTTGGGTTTCATTGGAGCGTGGCGGCTCTTCATTGCATCATATTGCTTATGTGTCGATCCGAAAACGTGGTGGTGTAGATAGGCGTCGTAGGTCGGTACAGGCACAACGTTTCCATTAGCATCTTTTTCCACAACGTCGGCTTCAAAGCGGTATACAGCGATGGGTCCTTTAGGAATTGCAAGAAGGTGAAAAGCATTAGTCACTTCGCCCTGCAATAGCGACAGCGGCGGTGTCAATGCCGTGTGGCGTTTCATCTCGGGCATTGAAGCAGCTGTGAATGAGTAAAACAGTAAGGAAACTGTGAGGAAATGTAGCATCCTGGTTCGACACAAGAGGTTTGGGCTTCTTGTGTTGTGCGCTGCTAAATGTAAAATGACTCGAATCGTAAACGGCCTCAAAATCTCGTTACGGTTAAGAAATTGCGTTGGGGACTTTTAGTATCAAGATGCTGGCTAATGATTAGTCATCCATTGGTACACTCCCACAATGTTTAGTCATACTTGACTTATATGTGGGTGCCTTTGCATTTCTTTGCGCACACCGAGTTAGCGTTGCCATGTCGCAAGTGTACAGCGACAAGAACAGTCCATAGAGCTACCTTAGTATATATATATATCCTTGATAGATAGACTCTTATTGGAGTTGTACTAGATGTCGCTCGACATACGGAAGGCACATCTTCTGTAAGTGACTGGATCAATAGGAGGAGCTGATACAATTAATGTCCTAGTGAATACTTAGCAAGGCAAGTAACAAGGGTATGACACGCTTCGAACACCACTCAACGTCAAATTCGTAAGAATCCACACTTATATTCAATGTAAGAAACCATACAGTAATACCTAAATGTATTCTAATGTGTCCCATTTCTAACGACTTGGCTATAGCTTCAAATCAAATCCAAGCACGTATGTGATTCTGACATCTTCACGGCATTTTGATTACGAAATCAGGATCGCTTGCGCCATAGGTTGAAGGCGTCAAGCTTTACGAGCCAACATTCTTATCTGATTCATGATTGTTCGCGGAGAAGTAGCTACGAATGTATGTTGCGAGTGATGGTCTCGATGGTCGATATGTTGAAGAGTAACTACTCGCCTTGAGATCGAAATAAAAGCGATCCTTTTGCATCTACCATGACAGAACCGTGTCTGTCCTTGATGCCTGTCTGCTCGATACGTCGCACTCAAGTGGGCTACGTTGACCAAGTCGGGGCTTGATTGATGGATGAGACAGAAAAATGGCTAGGATGTTTGCACATTCCGAAGCAGTTTACGGAAAAGAAGACAGTGACCGCTTGGGTAGGGGCTGATCTTTTACGGTGGACATACATCATGATGGAATCCTAGAGCCTTTTACGTGCTTGACTTGCTCTGCTCTCCGGATGCAACACGGACAGTGAATGCTGCAGACTTGCCTAGACATCACTGGACAAAGTGTTTCTGGCTGGTGCAGACCCTGGAAAACAAATCGATACTGGATATCAACGCGGCCAGGGGAGTTCGCTTCGAGTTACCGGAGTTTGCTGAGCGAACGGGACAGCGATGTTGGGCGGATCAGAAAAGAGGAAGTAGTTGCGAGGGATAGGCGATCGAGCTTTGTCAACGCGCACCTTGCGAGTCGCGCGCTACGCTGCCTCTCTAAGACTGCGCGCAGCGGAGAGAAGGCATTCCACCCCTCATTGACTTTGTCCTAGAATGGAGGACTTTGCCCACGGTTCAAACACCCCGTCGTGACTGGTCTTGGAGGTCGTCATATCTTGGCTGTCAATTGAAAAGTCAAGCTTTGATCGTCTCATGAAAGCATTGCACGACGAATTGTAAGGATTGGTGAAAGCAATAAAGTTTCGATCGAATTCGACCATTGTAGAAGACGTTGTTACTGTCTTGTTCTAAAGCCGTATCCTGCTACGGTTATGCCAGTTGCCGTGCAAGGGTTCACCTTGGTGAACTTTGCCGACCTGAAAACGGTTGATATAATTCTTCAGGCTGAGAGATTTAGAGTCAATTTGCAAGGAACAAGCTCTGTGGCAAAGATTCAACAGTTTCTTCTTTTCGAAGCCATCTATGGGCATACAGTGTGTCCAACATCGACTTACGGGGGACTAAAACTTGCGTCTTTTGTGGGAAATTAATCGAGCTAGGACGGTGATCAGGTGCGACAATGAACCGTCAGGTCCGCCTCGGTCTAATGTGAGGTCGTCTCATGTTTGGAAGACCCTTGTAGCAGTTTTTTTTTGCGTCCATCGTAGTATTTGCATGAAAATCGTGTAGACCCAAGTTAATATGAGGTGTATTGCTCTTTAGACACGCATCGGTAGCTTTGCATACCACATGGCAACAAAGGGGCATGAACAATCTGCTATTTCATTCGATGTCGCTATGTTTTTCTACCCAGTGCTACAAAAACCGTAAGAAATGATGTTGTGCTCAATGGCGTTTGGTTCAGAGCAAGAATGTCATGTTGAAAGCTTTACTATCCAGAGCTATTTGCTCTATTGTAATGAGTAACCCCATAGACCGACCATCTCCAAGAAAAATGATAGATTCAACGAAGATCTCCATCAAGTTCGATTCAGCATTATCTTTACATACAAAACCAAGGTACTATCGTTTCAAACGTCAAACGTCCTTCTTCATCCATAGAAACCATACAATAAAAACGTCAGGCTCACAGATTTGTTGTGTCCATTTCGTCATTTCGTCAAACACAAATCTCTCTAGTGATTATTATGACAAAGCCAATTGATTATTACTATGCGCTCTCCGAACAACAAGATACAGTGAATGGCCACGGTAGCGAGCAAGTGAATCGTCAAAGTACACAGGATCGATCTTTGATTGTCTCGATTACATTAACGGACAAAGAATACGAACAAGAACCGACACCAGTCCCCAGTAGCTCAAAAGATGAAGTGCGTATGGAGATAAGCACGATGGAAGAGGATGAAGTGATTAAAAGACCTCGCGGCAAGACAAAGACATTGCCTCGCACTTTTCTAGGCTCAGGATATGGTTGTAACTCGTACTTTACGTGGCGTCTACGCATGAGTACTGTATTCGTTGCACTACTGAGCATTACAGGCATTGCGACTTTTTGGGCATCAAAACATATTGGAAGTGGAGGATTATACGTGCAAGATGTGAGCTACGCTCTGGCGTTCCAGCGAACGAAGACTACGGCCTGTTTGACAGCTACAGACTATTGTGGAGCATGTGACACCATTTTAGTGTATGCAATGCTAGTGTACCACGTGGCCCCCTTGCTGGTCATTATTGGCTTACCAGCATCTGGTTTTCGAATTTTTGAACCGTTTCGACGACATCGAGGTGGAAGCGGTCGACAGAAAATTCAGAGATCGGTTTTCTTTCAATTCTGTGAAATATTAAGTGTCGTGGTGCTGATCTTTAGCTTGCTTGTGATTTTATATTTTGTATACGCCCTTTTCGAGGGTAACAACTTTTATTGTAACAGTGGTCGAGCAATCGTTTATGTGGCGTTGGCAGTGGTGACGTTCTTTGCCAACTTTGTAGTGCTGACGTATTTCGCACGTTTCCGAGAGCATCTTAGTATGCAACTCGGTGCGTTTAAGGAGACAGATCAGACAGGTGGCATCCGATCACGTCTTAAGCGTCGACACAGCAAGTTCAAGTCGGAACGCACGCGTATTATCAATGACTTGCGCAAACATTTGCACAAAGAAACATCGTTGTGCAACGTGACCAAAATGGAAACACTGCTGAAGTGCGCTAAAGAGCACTTGGGAACAGATTTTGCGCATGAGATGTATCGTGATGCAAAGCTTGTGTTTAAGCTCTTCGGTCGTTCCAAGAAGAACCCAATGCATGTGGCTGCTTATCTAGGAAATGTGCAAGCACTTCAAATGCTCCTGGACGCTGGGCTTTGTGTAGATAGCTATGACAAGGTATCACGCGTGCGTTTTACAACTGGTGATCTTTTCTGGACGTTTGCGCAAATCTTCGTGTCCAAGCCTTTAACGTGTGAAGACGAAATGGCTGCCTCAATTTTCCGAACGACGCTTGTAACGCCGCTCTTTTGCGCAGTTAGCACTGGGCAAATTCAAGCTGTCCAGTGGCTTTTGGACCACGGCGCCAATGTGAATCTCAAGTGTAAGTCATCCTACTGGTCGGATCGAATACCCCCCGCTTTTTGTGGCCGACAACCCCGACATCGTTACGCTACTTCTAGAAGCTGGCGCAAACCACCTTGACGTGCCTGACCCTGGCCATATGAACACGCTTACAGTGCTTCAAATGGCCTATATGCGAGGCAACTTTCCAGTGGCACACGAACTGGAAGAATGGGGTGCTGACGTGGCTCTGACGCCTCTTCATGAAGCTGCAGCGAAGGACAGCATCGTGAATATAAAGAAGCTACTGAAAACAGGTGCTGATCCCAATTGTGTGGGTGAGTATGGTTACACAGGTATGCATCGCCGAACACCATTGCACTGGGCGGCAATCAATGGTGCCGTGAAAGCCGTTGAAATACTGCTTAGAGCTGGATCTGACCCAAATTTTCAGGACATCTTTGGTCGATCACCTTTGCACTGGGCGGCGCGTGTGAATAAATTCGAGGTTGTTCGTCTGTTGCTGAGCAAAGGTGCTGATGTAAACTTGCGTGACTATTGTGATCGCACCCCTCTGCTATGCGCTGCGTCTTCCAAAAATGTAAGCGTTGATCTGTTTGAATGTCTTGTTCAGCACGGTGCAGATATCGACGACCGTCTCCCTAACGGCGACACAGGCTTGCATATTGCTATGAAATGCGAGCAAAAGGGTACAGCTTTGGCACTCTTGGACGCAGGAGCAGATGTCATGAAAACAAACCGCGATGGTTACCGTCCAGTGGATTGTACTACGTCGACGCAGTTGCAATTTGAAATCAAACAGGCTGCGGGCGATCGGGATGTCATGATCAGCTATACGCATTCGCACAGCGAATTTGCACTTAAAATTCGTGATAGCCTTGAGCATGCTAATATTACCTCGTGGCTTGACCTCATGAGCCCTACTGGGATTGGAGGTGGGTCAGTGTGGCGTGAAGAAATTGCGCGTGGCATTAAAAATGCTGAGGTGATCATTTGCCTTTACACTGAGGATTACCCAACTTCGGAGTGGTGTCTTAAGGAACTGGCGCTAGCGAAGCAGCTTCAAAAACCAATCATTGCTGTCTCTACAGAAGGCGCCGCGGTCACAGATGAAATGCAAGTGTACATCTACACGCGACAAATGGTGCCTTTTGAGTCTGCCATCAAGCGTATAAACAATACCAATAAGCGCAAGGTCGTGTACGAATACGATGAAGAGCGATATGCAACACAATTTTGTCTTTTGCTGGACGGCGTGCGCGATGAGATTGAAAAGCATCGCGAAGCTATTACTGTCGGTGGAAGCAATCGCCAACTAGTCAATGGTACTAGTGTCGTTAGTTTTGGTGAGAATGTGACGGATTGGGATCCAGCTACGTTGGACAATATCAAGTTTGCATTTGTTTCACACGGCGACCACCATCACGCTTTTGTAAAGCGTCTACATGATCGACTACAAGATAATCATGTAAGGTGTTTAATGGATGGTACACAATTGTATGCAGATATGATTGAGCGCATTCACGCTGCAAAGGAGGCGATTCTCAAATGTGAGGTGTTTATTGTGATCCTGTCGAGAAAGACCGTGAACAGTGAACTTGTAAAGGACCAACTGGCGTTTGCAGAAGATAAAGGCAAACTGATTTTGCCAATTATGCTCAATGACATGGAAATTCCACTCGATAAGCACTACACACTCTCCCGTTTGGAAATTTTGCACTTTACACCGGAATTGGGTTTTAACTCGAGCTTTATGCAATTGCTGAGTCGTGTGCGAGATAAACTCTCGATCGTAAACACATCATTTGATGCACCACGTGGCGCAACGCGTCCGACATTTCGATCTGTAGCACGAATGACAGCCATGGGTCATGTACGTCAAAATAATAGCATTGCTGTCAATGCTGCTGCCCGTGCTTTTTTGGGACGCTCATGTCTATCAGATGCTACAGTCGCGCTTGTATAGCTACACGAGATCAACAGTGCTGACTTATAATGTCATTTTGGAGACATACCAAGGTTTGGCGATGGACTACCTACCGTACATGAATGAATAAGGGCTACTGTAATGGCTACACTTTTAATATTATCAGATATTTTCTTGACAGTTTTCACGTCAGTCACAAAAGTGAAAAATCGTGTCAAAGGTTTGTAACATGGCTACATACAGGTGTCAACCCATTTTACATATAGTTTGACTTGAATATCGACGAGACAACAACTGTCGTCAGGTATGGCACGAAATCGAAACTTTAGAAACCCTGTATGGGCTGCCACGATGCGTAAATGGTATGCTCGAGCTTGGTGGATTGGTATACATGTATACGGATACGTTGTGCTTGGTTTAAAGGGTGTATTGAGTCCTAAGGCGCTACCAATTTCTCAATCCGTGCTGTATCTCGTCATAGCCGTGACAACAATTGGCTGCTATGTGATGCTGCAATGTTTATCACCTGGACAACTTGATAAGCGTCTTTCACTTGCACCTGTTGCGACACCATTGTCAATCGATCTCGGTAGTCCATTACAAGTGCCACCAGAAGACGGTGTTGACACGGTATTGCTAACAAACAGAACGGAGAATGAACATTCGAGGAAGAGTGCGGACTTGCACTTTTGCAACGAATGTCACGTGTTCCAACCACTTCGGACAAAGCACTGGTGCGATGATGAAGTTGGTTTTCTAAATGAAGTGGTAGCAGGTTATTGTGGATTGGTTTACTGAAGCAGAATTGTACTTGTGTATGGCGTAGTAAGGAATGCGCTCGATGTACGCGGCAGTATGATCACCAGTGCGTATTATTTAATACGAGTCATTATGAAAGTGCTTAACTGGCACTTGCTACACTAACTATTGTGTGTTGTTACGCTTTTTGTCATGTATAGTTGCGATTGTGTGGGAACGTGTGTCGGCGAAAACAATCGTCGGCTATTTGTCTTGTATTTATTTCTACAAATTCTGGAGGGTATTGTGACACTTGAAGTCACGTCGTCAGTTATCTCAGAGGGCGATGATATCAATGATTGGTTCAAGATTAATGCATTGTATATTGTGCTATGGTTTATAACCATGTGCGTACTGCTCATTGTCGTCCCGCTGTTTTGCTATCAGGTGTTTCTTATCTCGACAAATCTAGTGGGTGTCTCGATGTCTCTTTGCTCGAGAAATGAATATGTGAAGGTGAATGGAGTTGTATCGATATATGAGGACTGATATGATGCATGTATTGTAATGTGCAGACCTCATGGGAACATGCTCGACGTTCATCCATCACGTACTTACAAAACTTACCAGATAGACGTTCTCCATTTGACCGAGGGATAATTCAAAATTGGTGGGTGTTCATTTTGAACGGGGATCGAAATAAATGGGTCCATGAAGAAAATGTAGCCAAACCAATGACATTGCACCATGACGACGCTTCGACACTTGTATGAGACGTAAAATCACAAATTTATTTTGATGACTTAAACTATATTACAAAACATGCTCTCCATACAAATACCAATATACATAGTTTTGTGTCATGCAAATATAATGGAATCAATTTGCACACGTGTTAGTAGACAAAGTGTCAAATTGATCACAAAGTGACAGACTGACTAACAGCTCTGAGCTATGATCGTGACCTCCATGACGTTCAATGCTGCTGTTATGGTCGTCTCTATCGTGCTGATGATAGGCGCTGTATTGCTATTAGTATGGATGTTTGCCCCCATTGTCGAGGCCAAGAGACTTGCAGAGGAGGTGGATCCAGTGCAAGAAGCCACATATATAGACCCAAATAATCACAACCAACGGTTTGTCATCTACTCTATGATTGTAATTTGATGCATCTAATATTTGTGTGCACACAGATTATATTTTGGGTCTTTAGGTGATGAACGGGCAGAGGTATTGCTGACTGTGGTTATCCCAGCGTATAATGAAGAAGAGCGTATTTTGGTAACGATCAAAGACACTGTGGCATTTTTGGATGAAAAGCAGCAGAAGGACCGTTCATTTACGTACGAGATCATTGTGGTGGACGATTGTAGTGTGGACAATACGACGAACGTCGTTCTGACGGAGGTACAAAAACACTCGGTTCGCCGCATTCGACTTTTAAAGCTGCAGAAAAACCATGGCAAAGGAGGAGCTATTCGTAAAGGAGTCATGCGTGCACGTGGTGAGCGGGTACTGTTTGCTGATGCGGACAATGCTACAGAGATCAGAGACTATGACAAGTTGGCGCTTGCACTGGAGGAAGCTCAAACATCTGGAAACAATGGGGTTGTTGTATGTGGCAGTCGCGCGCATTTGGAAGAACAGGCCATTGCAAAACGTAACCCGCTCCGGAACTTGTTAATGTATGGGTTTCACTTGATTGTGTCGACGCTGTGCATTAAAAATGTGCGTGATACGCAGTGCGGGTTCAAGCTCTTTGACCGTACTGCGGCGCGTGTGTTGTTTGCACCGATGCATATAGAGCGATGGGCTTTTGACGTTGAGCTATTATACCTTGCTGCCATGAGTAAAATGACAATCAAGGCGCGTACGTTGGGTTGTTAAGTGATTAACGATAAGCTTTGCTGACTTGCCGTGTGTGCTGTATCATAATTTGCAGGAAGTCGCAGTGCAGTGGACAGAGGTACCAGGATCAAAGCTTCGTGTGATCTCGGCAACTATCACGATGCTGCGCGAAATCATTCTCATACGTTTGTGCTATACGGTCGGCATTTGGAAAATCAGCGATGGTGGCTTCCGTCTTGCCCCCCACACGATCGTGACCACAATAGCTGCTAGCTACGTGTTTTTACTGAGTTTGTAATCAGGCTATGTATGGCTTAGAACTAAAATCAATGCCTGGATGTTTCAGCTCGATGATCCAGCTGCAAAGAATGATAGGGCAATCGTGCTATGGCATGTGCCTCGCACCACCACTTACTTCGACACACCCAGCAATACGTTTGTTGTATTTCTCAACTCGTCAATCAAATTGAACATTCAGTGAACACGGTGCAGCTGTTGTTTCGGCTCTTCTACTTTCTCCATTGCAAGTTTTTATCTGTCCGACTCGTTTAATACTATGTGTTTGAAGCTACAGAGCCCATGCTTCTGACAATTACTATCCGACGCAATGTCAATAGGAATTTCGTCTTGCTTTTGCTTGGAAGTAATGATTAGCGGTGGTCTTTGATAGTGACATATTAGTCACCAATACTTGTCAAGCTTCCATACCTTATTCCAAAACCAGGTTTTTTTAGTAAAAGACCCACCCACGAGATGAACTTTTGGTTCTTTCGTTAAATTATTTAATATCACCCAAAAAGACAAAAGACTGAAGCCGAACATCCGGATAAAGTGAAATTGATACTGTCAGTTTTGATTTTATCATCTGTGTCGTGTCCGACATGGCATTACATGGTCACTTCTCGCACTTGTGTCGATTGTTGCTCGTCTTCTTGATCACAATAGCAATTCTAGCTTATGTGACATGCTACAATGGTATTGCATATCGCTCGTCTTCAGATTCCAGTGACAACGACGCTGTAGAAGCTCCACAATTATCCGTCAACGAACCGGTCTGCTTATCAGACAAAGCGAAAAGTTTGTGCTCTGTATCGCAATCCATAGCCACTCCAGCACTTCCATTCGATATACGCAAGCAACACATTGTCTTTGTGTCCATTGCTATCAAAGGCCACGCACAGCCGCTGCTCCGAGTGGCCAGCGAGATGATCGAACGAGGATATCGTGTCTCCTTTGCCACTCACGACTCGGGACGAGAATGGGCTTATGCCTATGGGGTGCCTTTTCTCTCAGCAGGACCCATTCCAATTTCAGCCGAAGATCTTCGGGTCAAACTTCGTGCCATGACGCGGGATGCCTCAAATTTTCGAGGAATTTTGACCATGTTTAATGACATTTACGTCCGTGCAGCAAGACCCATGTTTGACGCACTTTTACCTCAGCTAGAGACCAATGGGAGCAATTCAAATGCACCGGACTTGTTGGTCGTTGATATTGCAACGGTGGGAGCGCAAGATCTGGCTCATAAGCTAAAAGTCCCGTACATTTTGAATTCTCCGTCGCTATTGTTCAATCTTGGAGAAGCTCCGAGTTATGTACCAGCGTGGGGCACGGGATTTAGCGACAATATGTCGCTGCAGGATCGATGTATGAACATTTTGTTTCCTAGGTTATTATCCGTTGCGCTGACGCCACCGTTTATGGAGCTGAATAAAGTACGCTACGAGCTCGATTTACCGCCATTCAGATCTCAACACGATTTGTTCAAGGAAGCGCGTGTGATACTTAATACAGCATTTGGACTTGAACACCCGCAGCCTCTTTCGCCACTTGTGGATGCTGTGGGACCTATCATGCCGACACCGGGCGGAAATGCTAGCAAGTTGGAACGCCAACCGCTTCCTGCCGCTCTACGTAGCTGGCTTGACGCATCGATGGAATCGATTCCGTCGCTGCGGTTGCGCCACCGAACTGCATCCCATCACCAAAATAAGTCTTCAGGTGACCACGAGCTTGAAGGTATCTCCGGTGGTGTGGTGTATTTAAACCTAGGCACTATGGTTTACATTGATGCGTGGCAAGCTCAAGCATTAGTAGACGGACTACTAATGGGGTCTAGTGACCAGCCTGTAAAAGTGCTTTGGATCCTTCCAACAGACCAGCACAGTATTTTGCCGCCTGCATTACCACCTCGGTTGGTCTTAAAACCGCCTAGTTCATCCCTCTCCAACCTAGAAATTCTAAACCATCCTGCTATTCGATTAGTGGTTTCGCACTGCGGCATGATGTCAACTCAAGAAACGCTGGTGATGGGGAAGCCTTTATTGTGCATTCCTTTTTTTGTGGATCAACCGGATGTAGCAGCACGTGTTGCGGACGCTGGAGCAGGTTTGTCGCTGGACAAGAATTTACTATCGGCTCCCTACGTGCATGCTGCAGTCACACAACTGCTGACAAATGCTTCCTACACGCGTGCTGCACAGCGAGTTGGTTCGTTATTGGAACGAGCTGGTGGAATTGCTCGTGCGATTGACGTGATTGACGCTACTTTACGGTTGGGATTTGATCATTTAGCCACATTAAACCTGACAGCTCCGTGGCATAAAACTGCTTTACTGGACGTCTGGGCGGTTTGCGCTGCGCTTATCTGCTTGCTGGCTGTATTTCTTCGCATCCAGTGGCTACTGCTTTATTTTCTACTGTCTGAAAGCTTTAAGCTTTGGTACAGTCTAATCCTGGGACCATCTTCCTATGATAATGATATCACGCACGAAGACGGCGATGAAGCAGAAGATGATCATGACAGTAGTGACACATTGCAGTCTAGAAGTTAGGTAGGCTATAGAGAAAGGATGATACTAAATCGGCGAACCTGTCGGAAGCTTCGACGTTGAAGCTTCGATAGTAGGACTGGATTCTGAACTAGTGGTTGGAAATTGTGCTATGCTCCCACACGCTACCGGTTTTTTACTTTCTACCGGTGTTATTCAACCTTTTTCTCGGATCGTCATAAGTTTTTGTCAAAGTGGATACATATGACGTAAACAAATTACAGAGAGTTATCAATTTTAATTTCAATTCAATGACAAAACACAAACATTCCTGGGATAGACCAACATTCCTGCTCTACATGAATCAAGCAATTGAATTGATAATGACGAAGAGTATTATGGCCAATGACACACTGACGGTCGGGATCCATGTGGTGTCCAGAAACATCGCATGGCGACATGCAGTATATGAAATAGTAGCTGCTCTCTCTGTTCTTATCGTGATACACTTATTATCTGCTCTGCCACACGCTAATGCTGCTCAGAGACAGTCAAAACAGTGTCAATTTTTATGAGAAAACAAGTATGCTGGAATATATCGTGCAATTACGTGACTACAATACCTTGGAGACTCAAGGGCAGCTTGTCAGCACTTTTATCAGCTCTGCAGCATTCGATTATGGTCTTGAGATTGCTACGCGGTCTCCATTCGCTCATCAAGCGCCAACAAACTTTGTGGTATTGCGCATGTTTTACTGCGACATGGAGACGTTACCAGCTCGTTCTAGCAACGAAACATCATTAGATGAACATGTGTGTCATGCATCGGAAGAAGCAATGCGAAATTATGTCGAGAGCAACGTTACGGGGCTGATAAAAGCTGTCCGAAGGAACAAAGCGTACAGGAAGCTGAATTTGACGGGACTGGATACGAAACAAGATATAGGGCAAAAGATGCAATCAGCAACACGAAGACAAATGATGCACGAATCAACAAAAAGGTTGGTTGGCTTGAGAAAAGAAACAACGTTGCTAGTGAATGAATTAGGTGTACGAGAACTTTGGAATCAAGGCTATAAAGGACAAGGAGTAAAGATTGGGATCTTTGATACGGGACTGTCGATGTCGCGGCTTACAAATGTGAAAGAAAAAATCAGTTGGACGCACGAATTGAAAAATACGGATACTGTCGGTCATGGTACGTTTGTGGCAGGTGTGGTTAGTGGAACAGATGCAAAGTGCCCAGGTATTTCACCTGAAGCGGAGCTATTTGTGTTTCGCATGTTTACAAAAGAGCGGCTCTCGTTCACATCGTGGTATTTGGATGCGTTTAACTATGCATTATTCAAGAAAGTCCATGTACTAAATTTGAGTACAGGAGGGCCGGATTTTCAGGAGTTGCCCTTTGTCAACAAATTGCGAAAACTTACTGCAAATGGTATCATTCTGGTACGTCGTGTATGTCTTGCCCTGACATTCAACTTGTTGGATATCGACTGACCAGTGCTAGTTTTACCGCTAGGTATCTGCAGTCGGCAACGAAGGGCCTCATTATGGCTTGCTTTCCAATCCTGCTGATCAAGCGGAAGTCATAGGTGTAGGAGGTATCACTAGAAGCAACGAGGTTGCTGAATTTTCGTCGCGTGGCATGACCACGTGGGAGTTTCCATTTGGATCTGGCCGTGTCAAACCAGATATCGTTACTCTTGCAGAAGACATTTCAGGGTCGGATGTCTTGGGAGGATGTAAGGTACTTTCTGGAACCAGTGCCGCGGCTCCTATTGCAGCGGCATCAATAGCAATTCTTGCGTCCGTGATCCCTGCGGAGGCAAGATGGAACTATTGTTGAATCCGGCATCGATGAAGCAAATTTTGCTTGCAAGCTCGAACAAATTAGAAGCTCGCTATGAGTCAGACTATGTAATTCGAAATCACATTTTTGAGCAAGGAAGTGGAGCGCTTAACATCTCCAAGGCGAGTAAAATGATAAAGGACTTATGGGCTCGACATCAAGCTGCGCAAAATAAGACACAAATGGGGCAAGAGGTGATCCCTAGTGTCTTCGAGCCAAGCTCTTTCCCACACAAGCTGGACACAACAGATTGTCCGCATATGTGGCCATATTGCTTACAGCCGCTTTATTACAGTGCTTTGCCGCTCATGGTGAATTTGACTATTCTCAATCCTGTGTCTGTTGTAGGCACGATTAAAAGTCCCCCGCAATGGTTAGCTGGCATAAATGGCGAGCATTTAATGGTTTCGACGTCATCGCCTTCTATTCTTTGGCCATATTTTGGCTCAGTAGGTGTTTTCTTCGAGGTAAAAAACAGGCTGCTGCTTTTGAGGGTATTGCCCACGGAACGTTGCGACTTCAATTGGAGCAAGCCAGTCGCGTTGACGACCTTCTTATCCCGGTATCCATAAAGATCATTCCTACTCCGCCATTGTCGAAGCGCATTCTGTGGGACCAGTTCCATAACATCCCCTACCCATCCGCTTTTGTGCCGCGAGACAACCTTGAAATTCAGCACGACCTCATGGATGTATCGGGTGATTATCCACACACGAATTTCCACCAAATGTGTAATCTCCTGGCTCATGGAGGTTTCTTCGCCGAGATTATGCCGTTTGAGCACTCGTGCTTGGATTTAAAGTAATACGGTGTTGTGCTGATTGTGGATCCTGAAGAAGAGTTTTTTCGAGACGAAATCGTGGCTCTGCAAAATGCAGTCATGTACTCGAACGTATCTCTTATCGTTTTTGCCGATTGGTACGACAACCGTTTGGTGGACTTGCTCGAGCTCTTCGATACGAGCACACTAAGTAAGTGGCATGCCATCACTGGTGGGGCCAACATTCCGGCAATTAATGAGCTACTGCAAGACTTCCGTATCGCGTTTGGAGATGGAGTCGTCCATAGCTCGAACGTATCACTGCTAAATTCTGGAAACGACTCGTCGTTCCCGTACTGGTCAGGTTCATACCTCACAAACTTTCCAGTGGGCGGATATCTGGGCTACATCGATGGTATCGATACCAGCGCAAGGTATTTAAATGGCTCAGAGAGAACAGTGACGGATGTACCGGTATTGGGTCTCTATGAGGTGCCGTCGCACGCTGGTGGTCGCATCGCAGTCTTTGGTGACAGTTCGTGTCTCGACTCAAGCGCGCACCCTGGAGCTAAGTTTCAAAATTGCTTTGGAATGTTACGTACCGTGTTGCGCTTTACAAAAGAAGCTGTGGTTTCACGCTATATTACGCTGCAGAACGATTCAGCGAGCTCAGCACTGCAACGTCTTGAGCTGGAATTTGTCAGTGACAAATCCGTTTTGCACCCGTCAGTGAACTTGGAGAACGACGCCATTTGGCAGCAACGTGATCATCATAGGGATTTCATCAAGCATTCCAAAGTACTTGAAGCTAGCAACGATGAGTCCGTTCATCGCAGCTTGTGCAACGTTCATGCCAAGGTGCAGTGCGTCGATTGATGGACAACGTCTGAATTCTCACACGTCGCAGCGTCACTCGATCGAGGGGAGCTTGTCATTTTGCAGCTGAACCAACACCATTAATGATGAGCTCTAGTCTCAACTCGGTTGAGCTCTACGTGGTGCTGTCGAATCGAAGCGGGCGACAGAATCTAGGCACGTATTTGCGCACGGCTTCTGCCTTTGGGGCAACACAAGTTGTGGTCGGTACGTGTGAAAACGCATTGACCGTTAATGCTTTTGATTGCGTCAAAAGTGTTTTGAAAGGAGACTTAGTGTTGGTTGATTGATTGGTATTGTATTGTATTGACATTGTAGTGGGCTCTAAGCGTTTTGGCACTCATGGAGCACATCGGGCACAAAAGTATGTCGACGTGGTGCAGTGTTATGAGTTTGCTGACGCTCGTGCCTTTCTCAAGTCGAAAGGCTGCACCATTTTTGGTCTGAGCAAACAACCGACCGGATCCTTTGGTACTTTCTTGCGTGAAACCTTACCATCTGATTGTTCTTTGTTTACGTCTTGAATGGTTCCTGCATATATGACTGGATTGAGGTGTTGTGTCTTCTGTATAGCAGCACACGCTACGCCTTATCAAGGAACCAGTGCATTTGTCATCGACAACGAGGTGCGTCGAAAGGTGGTATCATGCCATTAACGTTGCCCAATCTGGCCAAATGGTGGGTGAAGCTACGAATATATATGACTATGTTTTGCTCTGATTGATGCTGTGTAGTTCCCTGGACTTTCAACGGAGCAGCATGCTATCTGCGACCACTTCGTTCATGTACCTTTTCACGGCAAACAGACTAAAGCTTCCAGCGAGCTAGTGCTGGACACTACCGTGGTTACAGCTATTACGCTACATCATTTTACTGCATTTGCACAGTTTCCCATTCGCGCTATTGAGGCCACGAGTACGCAGGGCAAGTTTGTGCTGGATGCATACCCGGCATTTAATCCGACGCGCAACCTGCGCGCTAAGGAAAAGACTGCGATGCGTGAAGCTAGAATAGCCAATGCTGAGGACGTTCTCGCTGATGACGACGGACTTGGTAGCATATTTGAGTGACGGTGCTTAAAGCATTACCAACCTAGGCTCTTATTGCAACGATTGAGCCGCAGAAACAAAAATATGCACGTTGCTCATGTTAAGTTATGGTGCCAGTAAGCAGTGCCAGCAACAGATGGAGAAGAAGGCTGACATAATGAATCATCTCAACATATTTCAGGCTCGTCGCCATTCCCTATGGTGCATGCTCTTTTCTCCGTCGTTGCAATTGCATCTTCTTCAGAGTTTGTTGCCTTTGCGGCGATGATATTGTCTGCGCTTAAGCGCAGTCCATTCGTTTGGTCATTGCGCTTGTCTAGATTGACGTGTGGATGCCCATAAGATGCATGTCAAACGTATGTTGTGACGCCTGTTTCCTCTTGCGCTCGAACAGAACCGCCTCACACAAACGGCACGTTTTAATCTTATCACTCGGGTCCTCATCGGCACGTACGAACGGAATTGCACTGACAGCTCCCGACGGCTTAAGACACTGCAAGCAAAAGAGCATACCACAGTGATAGCAATTGCTTTGATGAGTGCGCATGCGCATGCCTAGCATTCTCTTCATCATATTGCTGAACGCTTTCTTAGGACCTACAAGCGACGACGACTTGCACCGCATGCAAGTCCTTCGCTGCGTCATTGGGAGATAGGCCGGTGTTTTATTGATACTGCGTACCATAAACTGCTTTACACGGGGAGATGCAACTTCATAACACATGAGACCATCCATGTTCAGTGACAGCATGGAAGCTCCAAAAGCAACCAATACGCCTGCAATCATCGGCGAGTCGCGTCGTATTGCGAGATGCAGTATAGCGACCCCCTCGGCTTCTGTATTTGGATCAGCTCCAGCTTCCAGGAGTTTTACAATCAGCGTTGGGTTATCAATATGAAGCGTGAGCATATGAACAGCAAGTGGCGTAAGGCCGCGTTTGTTTTCGGTGTTGACATTCGCTCCAGCCTCCAATAACCTCTCAGTAACGTCCAGACACGTGGGTTGTCTCCAATTGCCTGTAGCAAAATGCATGGCCGTATTACCATTAAAATCAGGCGCATCGAGCAATTGATATCATGCTCTCGTGCTCTAATAGTGCGTCTAGAATCTGTACGTCACCTTTACGAACAGCAATGTGAAATGGTGTCTGTCCATGATTAGGTTCACGTAAAGCCAGCAAGGCAGATGAGATGGAGCATTGACTGGTAAAGCTGCTTGAGTAAGAAGAACTGGCACATGATGATGCAATGGACGTCTCAAGCGCAGAATCACGAACGTTATAGCCACGTTTATTCAAGAGTCCCACCATATTCCGGAGAAAAACCTCATCAGCATGTACCTTACCACGCAAAAGTGTAGCTGGGAGTACAGCTGTCCTACTACTACTACTTTGACTATGATGATTATTACTTTCTTCATCATCTGAACTCGTGGTTGTACCCTCAGGTGATTTAGCAGCTTTTAATGCTAATACTGCTGGTTCATCATTATGATCAAGGTACCGCGAGTTATTACAAAGGTCAGCCATTGGGTGATGATTATTCATCATGGATTAGTGGGATTTATTGTATTTGCTCTAGTTTAATAATGCGATGTTTTATACGGTTAATGGACCTACAATAGAAAAGCTTTGTGTAGAATACTTACTCGCTAGAGAATACTATAAAACTGCAGACGGGTCACATGGATCAAGCCATTGGCTTCAGTTACATCCATGGTGTAACAAAACACGGACGATATTTTATTTCAACGAATGGCGTGACGAGAAAGACATACTATTTGGTGGCACGAGTACTCTTCTCATACACAAGTGCTTTTTCTATCCTCATTTGCACTTTACAACAAAGTTCCTCACAATTCCAGAGCGTCAAATAGTCGCAATGCTCCCACTATTCACTTTGACATCACTTTCTTTATGGGGTGTCGAACGGTTTCATGTTAACAGAAACGTTACGATTATACCGTACTATGTTTCAATAGAGGCCAAAGCAATTGTTTCCTACTTTTAGTACCACAAAAGCTTCATACTTTTTTATTGCTTCAAGCATAGCTGTGGTGTCTTATCCAGAAGCAATGGTTGATTCGAGTTGTCGCACTGTAAAGATCAATCTCGTATGTTCACATAGTATAGTTCAGTCAGTCATTCAGAGTGTGGAAGATTGTCACATAGTGCTTTTCAACGAAACGGTTTCTGAGACAGGCTTGCATTGTCACCTCTCTCTCTCTCTGTCGCATCATCAAGAAACAACCACCGATGAGAGATTGCAACAAAAGGGACGAGTCTCAAATGGAGCAAAAAAAACAAGGAAGGGGAAATCGATACCATTTGAAGCCTGTCTCCGACATGATATTCGTGCTGCATAAGAGAGAGTAACGAGAATTGATTTTTAATCTATAAAGTATCAAATAACTTGAGCACGGAAATAATAGCTGGTAACATGTAAACTTTTGCTTGCTTACCAGTTCTTAATCCATGGGACTGTACCAAGTCAGTAGCTACTGTAGTACATTTGCACCATATGCACTCAGTAAACAAATGTCTACCGTCAGAATATGATCCTTTCAATTAAGGACATCTCTGCCGCAAGAATGAACATCATTCTAACCCATAGTAATGCTGTTATAATTAGGATTCCTATCTCTTACTATAGTAAAGATTTTTATCTCTTACTATAATTAGGATTCCTATCTCTAAATATAATTAGGATACCTATCGCTTATTATAATTAGGATACCTATCACTTATTATAATTAGGATACCTATCACATATTATAATTAGGATTCCTCTTTTCCCTTTATACCATTATCCCTGTCATTTAGTAAAAGCACTAGCACAAGCATTAGACAAGCACAAGCTCAAGCAGACGAGCGACTTTAATAATCATGATGCGTTTCGTGTCTCTATCGACAGTATTTATCGTGCTGATGGTGCATACAGAGGCAAAGGATCGTTGTACTGCCATTATCGTTGGAGCCAAGGTGCGATTCACTTTTGCTTTCATACAAACTAAAAGGAAAATTGCATGCATGAACGCTCTCAAACTGTTTTTCTTACTCTTTTTTCTTAGGCATCAACTACTGGTACTCCCATGACAACTCACACAAACGACTGTTCGTCTTGTGACTTTCGAATCGTCAAGGTACCGGCTAAGGCATATGAGGATGGTGTCCAGCACGACGTCGTGCTTGCAGCCTTTGATTATCCACGATACGGTAAGTTATAGGAGACAGTAAAGGGCTTTTGTATTACGATTGGAGACAATCTAATGTACTTACTGTTTGTGCAGTGGGTGATGCTCGTAGCAAGGAATATCTTCCGGAGAATCTCGACACACGTTTCTACAATTGGACTGTATCACCTGCAATTGGCAGCATCCCAGAGGCTCCGCAAACCTTTGCTTATATTGAAGGCGCCTATGGAATTATCAATGAACACCAAGTTGCTATTGGTGAAAGTACTTGCCCCGCACGGTTCTGGACCAAGCCAGTGACGCAAGGAGGCAAAGCGCTCTTTGACGTGGGTGAACTGTCTCGGATTGCACTACAGCGTACCCAAACAGCTCGTCAAGCTATTCAGCTAATGGGAGATCTTGCTGTGCAGTATGGATACTACGGGGCTGTGTGGGAAGGTGAAGGTGTGTATGACGAAGCAGGCGAAGCTCTCACAGTGACGGACACGAAAGAGGCGTGGATTTTTCACATTCTGCCTGATGATACTGGTAAGTCGGCTGTCTGGGCAGCGCAGCGTGTTCCGGACGATCAAATTAGTGGCGTTGCTAACCAGTTTGTGATCCGCGAGTTGGACTTAAGCCGTCCGACGTTTTTTCTGGCGTCCCCGAATGTACACGACGTGGCTATCCGCAACAACCTTTGGAAGCCTCACAATAACACGCCATTCGATTTTACTCGTGCGTATGCTCAACCTCGTAAGCCGATGCATCAGTACTACTCAACTCGTCGCATTTGGCGTTTATTCACGCTTGCCAACCCGGCGCTAGAGTTGTCCCCGACAACCGATTTACTTGGCAGCGATTATCCGTTTGGAGTCAAGCCGGCGTCGCCTCTTTCTCCTCGTGACATTATGCGCTTCCAGCGGGACCACTACGAAGGCACGCCATTCGACATGACGAAGAGCCCCAAGAGTGGCCCATACGGCGACCCTGACCGTTACGACCCATCTCCGAATCATGACCTTACCAAGGAAGACATTTCCCATGGCCATTTCGAGCGTGCAATCTCAATCTTTCGTGCGAGCTACTCGTTTGTATCAGTACTGGACCCAAGCAATCCGGACAACGCGTACCTTTGGTTTGGCCAGTACGCTCCACACGCAACTACTTACACGCCCGTGTTTGTGCAAGCGACTGACGTGCCAAAGCAATTGTCGCGTGGTTCGCTGTACGCATTTGATCGTGAGTCATCCTTTTGGATCCATGCTTTGGTTGGAAACTGGGCGGCACGCTTTTACTCGTACATCAGTCCTTTCGTTAGAAGAGTTCAAGACGAGGTGGAGAGTTACGCTGACGGGATGCTTCGGAGCGTGCTGATGGAAGCTGCGCAGCACAAGCGAGACAGCGGAGTACAGGCTATGCGGGAGTTTATGACGGCAACGAGTGAGGACTTTGCTCAGCAAGCGCACCGTGCTTCGGCAGACTTGTTTGACTACCTCGTCACCGCCTTCCACGACGGCTACCAGGTTTCCAATTTCTACTCAAAGATGCTCACAGTTCAGTCCATCTTCTACCCAAAGTGGTGGCTGCAGTCTGTTGGATTCTTCGATGATGCTGAAGAAAGTATTGACACCTCGTCTGCGTCGATGAGTTCTGCGTCAAAGTCATCTCACAGTGGAGTGGCGGTCGATACATCAAAAGCAAAGGTCGTGTGCGAGACCGCGCATAAAGGGTCCGTATCGTACTTCACCACGATGATCCTGATGATTCTTTCAAGTCTTGCGGGTCTTTTCCTCGGTCGCAAGTTTCATGGTCCGCTCACTACCAAACAACAGGGATATCGACCGCTTTAGTAAGCGACCTCACCAAGGAATACTGAGCCTACGCCAAATGTTGTTGTAGAAGTATTGCAAAATTTATTGTTTACAAAATGTTAGGATCATAAAAGTCATATATATGATTTTTAGGATGGAATATTGCAATAGAGAAGGAGTGATTGTAATTATAATGGGTCATGTGTTGTACTGAACTATCATCGTACAACTTTTCACCTCATAAGAAGTCAATTTTTACAGGAAGGAATGATTGTAACCACACTTTAGTAACGTTCTCGAACATTTCACTTTGCCCAATTTTGAAATTCTTGGTCCTCAAACTTGAATTTGCGTTGCTCTGCCAACATGACAATTGTGACTCTTCATGTGTATGATCTGAGCCACGGCATGGCGCGTCAACTCTCGCCTGCTCTTCTTGGTAAAACCATTGACGGTGTCTGGCACACAGGTGTATTCGTGTTTGGTCAAGAATATTTCTTTGGCGGTGGTGGTATTCAGGCCATGGCACCGGAACTAGTCGTGCAGCGCTACGGAATGCAACCTGTGCGCACTATCGTTTTGGGCGAGACGAGCTTGTCGCAGCAGCAGCTTGAGCAGTATTTACGGGACAACAACTCGCGCTTCACGGACGCCACGTACGACCTGCTGCGTCACAATTGTAATAATTTCTCGGACGAAGTTGCCAAGTTCCTTGTGGGTTCAGGTATTCCACAATACATTATCGACCTGCCAAATGAAGCACTTAACTCACCGTTTGGGTACGTGGAACAATGGATATATCTTTTATACTTACTAGTGCTAATTGCTAAACGTTGTGTGCCGTTATAGAGCGATGCTGAGACCGATGCTGGAGAACATGAACAACCAGATGCATGCTGCCCCAGGCGATCAGCTCTTTTCGATTCCATTTAACGATCCATCGCGTGCTACTCTTAATACCCCAGTACCAGCGACGACACCTGCTTCGATGTCAAGTAATACGGTATCAAGTAACATGGCGTCAATGGCTTTGGCGTCGCGTCATTTTAAAATCTCTGGAACGCCAAATCTTTATCTAGCCAGCATGGTGCAGCGAATCAAAGTGCTCAACACGCAGCAAATTTTGTCGGATGACGAGATTTCTGCACTTGATGCGTTGTCGGCATATGTGTCAGCGGACAGCAAGGAACCTGACTTGATCAAGAGTGATGAATGGTGGACTGTTGTCAGGAAGTTGATTTGTCTAGGACATGACACGGACATTTTTTTCCCAGCGCTGGGTTTATTTCGTGTACTGCTTTTGCAGCCTGCTAGCGTATCCAAAGCTGTAGCAGAAAAGAAGGCGTGTTTTGAGGCTGTTGTGTGTGTTGCAGAGGCCCAACCTTCGCAGCTATCGTCAGCCCAGAAAATTCTAGTCTTGACGAATTTGCTCAATGCGTTTGCCAGCCCTGAATTCAGTGACCTGGCGCTGTCGAGCTCGACACGTTTTCTGCCTTTTGTCTTTGACACGATTGCTGACGTATCGACGAGTCCAGAAGTGTGTGTGCTGAGCTCCCACATCATTAGCAACTGCTGCTTGGCAATGAAAGTTGGTGACGAGATTGTGATCACTGCAATCGTGGGTGGTGCAATTGAGACACTTAATCGAATCTCAAGACATCACTCTTCTTCCGTCCAGCAGCAAACGATTGAAGGCATAATCATCGGTCTCGGTCGTTTACTGTACAACTTTGAAACTGCTCGCAATTTGTCAATTGATTTGGGTCTCGCAGAGGTATTACGTCGTCTAAACGTTGCACCAGAACTTGGTGCTCTCCAAGCACTCTTGACGGAAGTCGTGGCCTTGATTTAAGCCAGAAGCTTTATATGCAAAAAATAACAATACATCGTCAAATTTGCACGAGAAATTCGCTACGTGTTGTGTTTACCGGTACAATACCGGTCCATAAATCCTCGCCATAAGAGACCCAGTCATTCCTTAATGATCATGCAGCTTCTAAAGCAGGTCAAGTCTTTTAATGGTGTCATTAAACAGTATTCTCATGAAAGTACGAGTACAAAATGTATCATGAAGTTCAGTATCTTCTTACCACCTTGTGCAAGTGACAGTCATAAGGTTCCCGTTCTTTTGTATCTACCAGGACTTGCGTGTAACGATGAATTAGTATTCATTAAAGCACCTGAAGCACAAAAAGTAGCAGCTATTCGTGGTATTGCAATTGTTACGACTGATACTAGTCCACGTGATGTAAATATACCGGGAGATCAAGATAATTGGGATTTTGGAACAGGTGCTGGATTTTATCTTGATGCAACGGAACCAAAATGGGATGAACATTATCGTATGGATTCCTACGTGACAAAGGAATTACCAGCACTTTTGAGTACTCATTTTCCTATTATAAAGGATCAACAATCAATTATGGGACACTCAATGGGTGGACATGGAGCTCTTGTACTTGGCATACGGAATCCAACACAATACAAGTCGATCTCAGCATTTGCACCGATTTCACATCCAAGTCAATGTCCATGGGGTATTAAAAGTTTTACGGGCTATTTAGGTGTCGACCAGGAAACGTGGAAGGTATTTTTTGTGTAGTACATTTTGTAGTTTACTACATGTACGTTGTGATGATCAAAGTGGAGGTCACTTTCGTGCTTTTGTGTTTGTTGTGTAGGAATATGATGCGACACAGCTTATTTTGAGACATGGACCAATTCCTTTGCCAATTCTGATTGATCAGGGACGTGAGGATAATTTTTTGCATGAAAAACAGCTTTTACCTGAGGCTTTCGAAGCAGCATGCAATTCAGTGGGCCAAGAATTGACGCTCCGAATGCAGGTAAGTGTGATACGAACATATGCTTGTTGTTGCTCTTGACAATAAGCATGCCACTTGTTTTCTGACAGGACGGATACGACCACAGCTATTACTTCATTGCTTCGTTTGTAGAAGACCATGTCAACTATCACGCCGACGCTTTACTTCAGTAAATGAAAATGTGATGATCAAAAGACTCATCGCTGTAAGGCAAGAGAAACGTCAATATTTTACGCATTGACTAATCTGCAAGAGGTGAAGCTTTGTACTTTGTGCAACTGCATGTCTAAACTTTTAGTACTTCCACGCGAAATGCAAAACATCATTGTCCTTTCATCTCTACAACGGCTTTTGTTGGACTGGACGACGAAGTCATGTCTGATGATGAAGACGTGCATGGCGCGGAACAGTATGGTCCAGTAAACGAAAACTCTACTGGCTCTTGACTTGGATTTGATGCCGAGACACCCAAAAAAGCGGGTGTCTGTAATGGTGCAGGAAGGCTTTCTTTTAAACGAATGCGACAAGACTGGTCGAAGGTCATATCACCAAAGACATATCGGTATTCGCAAAACTCCTGAAACTCGCAATGAGCACGACGATAGTTCCAGTAACAGTCAGCGTCAATGACCGGTGGACGCGACGACTACAACATTATTAACCGTGGTTGGTTAGTTGGATAATGTTCCTTAGACACAAAGAACTGACCTTACCTTATCCGAATTAGTTTTGCCGTTGAAGATATGACGCAGCTCAGCGCGCAACTCACGAAGAAATGCCGGATTAGAAAGAATGTCACGGTGGCCAACACCATCGATTTCCCACACACCAGTCTGCAATATCAGAACACGCGTGAGTATAGCAAGCTTATAGAGTGCGAACATCTTAAATGCCCATCTACCGAGTAAGCAGCTCCATCCACTTTTCTGGAGCTCTCAAAAAAAGTGATCCTGTTGCGGTTGAGCGGTTCAAAGAGCCCTGCAAAGAAGTTCGTTGTACCGCCACCATTAGGCGAGAATAAATCAGTGTCAACCGAACAAATTGGTAGGTTGCCGTTGAGCAGTGAGTACTCTGCGTGGTGAGTGCTCGCATGTCGTACAGCTCGCACCCGTGTGATGTTTTCAGCTGAAAAATAAACAGACTGGGGAGTCTGGGTGACTCGCACGGATGAACCTTTTGAGCCCAGCCACGTGTGTGCCCAGGAAAGCGAATGATAGCCAACAGTGCCATCACCTATCTTAGTACAAGTCGGACCCTGACCTTCTTCATTCATATACTGCACCTGGTACCAATGACCAGGCGTGTTTGCATTTTCGTACTCGTAAAAAGTTTTTGTCTGCAAACATGACATCAAAAACCGGTTAGCAAACATGAACAGCATCGACACAGATATCCTTTGCGCAATATATACCGGAACGTTGACGCCGTAAACGCTGTAGACAGAAGCGATAGGAGGACGCTTCCAGGGTTTGAAAAAATCAAGGACAGAGTCTTGCGCATAAAACCTTTGGCGCATAGCCTCCAGTTTGCCAAAGATCGGATCATGCGCGGACATGTCACGAAAAAGCTTTCCCGTGGCAATGTCGGCACTGGTATAGTTGCGAAGCTGTACTTGATCGTCTTCGGAAACAAGTGTCTGCTGCGAACGCACAGCAATAAGTACTTCGTTGTCTTTGGACGAATTCAATCCAGACGGTATCGGCATGAAGCTCAAAATGGAGCCTAGTACGCGAAAGAACGCACACAAGCAATTAAATCTTTATCGACGTATATGTTGGCGAGGAGAAGTCATGAGTAGGGTGACCTACCAAACGAAACCACGAGCTTGCGCATTTCGCTCTGAGTAATTGGAAGTCCTTCCGTGAGACCCGACGAGATCAGCTCGAGTGATTCAGCACTTCCTAATAGCGGTGAACCGACCGCAAAGTAGGCTGAGATGTGTCGATCAATCCACTTTTGCCAGTTCTTGCGGCCCACCTCGTCTTTCAGCCATTCGAGAAAGTAGCGTAAAATGCCATTACCCATCGAGTGAGCAATCACAACAAGTCCACCATCATTTCCATCTAGCTCTACCGTATATTCAACTAGATAGCAAAAAATGGAGACAAAACGAGCCACAGAACAAGCATCAACACCCCCCGTCCTGCTATTAATCGAAACAGATAGTAGAACCAGCTTCACACCTACGTACTTTTCTTCTTCAGTAAGTCAAAGTACTTGTCACGTTCTTGTAATTTACTTGGTGGTAGTCTCCAGTCATATGTAGCAACAACAAGTTGTTCTGGATTCAGTTCAAAATGATGGACTAAATCATGAATAATATTGCGCCACACTGTAGACAAAGGTCCTGTAACAATGCCTGGATCAAGCTCGGAAACTGCTTCGAGACCTTGTGCAGCTCTAAGTAGATAAACAGCATTCATTCCTCAGTACAATAGGACACCACATCTCTCTCTCTAGTTGTTAGTACTACTACTATTACTTACCGTAATTTACACTCGACTTCATCCTGCGTTGTAAGGTCGAGCTGCATACAACGAATCCAACAATCTGATTGTGCCAAAACACGTGCGACATCAATCCATAGACGATCACCAAATTGAATATCTCGATACAAATTATTGCGAAATCCCGTTGTTTTGCATTGATAAGAAGAACTCCATGATTGTAATTGGGATGATGCAAAGCCTGGTATTAAAAGTACAGGTCGTGTTCGTATCATTCCTAATCCTTTGGTTAAAGAGATCATGATGCTTATTTGTAGATAGAATAGTAAGGTCAAGATGAATACACTCATTACGTAGTTACTATTACTACTATGACGTAGTTACTATTACTACTACAATTACTACGTCTTCTTCTTCTTCTACTGGAAGCTCTTGAGTAATTTAAATGCACAGATAGACAGACACGTGCTATGAGGCTAGAAGGCGTTTGGAATTGAGTGAGTTAGGACAATAGGAAGTTGTAGCGACCTGGGTTTAACGACATTTGTACCTGAGGTTCGATTGTACAAATTGTCCACGTTGATTGTTAGAGGTCGTTAAAGTCAGGTATATGGACCTTTTTCAAACACGAGACAGTGTAATACAAGCTTGAAGTAGACAACAAACCTCTACAATATCACAATCGTAAACATGCTCTGTCATTTGCAATGCATAACGAAATAGTACTGTTTTAGTAGTATTACTAACGAGTAGTAGTAGTACTGCACAGTAGTAGTACTGCACAGTAGTAGTATTGCTGACATAGTAGTAGTATGACTGGCTTGGAACTGAAGGTACTTTGGTCAATTTGTCTGTGTTAGATGCTGCTTGACTCAATAACTTATGATCCAGTCTATCCATTCCAAAGCATATATGAGTGAGCATAGCGATCCATAGCTTTCTTCTAGAGCTCCGTGTGCATTGTGGGACCTTTTTGTGGCGTAAAACTAAAGCGGTTGCAGTGTTTCCAGTGGCCATTGTGGTCGATAGCGCGCTGACTCTGGGTCACTACGCATGCCCCTGGGCATACCGCTCAATTCCTGCCCATGCAACCATGACACCATTGTCAGTGCAATACTTGGCTGGAGGAAATACTGCCACTATCCCTTCTTCATTTGCTGCTGTCTGCATACGTCCACGAAGATACTGATTTGATGCCACGCCACCGCATACAACCTGTTGATGGCAACAATCCGTTGTTTTTAATCATTATAAGAGAATCAGTAAATAACATGTAGACGTACAAGCGTAGAGATATTGTCCCCCATGTGTTCTTTGCTCCATTGAACAGCTCGTCGTGTTCGTGTAACTAACTGGTCGACTGCCTTTCGCTGTCAAGTCCATTGTCCCCCACATTATAACTTTCGTTAGCAAGAGCCTCATCCCAGGACAAAATTCCATGCCTACCTGAAAAGAAGCGCATAAATCCTCCTTTGTCTTTTCATTTATGTCGCCAAGCTATTGAAAATACAGATTGAATGAATCATGATCAGTAACGTAACATCACATGTGTGTATACTACTACCTTTTGAACCTCTCGAAGCATCGCAGACTTGATTCCAGAGTAAGACAAGTCGCAATCCTGTGCGCCACCAGCAGTGTTTCCATTAGTTCAGCATTCAAGCAAGATGTTATTGCACAATAACGGACTTACCTTTCGATGCTTCATTGGCTCGGTGAACGGAAAAGCACGGTCATTGCCACGTGCAGCCATGTCCTCAATCAATTTGCCACCGTGCACGCTCTTGCCATCTGAGGACGTAATGTTTAGCATCCGTGCTACTTTGTCATAGGCTTCTCCAATCGAGTCATCGACTGTTTTTCCTAGCAGTTTGTAGTCGCCCAGACCCTTTGCCAAGACCAGGCAGCAGTGGCCTCCAGACACAAGCAGCACGATAAATGGAAATTCTGGTCGAAGCGTCTCAAGCTTATGAAGTCAAAAACACAATAGCAACAAATGCTGGTTAGCACACAAGGTACTTTGAGCATATCAACAAGATCATAATAACGTACTTCAGGCAGTCTTGACACAAGAACATGAGCCTATGAATATAACGCCGTACAAATAACAAAAATATGGACATCGGCAATAGAAAGACAGCATAACACCAACCTCCAGGTGATTAATCTGCAAGAATGCAATGTTTGGATTGTCCAGACAAATCTGTCGTGCTGTCTTCAATCCGACATCAAGACACGGAGCAAGTCCAGGACCGGAAGTTACTGTCACAGCTGACAATTGCTCAACACTCTGTAACCCACTTTTGCCATCCATAGTTATTACCACAAATGCTCTTGATCAGAGAGAGACAAGCAATAGAAGTATCTTTCAATACAGTGACCGTGACTTGAAAGCTTTACCTCTGCTCAATGGCAGCATTAATAACATGTGGCAGGTTCTCAGCGTGCGCTCGTGCTGCTAATGCCGGTACAATTCCTACACACACAAGACATGAATAGCAACATTCTTTTTTGATACAATATAATCAATACAATCATATCAATGAACAGCTCAACCTTTCCACTTTGTATGAAGTTCCCATTGTGAGGAAATAACATTGCTTAGAACACGACCGTCTTGATCCAGTATGGCCACTGCAGTGTCGTCACAACTGGAATAACAAACAAATCGTCCACTAATTAGTACTACTATTCGTACTATTACTATTTTAGTCTGTATATCTTAATACAATGTTACATTCATACGATTATTCAAAAAATTACCTAGTTTCAATACCCAGTAGATACGAAGCATAGTGACGACGTACTGCCCGAGTACAGTTTATCGTCGGTATTTGTAGCCTTTGCATTGTTTCGCTTGTTTGTTTTGTTTTGTCTTTTTAATCCATGTACATTACTCCAAATTGTATACGTACGACGTCCAAGGTTTTTTTTCAAAAGGTTTTGAAGTAAGTATGAGGTTTGATTCTCGCCCTAAAAACCGTTTCTACTATTTTTATTCATATTGTTATTGTTACTTTTGCTGCCGCGTAGTCAGTCAGTCAGTCAGTCAATTAGTAACAAAGGGGATTACAATATCGTGATACTACAGACTTAATCTGCATCTCTCTCTCTATAATGATGCTAGATGAAGAAAAAGAAAAAGAAGTGACAAATATGGCTCAACAAATCACACAAGTTATTCAACGTGATGGATGGAAATCAGATCAAACCATTGTCTCACGAATGCAAGGACTATTGGGTAAATTAACCACATTACAAGTAGATAAGGATTTATTACAACGTACGAAGATTGGTGCCGCTGTCAATAAATTAAAAAAGCATGAGGATGAAATTGTACGAGGATATAGTACGAGTCTGACGAAAAAGTGGAAGCATCAAGTTGGCATGGCAGCGACCAAGAGTGACGCACGTGAGAAACAACGCGTTGCAACGTATTCACCGATACAACAACGTAAATATGAGTTTCTATATGCCGTAGAATATAGAAGAAGGGGTCGTTTAGAAAAGATTGGATGATTAATTGTTGTGGTTTTGTGTGTTTGTGGCTGTGTTTGATAGCAAATGGAGGCAATCAAAAGAAGTTTGAGAGTGCAAGGAAAAAGTTACAGGAAGGTTATGCAAATGAAAAAGCAAAGAGAGACTCGAGAACGGTTCAGGTGCTTACTGGACCAATTTTAAAAAGGACGAAGAGGAGCGACAGTATCTACAGCACCATCGAGGAGCTCTATTGGAAGAGCGCAGTTAACGCAACGCCGTGCACTCTCGAGTACAAGCCATCGAGCGGCATCGGCACCACCAGTTTCTCGTCGACTGCTACCGTCATTGAGCAGTCAGCTACAGAAAAGACGTCCTACCGCATCTCGTGTCAATATGTAAGTTGTTAGTCGTTAGTGTACTGACATGCGTAGGTTGGGTAGACGAGAGAGACTATCGCGATTCTAATGTAGACAATATTGCCATTATAGGTCAGCTGAAGAGAAACACCGCCAGCGCCAGCTTAAATACAGAGCGCTGTCTGGACAGGGAGGTTTTGAATCAGGCTGTCGAGGGCCTGAGCGCGCTCGTAGTAGTTGCAGTGGCACGAGGGGTAGTGAAAGATCGAAGTCCGTATCGCGACCATCCAGTGCTTCGTCATTGAAAGGTGGCTCGGCACCAAGAGATCTTCCAATCGTAGTGGATGCACGCAAGGCAATGTTGGACAAAATGTACCCGCGTGTGTGTGGTGTAGGAAATACCTTGAATAGCAGTACCTCGTCGAGTGGTGGTAAGAAAAGTCGACCAAGTACAGCAGCGAAAAGGAAGGAAACACACTACACTGAGGGACAGCGCGAAGTAATATCATGGCTCAAGGGCTTGAGTGTAGACATGAGCGAGTATGCTCCAGCTTTTTTCGAGAACGGTTTTGACTCTGTGAAGTTGCTCAGCACAATTGAAAAATCAGACCTGCCGTCGCTGGTACCTAAGAAGGGTCACCACCGTTTGATCCAACAGGCTTTGGATGAGCTGTGGCACAAACACTCTACATCCGCAGCTTTACAGCGACGGGATCGTTTCCAAAAGGAATCGCATAGGCGACGTAGTGATCCATTTGAAGAGGAAGATTCGGACGATAGCTTTGTGGTTAGCGATGATGGTGAGTATCGTCCGGGTCATATTGCCGCAATGTTTCGCAAGAATCGAAAGCGGCGATATTCGATTGATTCTGAGGATTCAATAAACATGGAGGCTTCATTCGACGAGATACAGAAAGAAGAAAAGCGCAGGTACGTTTCATGATGTAATTTGAATGTGCTGTAGTGTCATGTTTGCTTACTAACGCTGTTCCTACTCGCTGTGTAGTGCTTTGTACGGTGAATACGAAGATTTCAGAGAGGACTTGCGCAACAAGAAGATGTTGAAAAAGAAAAAGTGAGCTGCAAGTTGTAGCAGTCGAATATACGTCGCTTCTAACTAATGTTTCGGCTCATGCGCAGAGTGTAAGTGAAGGGAATGGATACGTCACGTGTTTGGAGGTGGTGGTGATACTGAAGAGCATTTGATGATACACAGCGTACAATGGTGTCGAGCAACAATTCAGAGCACTTTGTTTTGTAATGGAGAACTAACAGGAATGCCGTTGAAGACAAAACAACTTATGGAACCGTGCTTGATGATTTTATCGCTCTATCGATTGAAAGCTTTACACATTCATCCGATGCTCCACAATCTCGTTGGGCACAAGAAGCTGCCGTTGCATTATTGCTTGTAACGAGGCGTAGGTGCTGAAGCTTTGATTGTATTATTCTACAGGTTGACGTGTAAAAAGTGTATGTTGGCCTTCCACATACCTTGAGAGGGCTCAATCTCCCGATGGAGGACAGCCTTAGAATTTCGACAACATTCTGCCGCTTGTGCAGCAGACCACGGGTTAGTTGACGACCGACAAACGCCAACTATCAACATATGGATTGCTGTGCATGTGAGCACAATTCATACTGCTACATATCACGAGAAGCGATTTAAATACGGTTTGTTTTATGCTGCGTTAACTGCAGCAGGTGAAGCTTGCGAATCATTGGTGCGTATCCGCTTCACGGCAGCACTTCGTTCGATCGGTTTACGCTTACCAGCTTTGCCCTTCTTGTAGCCACCATGCTTCGCACATAGGCCTGACGTGCCACGAGCACCTGTAGAACACCATTCCACTGTACAACGATAACCGCCTCCGTGGAAAAGGCACATGGCACTGCTACCCTGTGCACCTTTCGGGCAGTTTGGTGTAGCACAACGTTTGCCACCGCCATGCTTTTGACACAGCCCAGACTTGCCTCGGGCACCCTTTGTGCATCCTGGAGAAGTGCACGGTCGAATTATGTTTTTTGCACGCGGCTTCCTTGCTCCTGGACGACGTGGGACTCCTTCGTTAGACCGCCCGGGCAGCATGATGAGCCCCGCACTTTTACCTGCCGCAGTGGTTGTGGGTGTAGTGATGAAAATCGAACCTAGTGCTGAAAAAAAAGTCTGCATGGTCAAATCGGTAGGTCTACCCTGACTACTATCGATGAAAAGACTAGCATATGGGGTACTGGTCTGATGTTCGACCGGTGAGCTGTCAGATGCACCAGGATCGCCAACGGAATAGCTCGTCAAGATGTTGACAGGATTCTTACCTCCAATTGCGTCGAACTGCTGCTCGTTCAGAGATTTGCTACTGTTCAGCCTAGACGAGCTTCGGCTGGTTGGCAGAAAGTTAGTGAGTGTGGCGGTAGCGGAATCCAGCGGTTCAAGTGGCTGGATCTGGCATGTAGAACTCCCTTCGGCAAGTGACGACGCATTTTCGGTGGCACTATCTTCTGAAGGCATAGTGCCACTAGTCGCTACCAAAGTAGCCGTCGTGATGTCAAGAGTATGCTGGATGGATGATAATAACATCGCGTCAGAGAGCGAAGCAGGAGTAGCAATGCTATCTCCAGTAAACAATGTCGATGCATCTTCACCATTATGACTGCTCGAAGCAAGTAGCTTGTTGCCTGATTTCCTATTCATTCGTGTTGATCGGTCATCTTTTGAAGCAGGCGGCGGGACCCTCAGAATTGGCGGCAATGGGCAAAACAGTCCATCGTGTTGGAAACGTTTGTTCGAAACTTGAGTCTCTGCAAACTCCGTTTGTCGAGGCATAGTGCCCATAAAGGTACTATTTTTCGCACAAAACTGTTTTCCAGTGCTCGATATTGATGATGAGCTACCCGGAAGAGGCAGTATTCCATTAGGTTCATTTTTATCCTCCAGCTTTGCCGCTTTTCCACACGCATTTGGCGGTCGCTCCAACGGATCTAACCTGAAGTTTCCAGGTAGCAACTGATCTTCGCCGAGAAAAATACTTAATGGATTGAGCATTGGCCGATAATTGGGCACATTGTCCGTCACTCTTGGAATACAAAACGGGTCCAACTTCAACACAACTGCCGGTGGTTCGTCCTTGAGCTTGTCGTTTGTGAACAAATAGTGCATATCAGCCACATTTTTCGTATTGTAATGCTCCTCACGCTCTGAAATGTACACGTTCGTGTCCATTGTTTGAGCCATTTTTTTCTTCTTCTCTTCTTCTTCTTCTTCTTCTTCTTTCTTTTCAATAGCTTTGTCATTAGCAGTCAACGTTACTTCAGTATCAGCATCTGACTTGATAGTATCACTCATCATTCGATTGGAATCGCTAGATGACGTCTCGTAAAGACTTTCATCCGATGAACTCTCTGTCATCTCATACACATGATGCGTAGTGTGTTTCGTCTGATCCTTAGTATTCACGTCCTTATGATTCGTATCTGTGTGTGCTACAGCATCAGGTCGCAAGTGAACAAAAGAGTCTACTTCGAGTGCCATGAGAGAGAGAAATAGCAATGCAATGCACTCTAATACTGGATACAAATACTAAAAGGTTGATATGTATATATATATATCAAATGAACTTGACAAATCTGAAGCATGAGCTCTTAGGCGGATTGTGAACCCCCCTACCAATTGACCTTTTTTAGGATGAATCAGGCTGAAAGTAGTACGATGTATAATCAGAAATATCCGGATAAAGATGATTTTTTACGTGTTTTTGTTTGTTTTCGCAGAAAAAACCCATGGCGATTGATGATTACAAAAACGATATGATTCAGTCATATTTTCGATAAGAATTCACTGATTGATATTTATAACCCCAATATACTTTTTATATTGGGTAATTTGAATTAAAGTATAGAAAACTGCAGATGATATGATTGAATACTACCAGTGTACAGTCGGATTGTAGACGCATCCTAGAATCAAGCTTGATTGTCCTTTTGTTTCAAACTATGAGTAGGATGTAAGTCCATTACGAGAGGAGATAGCTTAGTATTCTAAAGTGCATGCAACTACCTACTAAATTAAAGACGGACTCAATCTCACTTGCTTCTTTTACTCGTGGTAGCAAACATGGACATTATGAAATACATTGACACAGCCGAAAAACAACAACCACTGCCCATTGAGGTCAAAGTTCACTCGCCTTCTTCTTTTCAGCTATTGTCGTCAATAACCACTTTTTGCACCCCCTTTGATATTCGGCTACTCCAGTATTCGCTATTTACACTTGAGTATGGAGTGATTCTGCAACACTTCCACGACAAGTCTAAGTAAGAATCTTGAGTTGCTATGCCGGACTTGTCTCACTCGTCCCTTACTGAACGACAAAGCACATATCCACAGGCTTCGGCGAACGCTTCAGTAGCTCCATCGTTTCGCCAAGACGCAAGCTGCGCGTGGCTTGGTTGTTGAACGACACTAACCAGTCACCTGGACGAAGTTGCGTCAATCCCGGTGAATAACCTGAACCCGTTAGTCGTGACACCACAATCTGCCCATTCTTACGCTTGAATGTGATACCAAGTGGTCCTTCACTCCATCGTACCCACAGCTCTGGCAGCGGTAGCTGAGGAGCCGGCCGACTACCTAGCACTGAGCCGTCCTCATAAGAAGGTGTTCTTTGATGGCGTACCACAAGCCCCGAGTCATCGATATCCGAGTAAGTGCTCACCATCGTGGCATGACCATTCTGCAACAGGTTGCGTTGCCGCTCAGACTCAATGTACTGGCGCCGAAGTTCCTGTAGTCGGCTTGGCTGACCAACTAAAGATGGGGTTTCTTCTGCCGGAGGCAATTGGGCAGCTGCATACTGAGACCGAGGTGGCAACGGCTCGTTGCTGTGGGCTTCAAAAGGTGGCGGGCGCTCTAAAAACTGGCCGGCGTAGTATCCGTGAGAAGACGGGAGCGCAACATCGTCTTTTGCCCGTCCAGAAGCCGTGAACACGTCCATGTACGATGGAGGTGGTGGCAGTCCCGCGAGTGACGGGCTCTCATCCCGGGACATCTCTGGTGGAAAACTATCTTCCTCTGAACAATCGTCATCGTCTCCTGTTTCTGGAGCTTTTGTGCCGGGGAAAGGTGGTGGAGGTGGTAAATTCGAAAGGCGATGCGGGCGAGATGCATTTGAACGCGGCGAATCCCTAAGATAATCGTAACTCTGTTGGCTTGTACCGTCGTCCGACGCAGCGTAGCTCTCTAGCTCTTGTAAGTTTGCTTCCTCATACAGCTTAACTGATCCTTCGCGGCTCTTGCTTCCTTGCCGCAATGGGCTAAACCTACCGCTGTTGGCCCGTGCAATCGACGGGCCTCCTGCAACGGCTGCTGCGGCTTCCTCTTCGCGCAATTGTCGGAACGACGGTACTATTGAAGACGATGGCAAATGTACTGGCGAGGGTACGCCACTATGTCTGCCACGCGAGTGCGAGCGAGCATGGCTACGTCCGCGTCGCTGAAAAACAAGCACCACAGGTTTTTGAACCGTTTTTAGTATTTCAAAGGCGCCAGCAATGCCTAACGAATCAACATCGACTCCGGCCACGCGCAAAAAAATATCACCAGGCTTCACCGTATCATTAACGTTAGGGGCGCCTGCACCTGTGAGCCGTGCCACAACAACGCGGCCTTTGCTAGAAGTGTGAATCTGAATACCTAACGGGCCGTCACGCCATAATACCGTATACTGCTTTGACTCAAGCGTCGCTACTTCCCCGCCTGGGCCAAACCCATCCTGCATCGTTCCTCTGTTGCTTTGTGGCCCTTTATAACTCGGTGGTAAGTCATTAAAACGATTTTCAGTAGACGGAAGCTGACGAGCACCGCCCCGGTTAAACCGCAAATACACTGGCTTTGTCGCTCGCATCATAAGCGTCACGGTGCTTTTAAATCCAATCTCCTCCGTGCGTAATCCATTAATACTAACAAGGATATCTCCCATTGCAATCTGTGCAACGGAAGGCGTGACTCCTGTACCTGTTACCGACTTGACAGTAGGTAGCCCGTTTCGCTGCTTCAATTCACACCCGAGTGGACCTTCACTCCAGACAACATCGTACTCTACATCTGTTGGTTCTTCTATCATAGCTTCATTCATCTGTGGCATATAAGCAGGTGACGTATCTCCCCCACCCTCCTCCTCGATGACTGCGCATATCTACTGTTGCATTTGACGACACTGGCGAACCACAAAACGCCGACGTAGCATCACTACTGTGAATAGAAGAACCTGTGCGTGGCAAGCCCCACTTGCTCGTCGCTGCAGATGCAGCGGACGCCAAGTCACTTAACTTTAACGGTCTAAAGTCTAATTTCACAGGAAATTCTGGATTCTTCAGTCTTTCAATAATTTCACTAAACGGAGTCGCAGATACACTCACACCGTTCAATGCAAGCAGCACATCTCCTGCTCGAGCATATTGTAAGCCTGTAGCTGCTCCCTTCTTATTAACGCGTCGAATTACCGGTTGGCCATTGGCATTTGCCTTGAATAAAAGTCCAAGAGGACCTCCATCCCATGAAATTTCATATGTGTCATCATCATCTTCTTCCTCTTCCTCGTTCTGTTCCTCTTCTTCATCTTTTTTCAAAGGACCTCCAGAACTTGAACCTTCGTCTAATTTAATATTTTCCGCTAAAACCAAAGCCTGGAGCTTCTCATACACTGTCATATTTGCAGAGCGTTCACTAGTACCGCTGTGGTTACCACTGCTACGATGAGATGGTGCGGATTCAAGTAATGATGCATTATTCTTTCTCTCATCTAGATTAAGCATTTTTTTCATCTGTCGCTGGACAAACTCGTCTGGACTCAGCTGATCGTCGTCTTCAGCATTGGTCAAGTCACCAGGGTCCGCCATAGGGAAGAAAGAAAAGTATTAAGTTGTACAAGTAATATACTGATGCTATTGGTGGTGGTGTTGTGCTGACTTGTACGACCAAGCGTACGCTGGCTATGGCCGTTAGACGCTTGGGGGGGACGGTGCAGGCGAGATTTTAACACGTGATGGGGAATGACGGCTGTTACGTCATTTGTAGCAAGTATAGAAGCCAGATACTGTAATAATTAATAACTTGAAAGACTTGATTTTTATAGTAAGAATTGCCAGTCACTCAAAATGGTGCAATAACATTCAAACCTATCATACATGATATATGAAACAGCAACAATTTCCTTTTAGTCTGCGGTACATGTATTACATAATGTATTTGCAGAAAGTTCTATGGGTGCTGCATATTGCTAACAATGTTGCAGCATTGTCATTACTTGATAAACAATAGTATATAAAAGCGTTAGTTTTTTCATATGCAAATTATTGGTAGAAACAAAGCAAGTAACATGTAGATTTTCATGTATGTAGCCACTTGAAACATATTTTAAGATTTCCACGTGCCAATCAGTCATAATGTCTGCTTTTGTTATCTCTTGTAAGTTTTCTTGCAGTATACAATCTAATTTGCTAAAAACAAGTAAAATACAAGCAGCGTAAAAAGAATCATCATTAAAATTAAATTGTCTAAACATTATTTGTAGCATACCATTACCCCGTAATTTTGTCACATGTCGCATTTTTCGTAAAACTTGTTATCTCCATTTGCACATAGACTACGTGCTTGACAAACCGCCACATGTTTTGCAGAAGCCTTTTGACCAGATTTTCGAAAGCTGGCGGACATGAAAGAAAGTGTGAGATTATTGCTAGATGAGATTATTGTTATCTCTACGCAGCTCTCCGCTTCTTATCTCCACATGGAGCTCTACCAGCCACAAGCCACACATGCTAGCCACAAGCTACACATGCCAGCCACAAGCCACACATGTGTCACAATCGCTTTCACTCCAAAGCGTTTCTACAAGAGAGACGCAGCTGTAGTGTGACGATCCCTCGTAAGCGAAAGTTTTGCACGTACAAACCACTACTCCTCTTGTACAATACAGGTTACGCTTCCAAATATTTCACTACATTTAACTGTAACCCTATTGCAGACTGCAGCACATCTGGTGGCACCACTCACTTTGGTCAAAGAATCTGCTTGGTATCCGCTTGCTTTCTACACGCAGGAAGGCTTTTGATTGCAGCTCGATGCTACGAGCTGCAACAGGTCTATTTGCATATCCTGCCTCACAAAATTGATCCAAATAACCAAGCGAGTAGCCTTGGGTAAATATCCTGTACTGCCAAGCTACCTCAATGCTACCTGGTTATCAACGCAACGATATCGGTTCCCAAAGCAACACTCCCAGTTCAACCAGCAAATGAAGCAGGCCCAAAATTTCTTGCGCTATGGCGAACGCAACCGTTAACTAGCCTTCCATCGCCGATAGAATCACACAACCGTTAACATGCCTTCCATCGCCGACAGAATCACGCAACGTTTTCTCTTTCACTATTCAGCTGATTGGCGCGCCGCTTACCACCTTGAAGCCACTGAGAAGAAGACAAAAGTTTGTCATTGTCCAAGTGTACCGCAAATTTGGCATTCTGCCGTGAACTACGAAGCCACCCAAAGAAAGCTTACTACTAGCGACACGATTACCACTATTGATCCCCGTAATTCGAAGTTTCCCCTGCTCAACTTCTGGCAGCTCGTTGGACCCAACACCCGTCAGTACCCTTAACGCGTGCACGAGGTCGAGACTTTAGTATGCAATTTACACTTTCTGGTCAATGTCGTACGTCGACCTGATCGTACACGATATACATACCCTTCTTTCGTAGCCAAACCCAGACTCTTGATCGAAAGACGTGAGAGCTCGTCAAGAAGCGCTTACCGCCTTCTGCGCAGTGACAAAATCTTGTCTACTTATACATTGGCACTACTAGTCCCACACCCAATGCGTCTATGATAGACAAATAAATGTATCAGTAAAAATGCTTCACAAAACCGATATCCTTTAGTCTGTGCAAAACCTTATTCCACAGATAACAGTTTCATTAAGCCCATACAGGGCCTTCTTGAGTATAGAAGTTGATCATCAGCCATGCTTGCGACTAACGTATTTGTAACGGATGTATACATTTTACGCACATACCTGCACACCATTCTGATGTGGCTGTACCTTGGGTACATTGAGTTTGGGTTTTCATCGGGCCATAGTACTTGGTTAAGTAGTATGAATATATATGTATATAGTAGGAAGGCTACAGAGCCAGTTGAATATAGTGACTAGCACTACGTATAGAATTGGTGATTCTATGATATGTGTTAGAATATATAAACTATATAAATCAGTTTAAGACTTGCTCTGTATAGCATTTGTTGCTAGAGCGTATTTCTTAAGAAGCCAATAGTATCGGTTGACACTAGTCCCATAGGTAGTTTACAACCAGGAGGCACAAACTTGTAAAGTTAGCTTTGGAAGGGTCAATAACCATAAGACATAAAGCATTTCTCTTCTCTGTACTGCATAAAGTAGCTTAGCTACGGTATCTCGGCTACACCTGGTAGCACTTGTAGTCAATCCCACACCTGGGTATGTGCTTACTACTGTGAGAGAGTGGACATCGATGAGATATCCGCGGTTAGCCTATCGCAGGAGCAACAAGAGGGTCGCAAAAGCTACTTCCCATGCTTGACCCGAAACGGAATGGAATACCTCATCGCTTAAGGTAAAGGAGAGGTCAACAGGCGTATTCGTATGCTTTAAAAGTACAGAAAAGCTCTGGCAGAGCATGTAAAGGCACAAATGCCTTCTTCTGCGACGTCGCTCATGAAGACTGTGGCGCAAGAAGTAACGTAGTTCAATTCCATTCAAGTCGATAAGCTCGACAGCAAATAAGGTGATAACCTTATGCTGTGGGTCCGACAGGTTGAGTCGGCTATATTTATAGCTGGCATCACATACAAATCATACCGTTTTGGCTTTGCCACGGGTAGATTGAACGGCTTAGCAAAACATATATATACAATGGGTATTTATATGCGGCTCATCACTGCAAGACACTTTCTTAGCATGGGACAATCTGAAAGCTAATTTGAAACGGCAGTATGCACCGCACAACCAAGCACACCGAACTCAGTCGCGATTTTTGAAGTGTCGCCAAGGTAAGCGAGATATTGCGGCATATGTACAAGAGTTGAGAGCTTTTATTGCCGTCATGGTCATGGACCCTCTGCCTGAGGCAGTGACCGTCACGGTGTTTATATAAGGCCTCCAAGCTGGCGTTACCGCCAAAAGTCTTCCGGGTAAACCCATCCTAATTTGAGGAAGCGGTTGAAGTGACTTGGAAATGCCGAAATCAACTTTAAAGCCGCGAGGCCTGCCACTCATAACTACTCGCCTGATGGGTATGTTCCAGGGACTCCTATCAAACAGAAGTTGAAGAAGTAGAACTTTAGGCTTCGGAGTAGCAAATCTTGCGCAGATGTAATATCTGCAAGAGCGCAGGCTTTTAAATGGTAAAATGCCCTGCGCAAAATACATGATTCGACTGAAAAAGCCGACACTCCGGGGATTAAACCTCTGGTTTGCCGCGGGAAACGGTGTAGCCCAGTTGGCGCGGGGCTCCCTAGTAGAAAAGCACTTCTATTAAGGCCTGAAGAGGTAAAATTAAACAGGTATCAGCCCCATAGAGAGCCAGACTCTCTAAAACGGAACGAGAATGCAAGCCATGCTTGCTGTTTGTCAAAGGAACGGTAAAAGGTTTCGATAAGACATGCATCATTTTCATCGACTCGGGGCATCAGGCACTATGCTCGACGTACCACTGTGGAAGGTAGTCAGCAGTATACTTAGGCGCTAAGAGCGCGTGAAAGTGACACAGTCACGGTTTGCTTAGCGACGGGTACGTGTGTTACGGTACCCAAAGTCCCGATAGACTTAAATGTAAAGTTCTTGGACTTTAACAGCATGGAACGCAGTTTCGTCTTATACCTGGATTCAAGGTACGCTCATCCTAGATATGGCATGGATTGAACGTCATGAGACATTGATTGATTGGATGTCAAAGATCTTAAGCGCAACGCGCATTGCTCCTGGTGGGGATCTGGAGAGTCATGAACCCGGTCTACTGCGTGAGGCGGCGGAAACACTGAAATTGTGGTCTTTGCTGACCGATTGAGCAAGATGGATCATCTAGCGGCAGTGCCAGGCTCCGTTGATAAAGAAAAAACAGGCGAGGCTTTTTTTGGATCGTGTGCCTCGAAACAAGGACTGCCTCTCAGATAGAGACCTCGTTTACGGAAATTTTCTGGACATCCGTCTTTAAGTTGCTGGGCACTCGACTGGACTGTCCACGGCAGATCATCCACAGGCCGATGGTCAAACAAAACGCGTAAATCGCGTTATTGGTGATATGCTTCGTAGTGTTTGTGCTGAAAATCAGCAAAGTAATGGAGCACGATGCTTCCATTCATTGAGTTTGAGTTGAGTAACGCGTTGCATGCCTTGACAGGCTTCACCCCATTCTATGTGGACGAACTGGGTTAATCCTCGCGTTCTATTGACGCTATCTCCTGCCATATCAGGGCATAGTGTGGGAGACATAGCCGAAGGCTTGGCAAGTATTAGTTTTATTTGAATGCGCAGGTAGAATTGTTACTTTCAGCGCGCTTTGACATCTACAATGCGTCAAGACGCTATGCTGCAAGCAAGGATGATCACAAGGATAAAGCAGATGCAAAAGCCAGAAAGAACGAAAACGAGTAAAGTGGAAGATTTGGTTTTATAAAGAGTCAGGGCTCCAACTACTCGTGCAGTGTCGGCGGTATACAATACAAATTGTGTCCACTCTGTCTTGGACCCTACCAGGTCATAAGCAACAATAGCCCATAAGATAAATTTTTAAGGAACAGGCGACAAACCCTGGACTAACTAAAAGCCGTACCTTGCTTGATCCGGCCTCGGTGTACTTCGAGG